AATGTATAATAAAAAAGAAGATAACTGATTTTAAAAATGTAGTAATAATGATAATAATTAATAGAAAAAAATGTTAAGTATAGTGATTAGGGGTGTAACGGTACATGTATTCGTGCTGAGCTGTTTTGGTAGGGCACGTTTGGTTCGGTGCAGGGCAGTGCATGAGTGAGTTTGTGCATTTTGTGTGTGTTTACATTCCGCCACTACATGTGCAGCTACACAGAAGGCTCGGCTCTTTAATATTCACAAGGGAACTCTTCCATGATTGGGGTGGCAGTGTTTCCCGCAGCGCTTTATAGTTAGGGCGGCCGCCTTAACAACAATTGCCCCCCCCCGCCTTGGCTACGTCCCTCCGAACCACGTAAATCCTGGCAACACTGCACTCGTCACACCCTGGTCCTCACTCTCCTTTCGCCGGCACGGAATCTCTCGGAATTTTTTATTTTTTTTTTTATTTCATACATTTGTTGCTTATTTGAGAATATTTTATTTATCTTATTAGTATTACAAAGCAGCACTTTGCATTTATTTTATTTTCCCGTTTGTGTAATGTTAAAACAAATTGTTGGTTTAATAAACACACAAATAGCAAATAGTTTTCCTTTTATTCCCATACTGTACCGAAAATGAACCGAACCATGACCGCAAACCACGGTAAGTACAGAACTGTGATTTTTGTGTACCGTTACACCCCGAATAGTGGCTAAAAGTGTTTATTTAAAACGGTGGAATAAAATCTTAACTACCACATTACTTCTGTTTAATTGAATTAAATGTGTGTGTGTGCTGAGGGGAAGGGGTGGGTTAAGGGTGGGGAGTTTTGTTGTTTTATGTTTGTTGTAGGTATTGTTTTGTGGTTTTGTGTTTTGTTTTTATGTTTAATATTGTATTTTGTTATTTTTTATATTCTACTGTCTGTTATACCTTCACTAGAATCACTTGGATCATTTCCAATCTTTACTGAACTCAAGGTAAAAGGTCTGTTAACACAAAAACCACCACTTCATGACATCACAAGTTGGACTACAGCATTTTGAGCTTTGGAGATGGAGACAGACTTTTAATGCAGGATTACTCAAACAAGTGTGAATGAAACAAAACACTAGATATGTTTTTGATTCTAATACAGCTTAAAGAATGCATTTTGTGTAATATAGGACCTTTAAGTGCTTGAAAACGTGGACAGATATAGCCTCATTAAAACTAATATTGCAAAATTAATATGAAAGTAATTAGTTCATTTCAAGCTCACATGATAAGAGCCAGCCCTATCGCCTACAGTCATTATTATTTCATCCATTAAGACTAAGCAGAAGCAATATTACATTTGATATTGCTTACTTAGTGTTTTCTATTGTTCTTATGGGAAAAATATATCTTATCACAGACATTCACGCTCAAACAAGCCTCTGCAAACGTGCGAATGTCATTTATGAAAAATGAGGTCATGAGGTTCACAGACAGAAGGCTGTGTTCCCAGAGAGATGGCAAACATACTCACTGTAAGCATACGCCGTGTCAATACTGAGAGAAATACACTCAGATCAATGACAGGCACAGCTGATACGTGTTTAACTGGGTCAAAGGATTAAAGGTACACAGCGTAACAGTTCTACTGGAGGGTCCGCCACCTGATGTCTCTATGGAAATGTTATAGTGTTGTTTAGAATGTTCCACAGCGCAGATTAAACCTATCTATCACAAGGGAGGCAAGCGGGTTAGAGAGAGAGAGAGAGACATATTTTATTGATCTCGAGGGAAATTCACTCGATAAATTCAGATGTTGTTGCTGCAGCATTTCCACTACACTTCTCAGTCGTTTGTGTCTCAGTCAAAGGTCTCGGTGCAGTTTAACAGGAGGGGAGGGTCAGGAGATTCTTTGGAAGAGCCAGAAGTGTTCTTCTGTGTCCTGCAGCATCAAAGCAGCCTCCAGGGGGCGTCAGGTGAACACAAAAGGGAAAGGCCTCAGGCTATGTTTATATGCTGACGGTCTGCGCAGAAGATGCAAAAGGGGCATTGCGTCTTCACTTTTTATTCCGCATTTAGACGAGGTTTTTCAGGCAGAAATGTGCATGCATACGGTGACACAAAAGTGTAATCCCACTGGGTATGTTTGTACTTAAAGCATCAGCTACTCCTTCCACAAAGTTGTCTCACCATCGACTGGTTCTCCAGGTCTTGTCCATATCCGTCTGGCTCGCCTGCAGCGAACTGGTGCATCCAGAATTTGACAGAGGTGATTGCAGATTCTTCTCTGTTCACTAATAGTATCTCTGCATATTCTGTACATTTGTTGGGAGCCTCCTGTAAATTAGAGCTGCCAGAGCAGCTTGAAGGTCCAACACATGGAAATGATCCAACATGTTTGTTTCTGTGAACTGTATGTATGTGATGTAAACACATACGCAATGTGAGCAGATCTGACCAGAGTTTTGTGTCTTGGGCAGTGTCGACAGAAATGCTACGGTGGAGCGTATTCAACTTTTCCACTCTAGAGTGTGACTCCGATAAAATATTTTGTTGTTTTTACCCGCAAGTGTTCTCGTGTAAATAGGCTGTAACTCTTACTTCACTCTGGTGTTTCGGTTGGTGATGAAATGGTCCATTCCCTCAAAGTGTTTCTTCTGGAAGGTCTTCTGCCACATTTGCTGCCACATTTGGCATGGTCTCCAGGGTTACAGGCAAACAAACAGTTCATTTCACACAATCCAACAGTCCCTTACTTGTGTCCTTTGAACTGCACATACTGCATTTCTTAGGCTACATTCAGACTGCAGCCTGAAGTGACTCAAATCAAATTTTGTGCCCCTATGTGACCCGTATCTGATCTTTTAATGACAGTCTGAACAACAAAGAAACTGTTTTTTCAAATGCAACCCAGGCCACTCGGATATGTTCTCCTAAAACCGATACATATCTGATCTTTTGATATGCAACAAATGTACACAAACGTTCTTCTCGTCATACGGAAATTACGGTGGAAACTCTCGGCTGTGACTCCACACCCACAGAGTCTGTGGATGCGGAAATGTTTAATGTCCATGCAACCATGCAACATTCCAGGCAAAGAAATGATGTCTCCATGGGGACAAGCAGGTGGCGAGCTCTCCACCAGAAAAGTCACACAGCGCACCTTTACGTGATTCTGGTTTATTTGATTTTCATGATTAATTTACAGTAAGGCACACATACAGGTATTGTGCCCGTATATGGAAATCGTCCATCTGCATTTGACCCATTCTTCGAAATCTGCAGGGACATCTTTTTAGGAGCTAGGTCTTGTCACAACTACCTGAGCTGGAACGTTTTTCCTAAAGTGCAGCAGATAAAAACATCAATAAAGTGAGCGGTGAGGATCTCCTGCCAAACACCAGCCTGTTTCTATAAACTGTGTGTTACTCATTGACAAGAAATCAAAACAAGGAAGTGGTGAAAAGTTTCGAGCGGCATTACCAAAACCAGTTTGTGCAATGAAATTCAAAGAATACTTGACACGGAAACGTTTGTCTGTCTATTACAGTGTTGTTATTGTCCAATGTTTTGAAAATATCCAGTCAAACAAAACAGAAATATAGCTTTGAAATTAGTAAAAAATAAATAAATAAAAAATACTGCAATGTAAAAAATACCCTGATTAAAAAGTTGTAAAAATGCATTTATATATTGACTGAAATTCTTTCCAATTTAGAGTAAAACATCAAAATACTGGGTACATTTACAATAAATGCGCATAGTATTTTACAGTAAATGTACCCAGTATTTTACCCAATAATTAAATGTGCTTTAAGGTGTGTGTTTACAGCAAGACTGAACTGTCCTATTTGAAAGACAAAGTACAATGAAACTTAAAACTCTTTCCTATTGCCACATTAGTTTGATCTTTTTGGTATTATTTTACTTGTGAAAACACTTAAAGAAAGAGACAAACTTCACTGATCCAGAAAGGAAATTACAAATTACACAAAAACAGTGGTGGAAGAAGTACTCAATATTGTAAAAGTAAAAGTACAGATACTGGAGCAAAAAATACTCAAGTAAAAGTAAAAGTATTGCATAAAAAAATCTACTTAAGTAAAAATATTAAAGTACCTGTTGTAAAATGCATTAAAATGTAAAACATTTTGAAATCAAATAAGCTTCAAATGGTGAGCAATGATTTACAAAAAGATTTGAGACGAATCATAGAATCTTGTTCAGTGTTTCATTTGTTTTTATTTGTATATATTTGTTTGCTCAAACTACAAATGACAAAAAAAAACAAAACAAAAAACAGTAGGTCTCAAAAAAAAAAAAAAAAAACTCTCTCAAATAATAATAATAAATACTTTTACTTTTCAGTCAGTTTAAAAAATGTAACAGAGTAGAAAGTACATGCTCTCAGATGTAGAGAAGTAAAAGTACTGACTTTAAAATGTACTTAGATAAACTACAGATACCTAAAATGTATATTTAAATACAGCACTTTACTACTTTTACTTTGTTATGTAACGTTATAGCACTGCCAAATAACAGCAATAACAAAATAAATTTAAAAAATGTCAGGAAAGACCAAACTGAATGGTAATAAAATGAACATTTCCAAATATTTTCAAAAATAAAGAGTGTGTTTGTGTTTTTATATAGGTGACCGTGTAACCGGGAATCACTGGAACGGATAATTTCCAAATACTTGAGTAATGAGTAATGCAAAGCAAAGAGAGACAGAGAGAAACGGAGAGAGAGAGAGAAAGAGGGGAAAGAGGTGGGTAGTGAAGGAGAGGGAGAGAGAGTGTGAGAGGGAGAAAGAAAGAGAGAGGGAGATATATGAGAGGAAGTGGAGGGGTGAGAGAGATAGAGGAGGAAGAAGGGGAGAAGAGAGAGGAAAATGGAGGAGTGGGAGAGGAAAGGTGAGCGAGGGGGGAGGGAGGAGGAAAAATGAGGAGAGAGAGGAAGGAAGAGGAGGGGGGAGGAAAGAGGAGGAGAGAGAGGAGGAGAAAGAACGGAGGAGGAGGGCAGGAGAGGGAGTACATGCCATAAAACCATCCAGGCCACGCACATGAGCACCACAATCACCCAAATCATCTCACACAACAACAGCACTCTCCAAAAAGGTAAGACGTGTTCTAGTGCATGTTACACATTTGACCTCATTTTACTCCTGTGTTTTGTTGTGACGCAGCTAAAGCGTGCACACACTCACTCTAGGAACATGCCAGAGTCAGTGCCTGGAGGAGAGATCACTTTTCCAGTAACAACTTGAGCAATGGCCTCAGAGCTGACAGGGGGAGGGGCAAAAAAGGAAAAGGAAAAAAGGATATTGTGTGCAAATACTTGGCTACTAATTTACAACTTCTGCTGCTATTACTAGGCTACTACTGCTACTGGTTATTACTACTAAACTACTCCTGCTGCTACTATTAGGCTGGTACTACTTTACAAAGTTCAAAGTTAGTTTTATTGTCAATTTTTTCACATGTACTAGACACACAAAAAGGAATCCAAATGATGTTTCTCTCCATCCATGGGTAAATAATAAATGATAAATAGTGCAAAAGTTAAAGTCCAAGGCCCAAGACAGGCAACAGACAGCTTTATGACTGCTACTTCTAGGATAGTACCACTACTACTACTACTACTACTACTACTAGGTACTAGCTACTACTACTACTAGGCTAGCTATCCTCAGGCTCAGCCAGCTTGTGTTGTGTCTTTAGGCACTGGGAAAATCAGACAATTTGCCTAGGTAGGCAGACAATGGTGTGGCAGAGTCAGATTGGCAGCCTCACTTCGGTCAGGCTGTGGCTACAACAGTAGCTTATCACCAGCAGGTATAGAGTGAATGAACAATGCTCTGAAAACCTTCTTTAAGTGTCCCAAAAAGCGCTATATAAAACTGATGCATTATTATAGGCTATTACCACTACTAGGCTACTATTACTACTGCTACTACTACTGGCTAGTAGTACTATGGTTGCTTGACTACTACTAAAGTACTACTGCTATTAGCACTACCACGACTACTACAACAACTACGACAATACTACTACTGCAATTAGTCTGCTTCTACTACTAGGCTACTACTTCTACTACTGCTACTACTACTACTACTACTAGTCACTAGTACTACTATGGCTGCTTGACTACTATTATTGCTAAAGTACTCCTGCTATTAGCACTACTACAACTACTGCAACTACTACAACAGTACTACTACTGCAATTGGCTACTATTACTAATACTTCAACTACTGGCTAATACTACTATGACTGTTTGACTACTATTACTACTCCTGGTGCTACTATTAGTCTGATACTACTTTTATTAAAAGACTAGTACAACCAGAGAGAGAGAGATACTTTATTGATCCTTTGGGTACTACGGCGACTACTTCAACTACAACTAATACTACTAGGACTAGAGAGAGAGAAAGAGAGAGAGAGAGAGAGAGAAAGAAAGAGAACGAGAGATACTTTATTGATCCAGAAGGAAATTCAAGTTATGCTGTGCGTCTCCTTTGTGTCTCAGGAGGATTGGTCAGGGAGGGTCAGCAGTTTTGGGTCTACTACTTCTACACTTCTACAACTGCTAATTCCTGTGTGATTTCATGTTGAGATTGGTGAACTATGTAACTTTTTTGGTGGACGGTGCGTCATCGGCTTGTCTCCATGGAGATGTTATCGGTTTGTCTCAAATTTTCTGGAATGTTTAGGACACTGGGGCCCATTGAAACAAAAAACGCACACCGAAGTTCTTGTAGAGGTGCAAATGCAAGGAGCAGCAATTTAAAAGTGAAAAAAAAAAAAAAGCATAGCACATAGGAGTGTAACGATATCCAAATCACACGGTACAATATTTATTGTGATATTTTGGAGATGCTTATATAATTGTAGATAGGACACTTTTCTGCTTTTAAAAATACTATAACAAGATTTTGGTGTGAATTATTTCCATCATGATCCCAAGAATTCAAGTAAAAAACATATTGTTTGCACTGAAATGAATCATGGGATATGTAGTTCCCTATGTTTATAAGATGTTGCTACTATATAACCATGCACTTAAGCAAAGGAACTTGTAATTCGATACATTGTGACAGATCACGATATTATTGTGAGACTTTTGACGATACAATATCAGGATATTTCAGTTATTGTAAAACTTTTTTGTTTTGGCAAAAAGCCTTCGTTGGATTTTTCTTGCTTTGGACCACAGTATAACATTGGCGTCGCCATTCCACAAAAGGGACCTTTAACTCGGCCTGGTAGCGCCACCTAGTTGTCTCCATGGAGATAGATAAGTTTAATGCCATACAGTTGGACATTCCAGGCAAAGATATAACACCAGAAATGTTCCATCGTGCACCTTTAAACTGCAGTTTGCATGCAACATATTGACTGAGCCGTCTAAAATATATTATAATAATTCTTAGCAACAATATTTTGCAGTGGCATCATGCTGGGGGTATTCTACATATATTTCTATGGTGGAATGTTTCTATAGTTACCATGGCGATACAATGCACACATTAACAGCCAAAAATGTTTAAGATCTTACGAGCACAAATCAGCTCACCTGTTGTAGTCCCAACTAAACCAGCTTCTTCTAGTCAGAGTGTCTTAAAATAAAGCTTAAAGATTAAAGTCTAACAAGCCGCAGACAGAGCAGTGCTTACAGTTAGCATCACACCCCCAGGGAATGTTGATGACACCAGCCGCAAAGTATCAGCAGCCTAGTTTTCGTAGAATCCATAATAATTTCCCATGTACTTCATTGTGTTTGGGGTGGTGATGTTGTGGCGTGATAGAACACAAACCTGCTGTGTAGGATTTGAGCTGGTCTACTTTGGGAGTGTCTTCACCCGTCCGCCCAAAAACACTTTGACGCTTCGACAAAAGTTTACACAGATGAGTAGGACGCATCTTGTCGCCCTGATTTTAGATGATTGACAGGTGGATTAACCAGTCAGAGAAACACAGTCAAGCCAAAACAAACATGGCGGCTTAGTAAAGAGGAAAAGAAAAGAAAAAGAATAACACAGAGTACCCTCTACGACTACTCTCTACGACTATTACTATTAGGCTACTACTACGAGGACGACAACGACTACTACTACAATTAATTTACTCCTACTTTTATTAGGCTACTACTATTAGTCTACTACTACTACTACTCACTACTCCTACTAGTCTCCTACTAATATTACTACTACTACCACCACCACCACCACTACTACTACTACTACTACTACCACCACTACAACTACCACCACCACCAATACTACCTCTACTACCTCTACTACTACTACCTCTACTACTACTACTACTACTACTACTACTACTACTACTACTACTACTACTACTACTACTACTACTACTACTACTACTACTACTACTACTATCTACTACTACTACTACTACTACTACTACTACTACTACTACTACTACTACCTCTACTACTACTACTACTACTACTACTACTACTACTACTACTACTACTACTACTACTACTACTACTACTACTACTACTACTACTACTACTACTACTACTACTACTACTATACTACTACTACTACTACTACTACTACTACTACTACTACTACTACTACTACTACTACTACTACTACTACTACTACTACTACCTCTACTACTACCACCACTATTACTTCTACTACTACTACTACCTCTACTACTGCTACCTCTTCTATTGCTACTACTACCTCTACTACTACCACTCTCTACTACTACTACTACTACTACCTCTACTACTACTACTACTACTACTACTACTACTACTACTACTACTCTACTACTACTACTACTACTACTACTACTACTACTACTACTACTACTACTACTACTACTACTACTACTACTACTACTACTACTACTACTACTACTACTACTACTACTACTACTACTACTACTACTACTACTACTACCTCTACTACTACTACTACTACTACTACTACTACTACTACTACTACTACTACCACCACCACCACCACCACTACTACCTCTACTACTACTACTACTACTACTATTACTACCATTTCTACTACTACCACCTCTACCACCACCACCACCACCACCAGGTTTAAAAAGTTATAAATGGTATGATCATTTCTGTGGTCTTTCGCATTTAAGAGACACTTGCAACAATTTCCAATCCAATCGACTGTATTCACATATACTGCACAAAACAGTTTCCAAAGTGCTGCACAACACAGATAAAACAATACAATGGGAATATAAAACACAGCTATTTAAATCCACCAGTCTTTGTGAAGGCACTGAAAGTAGTAAAATCAAGTATGAGCAAAAAAACAATAAATAAAAAGGTAAAAACAATAAAAAATAAAGAAAATATAGGCACAGAGGACCATCAAAGCCATAGAAAGATGTGGGTCTTAAGAGAAACTAGTTGTTGTTGGACGGTCCCAAGTTAGGATGGAACTTTATCACATTCTAGAGTTTGATTCCTGATCCTTCTGGAAAAAATGCTCTGAAAAGTCAATTTTGCATAATAGGTCTGCTTTAGAACGTTTCTGCTTCCATGGTATGACATTAAACATTTCCATCTTGCACATATTCATTACGGGTGTTTTTATTGCTCAAAAATGCAGGAACACCTTCTGTGAATTGGGGCGACTCTCCACAGACCTTATCTGTAATGTAGCGTTGTGCTGTAACCTGTTTAGGTTTAATGTATGCTGTGGAACGTTCTAGACAAAGACAAGCAGGTGGCGGGCCCTCCACTAGAAATGTGCATCTTTAAGTCCTTTCACCTGACAATAATCATATCCTTGGGGCTGAATACTAGCACCATTTCCTGAAGCTATCGTGAAAACAAACGGTAAAAAAAATGTATAGCACATAGAGATGTAATGATATCCAAATCTCTCAGAACAATATTATCACAATAAGTATCTCAGAGTACTATATTGTGACAAAGTGGGCCTTTGTTCCATTTTAAACTCGCATTTGTTTAATTTTGTATTTTGACATTCTCAATACCCAAAACAGTTACAAAACTGTTTCCATTCATCATACTCACCTACAGCTCCACATGGTCCAGACAAAAAAGGGGGCCATTTTTAAAACCTTGGAGGAGGTCGTGGGCTGGACCATGTGGAGGGAAGAACTGGTTTAAGTTCTGTTTCATAATTTTTTTATGTATTTGGTTTTATAGTTATTTTCAGCACAGTTTAGTTTATGTTTAACATTTTGATTTTAAAAGGGGACTTGGGCTCAGGAAAAATCCTGGCTTTGCTTTGCAGAGTTACCTGGAACTGAAACTCACCTGGGGGGAGGTACTTCCTGCTGGGCGGAGTATAAAAGCAAACAGATGTCATCAACTGGGAGAGAGAGTTCTATCCTGATTGTTTGGTGCTTCTTATTTGAGTCACTTATTTTCAGTTTTTTTGTACTTTATTTTACACTACTCCAGATGTCTGTTTTAAAATGAATTTTGTCTGGTTAAAGACACTTTTTGTTGACCATGTCAGACCAGCTTCCCCACAGATATTTATTGCGGTATTTTGGAGAGGTAAGATTATTGTAGATAGGACACTTCTCTGCTTTTAAAATACCTTAACAAGATTTTGGTGTGAATTATTTCTGTCATAATCCCTAGAATTCATCTTTAAGTCCTTTCAACTGAAAACAATCACGTCTTTGGGTTTGAATACTGGCACCACTTTCTGAAGCTATGGTGAAAACAAACGGTAATTTACTTTTGTTTATTCTGCTGACATTAACTTTGTGTTCATTTCTGTTGCATGTGGACAGACCCATTAATCACCAGGTCAGCAAATCTGCAAACTGACATGTAAACAGCAAATTCTACCAAAGTATTCTGACCTGTCCTCCGGCTCTGAATGTAGAAACTGCAAGAGTGTCCAGTTCAGGCATGTCCAAACTATGGCCCTCAGGCAATTTTTCTTTGACCCTCAAGAGTCCAGGAGAACTGGCTCAGATTACCATAAGCAACACTTTTTACTGCAAAATATTGAAAATTTACCCTGGTAAAGTCAATATCGTGTATCCTTTTGAGAGTCTGAGCATGAATAAAGGTCTGGTGAACTGAGATGAATTATTTATTTTACTGTGTTGACCACTTTTCCATGGTTTCATCTTCCGTGTTTTGATATGTGGCCCTTAAAGGTCATAGTGTAACTTTCCAGGTCGGGGGTCTGTCGCCTTCTTGTGTTATTAGGTTCTATTTTCAGACCAAAGGTTTGTTTTCATACCTGACAGTTTAGCAGTCTTCCTCAGAGTGGTCACGTGATGTTGTTGGGACTTGTCCGGTCAGCTGATTTATACAAGTTTTGGTGCTGTCTTCCGACTAGTGGAGGCAGGACGACAGCGCCATCTGCAGTCCGGCTTCTTCAGGACAGTATCCCAGGTGTGCGAAAGTAAAAAAGCCCCTCGTCTTGGTTTATAGTTCACATTTCCATATTTCAATTGCCTCTTTAATCCAGCGACGATGTTTGTTTTCCTCTGTCCCAATGATGTTTGCTCCATCCAAGTCCATAAGGTGGTTCTCTCTTTTTCAGTAATCAGAAATGGCCGGTTTGTGTTGTTCTTGTTCTGCTTTGTGTTTTGTTGCTCGTGTTTTCCTTCTCGCATTGTGTCCTATGTTTTTTTTTTTTGTGTGTGTATTGGACGCCCTTGCTGTTTCCCCGAAGTATGTTTTATTGTAGGACGTGCGTATGACATTACAGTCGTCCCTCACTATATCGTGGTTCACCTTTCAGGGTCTCGTTGTTTGACGGATTTTTTTGTGTGCATATGAGCGTGCATTGTGTTCCTCTTCCTTCGTCCTGATCGGCTAGGGGACTGTAGACCATTGTCATTCAATCTCCTCAGTGTTGTGTCTGCTGTACAGTACAGAATTGGTTCAGTTTGCCAAATTTACTTCAATGTTCGATCTCTAGCAGTGTCATTCTGAAGTGCTGTATCTTTGCAAGTTTTCTCCCCGACAAAACCCACAATGTCGACAAAACGTTCTGCAACGACAAAGGCTCCTGCGGTCGCACCCAAAAGACAGAGGAAGATGCCAACTATCGCACAAAAAGTTGCACTTCTGAACATGCTGAAGGAAGGTAAAAATTACGCGGCTGTAGGCACCATTACGGAATAAATTAATCATCGGTTTGTTACATAAAGAAAGAGGAAAATAACATAAGGACGACAGCAGCAATAAGTTTTAAGAAGGATGTAAAAAGTGTTGTAACTGTCCTATTGAGAAAAGTGTATAAAGTTTGTGCTGAGGGGTTTTACAGCCTTAAAACAGATAGAATAATTGTAAAATATAAATCTGACTACATCGCAGATTTCGCCTATTGTGGGTTATTTTTAGAATGTTTTAGAAACGAAGGACCACTGTACATTTATTTAATTTGATCTTTTGGGTGGACGAGTAATGCCCTCAATGCCCTCTGCAGTTTTTCTGTTATGCCCTTGATGTACGGTAATGCCACCATGCCTGTGCTCCTTTTCTGTTTTACTTTCCTTTTTTTGGTTTCTGGAAACTTTTTGTCAGTGTTTGCAAATTCGTGCATTTGCGTCTCCATGGTAACTGCCGAACATTCCACCATAGAGGTCCATGTATTGTGTGTAAATGTGCGAGCATAAACATTCTAAAATTCATAATGGAGGCAAAAGTGAAGAGGAACAGAATGCAATTAGAATGGGGAAATTGGAACTGACCACAGAATATGAGAAAATAATGTGGTTTTGGCAAAAGAAAACCGCTCGGATACATGGACGTGATTTCAGAGCCTGGTTAGAAAACATTTACAAATGCGTTTTAAGTTGTTTGCTTATCCAATATGTGGTTAGTGTATACCAGCTGAAGTCAAGACACAGATTTGTATGTTTTCCTGGATAAATACTTATAAATACAGAAATGCTGACCCCACAACTTAAAAAAAAAAAAATCGAGATATACTTAAAGGTGCATCGTGCAACTTTTCTGGTGGAGGGTCCGTCACCTGCTTGTATGAAGTTAAACATATCTATCAAGCTTTTTTCATTTCGTGTGTTTCTATTTCTCAAAAATACAATAATTCTCTCTGTGAATAGAGACGCCTCTCCACAGATGTGACCTGTAATGGAGTCTATAGTTGCCTCCCTTCAGATAGATGGGTTTAATCCAGACAACAGACAAAGCAATCATCTCCACGAAGACCAGAAAAGTTGCACATTTCACCTTTCACCATAGATGACTCAGTTTTTTCACAGTAAATATATAATTTGGGCGACAGAAAAAAGCAGTTTTCACTTTCTTTTAAATAGAGAAGCACCGACTCTTTTATCCACGAAACTTGATGATTTGGCTTTTATATAAAGAAAAAGTTTTGAACATTGTGATGACATAGAGTTTTAAAAGGTCATTACGACACGTTCACAATTTAGAATTTGCTGATGTAATACTTTCACATACAGGGTGCTGTGGGAAATTCATTGTTTTTTTGTTTTTTTTACTTTGCCATATTGGTCTAATGGCTTGAAGTCTTTTCAACTGACAACAATCGCATTTTTGGGCTTGGATATTGGTGCCACTTTCTGAAGCTACTGTGAAAACATGACTTTACTTTATTATTTATGCCAGTGGAAGAAAGTAAATGTTGTAAAGTACTATACTTAAGTAAAGAAAAAACAAAAAAAATTAACTGTACTACTAAAAACTGCATTGTTGGAGGGTCTGTCAAAAATGCTTTTCTCCATGGAGACGTAATTGCTTTGTCTGGAATGTTTCACAGTATGGTATTAAACCTTTCTATCTTCATGGAGACCAAACCAGACCAAGTTACAGGTCAGATCTGTGGAGAGGCGACCCAGCTCAGAGTCAGAATGCATGTTTGTCTAGGTATTTTTCAGCTATAAAACCACTTGTAATTGAATAAATGTAAAGTAGAGCTGTTTAATGTCATACTATGGAACATTCCAGGCAGAGTAATGACATTTTTCCATATATTTGAGAAAAATATTTCTAGCCCCGGTACAAATATATTGTAAAAGCAGGTCTTGTGGTCAAAATAAGTGTGTTGTGTACTGTCATTTAATTATGAACTGTTCTATTGTCAGAGAGTCTCAGCATGACTAACTCCACTCTAGAATCTGAAAGTTGCACAAAAAGCGTTTATAAACTTATCACGGTGAATAATTAGGATGCCCAGAATGCGTAAGGTAAGTGAGGAACAACTTTGTACCGCTGAAAACGGATGTAAAATGAACTAGTTCTGTTTTTCACAAGTTACCGCGTCTTCACCCGCATTCAAAGGTATTGTTTTGAAATCCTGCTATTTCACACATCTGTATATTCCAGTCATGGATTTCAAAATGATGAAAAGCTGAAATTGAAAGTGAAAATACAACTAGTTCATACAGTAATTAGTCATCACAATGAGTTTATAAGCACTTTTTCACAACTTTCAGAGACCAGAGCGGAGTTTTTTGCAGTCACAGTAATGCTAAGAACATCTAGAATGCCAACTGCACACTTCCTGATTCTTGATCAATAAAGACGCAGACAGTAAACAGTGGAATTATTTTGACCTCAAGAGCCGCTCATACACTATAAATGTACCGGAGCAAGACACATTTTGCTCAAATATATGAAATATATGAAAGAACGACTCTACTGAATATCCTCTCTTTTGAATCGCAAAAAGTCCTAAAAACGTACCTATAACAGAATTTTGAAAGCCATGAATACACTATCATGTATTTGTATGTGTTGCTTAGTAACAGGTGTAACTGTCATCGATCACACTCTCTTGTGCCACCATGCCTCAGTTAATGAAAGCATATAATATTTGCCCAGCAGTCAATACTGAGTGGCAAACAGCACCTGGCTGACATTTGCCTCTGGTTCCAGGCTCGGAGCTCTGATGGGGCACTTGTGAAGAAGCCTGCTGTTTACACGCTGTACACAAACACAGCTGCTAGCTACCACCGCAGCTCCGCCACTCCGCCACTCCGCCACGCTCTGTCTGCTCCCGGTGCATCTGCTCAGCCTGGAGGTGGGTGACAGTCTATTTACAAACTTACGACAGGGGAATGGTTGAAACTTTGTTGACACGGCAAAAGGAATACTTAAAGGTCCTGTGAGCTTTAAGACATGTTATACTGTTGCTCAAAAACATACCTGGAGTTGGGTTTTGTTTCATTCACATATGTTTGAGTAATCCTGGTTTATCAGTCTGTCTGCATCTCTAAATAGCTGCGTTTTTAATCTCCGGACACCTTCACTAGAATTATTTGGATAATTTTAGCCTCTACCAAACTAAAGATAAAAGGTAAAACTTGAAAACTACCGCTTCATGACATCACGAGGTGGAACAGAGCATTCTGAGCTTTGGAGATGGAGACAGATTAATAATAAAGGCTTACTCAAACATGTGTGAATGAAACAAAACACAACTCCAGGTTTTTGAGGTAATAGCATTTTAACAGGTTAACCCAAGAGTTTTGTGCTTTGCTTGCTGGTTCGGCAGAAATTCATCCCGCAGTATTTCTCAGTCCTCCGTGTATTTTTATTTATTTATTTTTTTAAACTTTACCTATGTTGCAGAAAAAGCAAAACTAGCACACTTAACAATTTAGCAAATATTCTTTGACAGGAACCCGATTGTTGATTGAATTGTTTTCTATTAGCTACTTAAAGGTATTAAACAAAATTAATTCTTGTGAGATTTAAGCCATGCTGCTCCAAAACATACCCAAACTTGTGTTTTGTTTCATTCACACATGTTTGAGTGATCTGTCTGCATCTCTAAAGCTCAGAATGTTGTGTTCCCCCTTGTGATGTTAACAGCTATTTTCTACATTTTGTTTAAGATTGGCAATTCCAGGGCTGAAATTATCCAAATGATTCTAGTGAAGCTGTATGCAGTTTAAAAACATAGTGGAGCACTTCCTGTATTACCACATGACATTCACAAGGTGGAACAGAGTGTTTTCTGTTTGAGAAAAGAACAGTCTAAATAATGCACAATTTGTGTTAAACATGTGTGAAAGAAATAAAACACAACTCCAGGTATAGGAAGGTAGTGTAATATGGACCCTTTAAAACATTTGAGCAATTTTGATTAAAAAACTACTTAAATACTTGAAGGTGGTACTAGGACTATGCATTTTTTACCAGTTAGTCTTCAGGGAGATGTTATTGCTTTGCCTGGAATGTTCTATTAAACATACCTATCCGTGGAGAAATGTAGGTCAAGTTACAGGCTAATCTGTGCAGACAGATAAGTAAGTCTGAATGCATGCTTTTGAACTGTGATTAATGAAAATCTACATAGGTGAGTTTAGTAACTTTTTTGTTAGAAGGTCCGTCAAATGCTTGTTGTTAATGCTTTGTCTGGAATGTTTCACAGTATGATATTAAACCTTTCTATCATCATGGAGACTAAACCAGACCAAGTTAAAGGGCAGATCTGTGTCAGAATTACTGTTTTTGTAGGTATTTTAGAGCTTTAAAACCACCTGTAATTGAATAAAGTCTTTTAAATAGAGAAGCACTGACTCTTTTATCCACGAAACTTGATGATTTGGATTTTATATAAAGAAAAAGTTTTGAACATTGTGATGACATAGAGTTTTAAAAGGTCATTACGACGCGTTCACAATTTAGAATTTGCTGATGTAATACTTTCACATACAGGGTGCTGTGGGAAATTCATTGTTTGTTTTTTTACTTTGCCATATTGGTCTAATGGCTTGAAGTCTTTTCAACTGACAACAATCGCGTTTTTGGGCTTGGATATTGGCGCCACTTTCTGAAGCTACTGTGAAAACATGACTTTACTTTATTATTTATGCCAGTGGAAGAAAGTAAATGTTGTAAAGTACTATACTTAAGTAAAGAAAAAACAAAAAAAATGTAACTGTACTACTAAAAACTGCATTGTTGGAGGGTCTGTCAAAAATGCTTTTCTCCATGGAGACGTAATTGCTTTGTCTGGAATGTTTCACAGTATGGTATTAAACCTTTCTATCTTCATGGAGACCAAACCAGACCAAGTTACAGGTCAGATCTGTGGAGAGGCGAACCCAGCTCAGAGTCAGAATGCATGTTTGTCTAGGAATTTTTCAGCTATAAAACCACTTGTAATTGAATAAATGTAAAGTAGAGCTGTTTAATGTCATACTGTGGAACATTCCAGGCAGAGTAATGACATATCCATTGAAACAAGCAGGTGACAGACCCTGAACCAAAAGTTACACAGTGCTTATTTAATGTCTTACTGTGGAACACCCCAGGCAAAGCAATAACATCTCCATGGAGACAATTTGGTGTATTCTTCTGATACATGAGTGAACAAGCCTAACCTAGCCCCATATCCAATAACAATACATGACATTTAAAGGTCCCATATTACACAAAATTGACTATTGTGAGCTTTGAGTCATGTTAGAATGTTGTTTACTTGTCAAAAATACATCTGGAGTTGTGTTTTGTTTCATTCACACATTTGAGTAATCCTTTATCTCCAAAGCTCAGAATGCTCTGTTCAGCTTGTGATATTATGAAACAGTACTTTTCAAGATAACAGCGACTTTATATCTTTCCTTCAGTTCAGATTGCCAATTCCAGGGCTGAAATTACCCAAAAGATTCTAGTGAAGGTGCGGAGTTTAAAAACACAATGCAGCACTTCCTGTATCCTGTATTCCTGTATGTGTGGAAAGGACATGACATCACAAGGTGGAACAACGTGGAGTGTTTTCTGTTCGAGAGAAGAAATCAGCCTAAATATACAGGGTTTGTTAAATGTGTTAATGAAATGAGATCAGAAAATAGCGTAATATGGGATCATTAATAAAAAATATGGCAAATCTCTGTAGTCAGACAATTAACAGAATCAAAACTAGTCCGTATGTCTCAAAGCAGGATAGACATTTTAAACTAAATTAGTGTAAATGTAAATTATATTGATACTCCGTTTTGTAATGTGCAAAGGAGACATTATAACAATCCTTTTTTGTTTTTACATAAGTAGTTCTTGCCACTACTGATCTAATTCAAATCAGTAAGTCAGTACACCACTCAGCAGTATTCTTGTGTATTCTTGCACGTTTGGTTTGACATTATGCAACTTCCATTTCCTAAATCTTTAAATAGGTATTTTAAGCTACAAAAGGAAGCGTAAATATGTTGCAATGGACTCCTACAGCACGCTACAACGCTCGCATGTCCTGCTCTGACCCAGTTTAATCGCAACTGAATTATAATTGCAAATGAACGGACACAATAAGCAATTCACAAAGATTGCAATATTTTTAGTAACATAATTTCTCCCACAAACAACGCAATATTCTGCTTTACTACCTAAAAAATGAGTAACCGTGTAGTTCAGATCTGTACAAGTCGAGGGCTTGTTAAAAGCTGTCAGGCGCTAAAAAGGGCTGGGCTGGGTTAATACTTGGATGGGAAACTGCTGGGAATATCATGTCGTCACAGCAGGGCGCCAGTGGGAAACCGCTGTTGTGTCCTTAAGCAAGCAACTTCAGCCGCCTAGCCTAGTATGAATACGGCGTGTGAGTGAATGTTGATTCACGGACTGGTGGCGTACATTGGCAGCCTCGTCTCTGTCACAGCTGTCTCCCAGGACAACATCATTGCCCCTCCGTGAGAAACACCAAACTCTGTTGGGGCTTTGGCAATCCACGGGTGTAGCGGCTGAATAATCGCTCGTACAGATGAGTGTGCCTTTTCCATGTATTTATTTTCTGTACACATAAGTCACCATAAGAGCCAAAAACATATACAGTGATTAATTTTACATCTGTGACAATTATAAGTCATATAACATACACAACACAAATACCTTTTTTACCCTTCAAGCTAAGCACTATTGAGCATTCTGCCTTCCCATCCCCGCCATGACACCTCTAAATACCATCAGGAAGAAAAACAGAAGTGACACCAGCATTCAAAATTATTTTTGCATTTTAGCGGCGTGTTGGGGTTTTGGTATAACCTGATTCATCAGCCGGTTTCACTTCGTAGAAACCATCTGACCTTGTAGCATTAGAATTTGTTTGCTCCACGGTAGACAGGTACTTTTTTTCATTTAACCAATCGCTGCTATTTGGTCGTGACGTATGTAATGCACCACTAACAGGGCTAACTATATTCATCTTTTCCCAAATCTCATAGGAAGAAGGGCAATAACGTCTTTGCCCTTGATAAAATTCATCATCAAATTCTCTTTGTTCCGGCTTTAAATCCTCGATGTCGACAATCATTGCCAGCACAGAATGTATGGCTCTTCGCTGATTGGCTGGTGCCCGAACTCACACTTCCGGGATTTTTGCGAACCGTCTAGTGTATTCCGATTCCTGACCTAGTCGCTGGAGAGAAATGAAACTGAGAGGAGGCACTAGGTGGCGCCAGCCTGGCCACCAAATTGACACCAAAATTGAATTCCAGTTCTGGTACACCAGCCATGTCGAATGAATGAAAATGAGCTTATCTTTAGTGCATATTCATGTCTAATTGTAGAACGTCAAAAAATAAACAAAACAGATAGACACTTAGAAGCTGCCAGGAGCTGCGTGGAGCCTGTCAGCACCAGTCGGGGCTGCGTGCAGTCGACTCAACCTCTTTATGAACAGATTTGAATGTTTATCAGAAAATAACTAGTCAGTATTTTCTTTGAGTGTAATTTTCAGGACATTTAGGGCCAAATTTGTAACAGATTTTTCGGGATTTTTCAGTATGTCTGGTCACTCTAACAAAATTAACTTTGAGTGTCTGGAAAAGCACTATATAAGACCAGTGTGTTGTTGTTGTTGTTGTCGTCGTTGTCATCGTCGTTTGTTGTTTGTCGTCTTTTTGACCATTCTTCAAGTTTAAAGGTGCATTGTGTAACTTTTCTGGTGGAGGGTCAGTCCAGTGCTTTTCTCTATGGAAATGTTGTTGCTTCATCTGGAATGTTTCATAGTATAACCTTTCTGTCGCCATGGAAACCAAACTAGACCAAGTTACAAGTTAGATCTGTGGAGAGGCGACCCCACTCACAATCAGGATGTTTGTTTTTTTAGCTATAAAACCACCTGGAATTGAATAAATGTAAGGTAAAGCTGTTTAATGTCATACTGTGGAACATTCCAGGCAGAGCAATGACATATCCATAGAAACAAGCGGGTGACGGACTCTTCACCAGAAAAGTTACGCAATGCACCTGCACAGACCGCTATTATCAAAATCCCGATCGCAATTTTCACGCTTGTTTTGTTTATGCTTTTCCAGATCCATAGAGATGATTTGGACCCTGCTCCATCTCTGTGCCTTCTTCTCTGGAACACACCCATCTCCCACTCCAGCTCCAACCTCCTCCTCACTCACCTCCTCCCCCTGCTTAATCTCCAACTCTGGCCTCTCCGCTGATTGCCTGGGTAGACAGCTGGATTCTGTTCCCTGGCACCAGCTACCAACCACTCTGGAGACAATCGATCTTTCATACAACAGACTCAACACCATCCACGCTCAAGACTTTTCCAAATTTCCAATCCTGCGCGTCCTTCTGTTAACCTTCAACAATATATCTCACATAGATGACGACGCTTTTCTTCTTAACCCCATGCTGGAGAATCTTAACATTTTTAATAACTCCCTTCAAGAAATTCCAGCCAGAGCTCTACAGCCACTCTCAAACTTAAAAAATCTGCAGCTGTCTAACAATCTCTACAAACACGCTACACTAGCAGGAAGCTTCGCCAACTTCTCCAAACTCCAGGTATTATCGCTAGGTGGACATTTGGTGATGGGGCTCAAAAAGGGAGATTTTGAACCTCTTAGAAATATTTCGCTTCAAACTTTAGCCATAAAGTGTTCATCGAATCTGAGCTATTACGAACGTGGCAGTTTAGAAGTAATCCAAACGAAGCAAATGGGGTTCGATATGGCTATAGACAAACTGCCAAACGCCCTGCTGGATATGCTTGGAGATCTCGCTAACAAGAGCTTCACTGACGTCCAGTTCCGCAATCTCTTTGAGTTCACCTACTACATGGGGATGGAGGACATTTTCAGAGGGTTAGAAAATATTACAGCCCAAAGACTCATCTTCTACAGAGGGAAGTTTAATGAGAATCTTCTAAGAATGCTCCTGCTGAACCTCGAGAAAACCGCAATAAAAAGACTGAGGTTACAGTACATTGACTTTGCCCGGTCACCTTTGTTTTCAGACAGTGGAGCAGAGTCCAGCATCACAGATCTCAAACTGGACCAACTCGATCTCTGGTAAGTAGGTTACATGATGCTTGCACATTTTTTTTTAAACTGTTCATATATTCCATCGTATAAAAAAATTTCTACCATGTTAAAACTTTGTTCCCTCCTCAAAAACATGCCTCAAGTGATTTTATAGATCATGCATCATGAGTAATGCTGTGATCTTTTACCCACACAGAAGTGTTATACTCCATCCTTAATTGTTCTTAAATCAGACAGAACTGAACATTTAAAGAGAGGGGATTACAAATATACATAAATAAATAAATCCAAACATTTACTTTTTGGAACTTTCTACCATGTTATAACACTGGTTTCTCATCAAAAATATGCCTGAGGAGTTTTTAGATGTGACCTATGCATGTTCAGTGATCTCTCCAGTGCCCTATTTGAACCCCCCTTATTTCAAATTTAAATTTCAAATTTATTTTGTTTGGAGGATAAACCCCTTGATGTCTCGCCATCTTGTTTTCAAGGGGGTCCTCATAGTAACAATAACAAAAGACAGATACAGCAGGGCACATAGTAGGATACAAATAAATAATAAATATATATAATAAATCTAATTTGAACAGAAACTAAGACAGAGTTCAAATACAGTCACAAAATACAACAAGATGAACAACAAAATTCAACAAAATGATCAAAAACAATTACACAGGATATGTAAATACTGAACCAGAGCATTTTTAAATGAAGGGACAGAAGTTAATGCGCGACTTGATGAGGGAAGATTGTTCCAATCAGAGGGAGCTTTATATTTAAATGAGTGTTTTCCTATTTGTTTGTTGACTCTTGGGCTTCACTGTCTTATGGTTAGCAGTACGATCCTGTCCAAGACTCAGCCCACAAGCCTACATCACCCATACTCCTGCACGGCAATTTTCCAAAAATACACAAACCTGATGCAATGTGCAGTTTATTTGGTAAAAAGCATACTGATTGTAATGTAATAGCCCTCTGAAGGGGCAGTGACTTAGCGCAGGGAGCAAACAGAGGGGGAACTCAGATCGTCAAAAATTAAACTGAAACTTATAAAACATTGTGTTGTGGCAAATATAGCTTTTTTAACACATTAAAAAGTAACATGGTGATCTAAATATGTTACAAATAAAATATAATAAAATATCTGGTCTTTAAAGGGCCCATAATATGCTATTTTCTGATCTATATGTTTGTTCGTCAAAAACAGATGAGTGGATTGAGTTGTGTTTTGTTTCATTCACACATGTTTAACACACAGATCCTGCAGATTTAGGCAAGGCAAGGCAAGTTTATTTGTACAGCACAATTCGTACACAAAGTAATTCAAAGTGCTTTACAGAATAAGAAATACATTAAAATCATAATAAAAACAAATCAAAACATAAATAATCATGAAGATTAAAATTAAAAAAGAGAGACATAAATTGGAGAGAAGAGTGCGGAATAAAAAACCTTTCAGTTATATGCACAGTCAAACAGAAATGTTTTGAGCCTGGATTTAAACAGCGTCACAGAAGAGTCTGTCTCACATGTTCAGACTGTTCCAGGTTTTAGCTGCATGAACCTGAAACGCTGACTCCCCTTGTTTAGTTCTGACTCTGGGCACCAGCAGGAGGCCGGTCCCTGAGCTCCTCAGAGTGCGAGATGGTTCATATGACACTAACATGTCACAGATGTACTTTGGTGCTCGGCCATGGAGACACTTGTACAAGCAGAGCTGCTTTAAAGTCTATTCTCTGAGGCACAGGAGCCAGTGCAGAGACCTGAGCACAGGACTTATGTGCTCGTACTTCCTAGTTCGAGTAAGGACCCGAGCTGCAGCGTTCTGGATGTTCTGCAGGCTGTGTTCTTCTTTTAAACAGAAAAAATAAATAAATCACTAGAATCATTTGGATGATTTCAGCCAGGGAATTGCAAGTGAACTTGAAAACTACTGCTTCATGACATCACAAGGTTTGACTGTTAATAAAGGGTTACTCAAACATGTGTGAATGAAACAAAACACGAGTCTAGGTATGTTTTTGATAAGATATCAACATTCTAACATGATTTAAAGCTCACAAGAATCAATTCTGAGTAATATTAGACCTTTAAACACATCATAAGTTAACTATTTGTTTGTCTTTCAGGTACATAAGTAACCCAGACATTCTCCGCTTTGACTGGCGTTTCACTTGGCTGAGCGGGATCAGAGAGCTGTCCATTCAGTACGTGTACCTGAACTCCGCCCCGTGTGACGCCTTTCTCGAGATGAGAGACGTGCAAACTCTCGATGTCTCCAACAACCGCCTGAAGGATGAATATATCTACAACCGCCGCTGTGTCTACAAAGGAACTCTCCCCAATCTCAAATCATTCATTCTCGCTAACAATGAACTCACCAGCCTCAGAGACCTATCATCCATGACCAGATACTTTGACCGAATGGAGGTGCTGGACGTTAGCAATAACAAGCTAGGTTCTGCCGCTTATAGTTCTGGTTGTGACTGGCGACAGAACATCACTCACTTCATCGGTCACCATAACGATTTTGTGAGCGAGGCCCTGCTTTGCCTGCCGACCACCGTGGAGTATCTAGATCTCTGCTACTGTAATCTGGACCAGTTGGAGATGACGTTCTTTGAGAAAGCTACAAACCTCAAAAAACTGCTCCTAAGCGGTAACAAAATCAAGTACATCCCACCCAGCTGGAAAAGTCCATCTCTTCAGTCGCTGGAGCTAGATGGGAATTCTTTTGGTGTGATAACAGTAGACTCCTTCCAAGATATGCCTCTGCTGTCTTCTCTCAAAGCGGGCAACAATCCATACCAGTGCACATGTGAGCTGCATGCGTTTGTGGAGAATACCATATCAAAAGAAAAGGTCAATTTGACGGACTGGCCGTGGAACTACCACTGTTACCACCCCCAGCCTCTGCTCAACAAACTCATCTCCAAGTATGTTCCAGGTAGGGATGTTACAAAGTAATAAGCTGAGTTGTATTTAGCTTCATTCACATTTTCACACACATTCAGATTTATTTTCACAGGATTATGATGTCATGAGTAGAAACCCAAATGTCCATGAATCACCAACAAACTAATTTTCAACTTTTCTAATGCTCATTACAGCTGAATCCCTGTATTAACATGTCAGAACATGTCTCTTATTAGATAGTCATGGTAATTTCCCCTGCTGCCAGTAGATGGAACACTGTTCCCAGCATGAGGATGTCAGAAAATAATGTGCTATAAATAAAGCAATTTTTTTAAGTGTTAAAACGGGAATTGCCAAAGTAAATGTTCTCAAAAGCATGGTGAAAAGTCAATACAAATAATGTATAATTTAGCCCCTAAATATTGTCAAATATCTGTTATATGGGAAATACGTATTTTCAGTCAAATCAACCATTCCTGAAAGAGTCAATTTGGTGGCCAGGCTGGCGCCACCTAGTGCGACTAGGTCAGGAATCAGAATACACTAGACGGTTCGTAAAAACCCCGGAAGTGCGAGTCCGGGCACCAGCCAATCAGCGAAGAGCCATACATTCTGTGTTGGCAACGATTCCCAAGATCAAAGATTTAAAGCTGGAACAAAGAGAATGTTCGTTGAATTTTATCAAGGGGAAACATGTTGTTGCCCTTCTTCCTACAGGATTTCAGAAAAGCTTTAGCGGCACATTACATATGTCATGACCACATACTCGAGCGAACGAATTCTAATTCTAATTCGGCTGATGAATCAGGCTATCCATTTGGTGCACTAAAACAAACCCACAAATAAAAAAATTATAAATAATAATAATAATAATAATACATTTGACAAACCTTTTATAACAACAAATCAAATTTTAATTAGATATGCTTCATCTTTGACAAGGGAATTGTCTAGACCCAATCTTTACTCCTCTTCCTTTTGACTTCAGGTTTATGGGTGAACGCTCTGCCACTGCCCAATCAGTCACAAGTCCACAAACTTGCAACACTAGGCTAGAGGAATTTGCTGCACTTAGTGTTTCTCAAACTGTGATTTCTACCCTGTGTTATAAGGAAGTGGCACAGAAGAGTTACTCAGAGTCTAAATGTAGCCAAATATTTATGACTTGATGTTGGCACTTTGATATGAACTTCAGTTTAATTTAGAACTTTCTGGATGTATTTCAATGTTTTGTTTAATTGGCTGCAAAACCTAAAACACAGATTTCATTTTTATGGATATAAATAATGCCTTGTCCACAAATTATAGTGCAATATATTATTATATTTTATACCACAGTCAGTGAGAATTTGAATAAGGTTGTGGTATTTTTGAATAACCACACATGTAGTTCCGGCAACAGTTAATCACTTTTCTATATCCCTACGCTGTGAGCATCACCACAGCGTAGGGATAACGGGTAAACACGTGAACTACAGTTAGAAGGGACTAGCCTAAATTAAAATAGAAATAGCTAATGCCTGGAACATTTACGGAGAGCCAAAAAGTTGTCAGATTTAAAAGTGAACTATTTTCAGTTGGAGGGACCATGGTATAAGAGGATTAAAAACTCAAAGCAGTGTTATTGATTCTGCTCCTCGTTGTTTAATCCTTACATATTTTATAGAGATCTTTTCTATCATGCTGGGGGAGTTCTACATGAAGCTCTATCGGTGGAATGTTTAGCAGTTGCCAGGGTGACACAATGCACCCATTAGCAAACACAGACAAAAACGTTTTAAGTCTGAAAGCTCAAGAAAAAAACACAAAATGGATTTAAGCAACATTCATGGTGCTGTTTAGGTGTTTGATTTTCAATAAAAAAATGAAAAACTTATGACCGTAATTTTATGCATGAGAGACTTATTTAAGAGCACAAATCATCTGACCTTTTGTAGCTCCACCTTAGTCAGCTCTTTCTGGTCAGATTGTGTTAAAACAAAACTCAAATTAAAGTCTAACTTGAGTATCAGCTGCAAAGTATCAATATAGAGAGACCTTTTCTATAATCACAAAAGTACTGACCGTGATGTTTTTGCTCTCAGGGCGTGTGGCGTGCGACATCAGACTGGTCATCCTCATCTGCGTGGCCACTACAGCTTTGGTCATTATCGTGCTCATGATCATCTGCTACATCTTCGATCTCCCGTGGTACACCAAAGCCACGTACCAGATCATCCGTGCCAAGTACAGGGCGTACCAGGAGAGCGCGTCTGGGGGGGTGGGCATGTTCACGTACCACGCATTCATCTCCTACAGCCACTCGGACGCGGAGTGGGTGAGGGACCAGCTGATGCCCGCGCTGGAGAGCAGCAGGAACCCATACCGCCTGTGCATCCACGAGAGAGACTTCATGCCTGGGAAGTGGATAATTGATAACATCATTGAGAACATTGAGAACAGCCGCAAGGTATGAGCATTGTCTATTTTATTTTATTTTTTTAAAGGGCCCATATTACGCCACTTTCTAATCTGTTATAATGTTGTTTCCTCACTGCAAACATTCCAGGAGTTGTGTTTTGTTTCATTCACACAGATTTAACACACAAACCCTGCTTATTTAGTTTGAGTTCTTCTCTCAGACAGAAAACACTTTGTTCCACCTTTTGATGTCATGTGGTAATATAGGAAGTGCTCCACTGTGTTTTTAAACTACATACACGTTCACTAGAATCATTTGAATAATTTCAGACCTGGAATTTCCCATTTCTACTGAACAAAAGGTAAAAAGTAGTTGTTAACTTGAAAACTACTGCTTCATGACATCACAAGGTGTAATAGAGCATTTTATGCTTTGGAATGTAGACAGACTAATAATAAAGGATGATGCAAAAGTGTGTGAATGAAACAAAACACAACTCAAGGTATGGTTTTGAGGAATGTAACAACATTATAACATGGCTTAAAGCTCACAAGAGTCAATATACAATGCAGAATTTAAGACCTTTACACAAGCACTGTGTAAGCTGATGTGGGGTCCTCCACCTGCTTCTCCATGGGGATGTTATTGCTTTGCCTGGAATGTTTCACTATATGGCATTAAACTGAACTATATTGCATATACTACAGTTGTTTTTATTCCTAAAAAATCAAGCAGTCAATTTTTATTTATAGAGCACCTTTCATACACACACACACACACACAAAGTGCTTTATAGTGATCTTTCTTGCTACTAACTATCTGAAATCTGATATATCTATCTTTTCTGCAACTATTTTATTTGATTTTATTAATTCAATATTTTACCAGGCAAGTCAGTTGAGAACACTTTCTCATTTGCAATGACGACCTGGCCAAGAGGCAGTATAAAACAAAAGCACAAACAGAAAACATTCACACATAAACTATAACATGAACAGTGAATAGAGATATAAGACAGTGAAACATTTGCAGATTAAAGATATAAAAGTGTTAAAAACATGTGCAATTATCCTGTAAAATACTCTGGATGGAGTTTTTAAACTAAGTTTTAAAGTCTGTGGAAGGTGGTTCCAGTCACTTGCTGCAGAAAACTGAAATGAGGAACCCAAAGCTGTGCGGGCTTTAGACTAGACTAGGCTTTAGTATTAAACTGAATTAATTTGCATTTTTTACTACAGTTGTTTTTATTCCTCAAAAATCAATCAATCAATCAGTCCAACTTTACTTATAAAGCACTTTTCATACAAAAAATGCAACACAAAGCGCTTTACAGTGATCTTTTTTACTACAAACTATCTGGAATCTGACATAACTATCTGGAATCTGGGACACTAACTATCTGGAATCAGTACACAAAGAAAAAAAGAAACTCCTTCGCAACTTCAGCACAAACAACAAAAACACAGTACAAACATAACGACAAGACTAGCAACTGGGGAGGAGAAGGAAGTGAAGTCAACCCCAAAATATAGACAGGCAGCCTCTAGATCCAGATCTAAATTGATAAGATTGATACTGTACTGTGGAACATTGCAGGCAAAGCAATAACATTTCCATGGAAACAAGCAGGTGGAGTACCCTCCTCTAAAAGAGTTACAGTACACATTTAAAGTGTACTTTAAAATTTAAATTTTTTTTAAAGAAGAGATACTGGGTGTAGGAGTATGTAGTAAGTAGCCAAATTGCATTTAAGTATTTAGTAGCATGGGGCAGATACACTGAAAAAGGTGCAGTTCTACTTCAATATTCAGCACCACCACTAGAGGGTGCCATTGTCTAAATGTTTATAGAGAGGAAGTTGGGTGAACAGCACTAAACAGGCTGTTTTGGTCAAATATTTGTATATAAGTATGAGCATTTATAATTATGATTTCAGATGTCTTTTTAAAATACTTTTATCTATGCAAAGGCCTTACACTGGAATGAATGCCTGAATACACCTTGGATATCTAACAGCATAAGCAAATATGAGGCGATATTTTATTAGACAGACACCATTATTAGTTTGCATGGTCACAGTTTAACCGTTTATGGTGGCATACTTTTACCACCATTACCAGCTTGTCTCCATAGAGACAGACAAGTTGAATGACAGACTCTAGAACATTCAGGAAAAGCAATAACGTTTTGTATTTGTCGTGGAGGTGAAGTTACATAATGCACCTTTAAAGAAGACCTATTGTGCTTGAGCCTGCGATATAGTTAGAATCTCTGAAACCGTGGACCATTATGATATAATTTGCACATTTTAAATTGCAATATTCATCTAAAATGACTTCATAATGCGAGCAATGAGAGCTGACGTCGCCGCAAACGTCATTACAACAATGGCCATATTCGAGTGGCAGTGAAAACATCTGAGATTGCTCAAACGTGCTCAAATCATTCCAAGTATAACTCCGAGAGTGTAAATGAGAAGGGGGAAACAACTAAAACCTAAAAGCTTTTAAGTGCATATGACCAATTTTCATTCTTAATTATGTCTTGGTTCAGTGGACTAGTACTTGTGGTAAATATTTATCATAGTTTTACATCAGTTAAGTGGCAGTTTGTGGGAAAAAAATGTGAGACTCAAAGACAAAAACAGGAAGTAGTGGTGAGTTCTAAAACGAAATACCTCTGTCTGCATCATCATCAACACCCAGAAGTGCAGAGACAATTTACATGCAAGGAATGCATTTGATTAAACAAAATGTATTTTAATTAGTCCAATTTTTACTATTGTGCATTGTGACCAGCTTTGGCTCCTGTTAACATTACGGGTGGGGCATTATGCAGCGGCTGGGGCATTATGCTAAATACATTTTTTGAGCTTTCTACCACATTATAACATTGTTCCCTCATCAAAAACATTTGAGCTTTCAGATGTCATACATGCATGTTTCTGTAATTTAGCGTTATTCAAACCCTCGTTACAGTTAGATGTAAGATTCTGTGCAATGCTGAGCTCACAATCCTGCATCGCCCATTTTCCCACATAATTCTCCATAATTAACAGTACACAACAGCGCTGTGGTTTCATTATGGGGATGCACATTGATTGTGTTGCAACTGCACTCTGAAGGGGGAGCGATTTAGCACGGGAAGCAAAAGAAGGGGAGACTCAGAGCATCAAAAATGAAAGTGAAATTATAAAACATTTTAATACTGTTTTTGGCATATAGTATTTCCAAAACAATAAAAGGTAACATGGCAATCTAAATATGTTATGTTAGAAGTTAATACCCCATAGAAGTAAAATACCCCCTCTTGAAATATAATGATGTTAACTATGGTAACGAAGTGCAAGTAGCAAAGTACTGTACTCACTGGACTGAAAAGTAAAAGGCACTTTTCATATGATTTGAGGTGTTATTTTTAACATCCTGACTAAAGTTTTTGAGTTAAAAAAATCCACACAATACACAAAATTCTTAAGAAAAAATAAGAAATTAATTTGTATTGCAACTCTAGCTGAGATTCTTACGCAAAATTGACTTGAGTAAACCTTTATTATTAGTCTGTCTACATCTCCTAACCTCCAAAATGCTCTTTTCCACCTTGTGATGTCATGAAGCAGTAGTTTTCAAGTTAACAGATTCTTTTTACCTTTTTTTTCAGTAGCGACTGGCAGTTCCAGGGTTGAAATTATTCAAATGATTCTAGTGAAGGTGTATGGAGTATAAAAACACAGTGGAGCACTTTCTGTATTACCACATGACATCATATTCATTTGAGAGAAGAACTCAGCCTATGTATGCAGGATTTATGTGTTAAACATGTGTGAATGAAACAAAACACAAGTCCAAGTGCATTTTTTACAAGGAAACAACACTATAACAGATGAGAAAATGGAGTAATATGGTCCCTTTAACAAAAACCTTAACTCCCACATCTGCTTCTTTCAGGTCATCTTTGTTCTTTCACGGCACTTTGTCAACAGCGAATGGTGCAACTATGAGCTGTACTTCGCCCAGCAGCGGGCCATGGGCAAATCCTTCTCCGATGTGATCCTGGTGGTCAAGGAACCCATCGACCCCAGCTCCCTCCCCAACAAATACTGCAAACTCCGCAAGATGTTGAGCACCAAGACCTACCTGGAGTGGCCCCAGCAAGTGAACCAGCGGGCATTTTTCTGGGCACAGCTTCGGAGCGTGCTGGGGAGGCCTTCACCGGTGAGGTCCAGGAGCGTCAGCGTGAGGAGCAGCAGGCTTCATTCGCAGGAGAGTCAGCACCTGGAGTTTACTAGTGGACTGAGCGTGGCTGTGGTAGGAGAGCCTAGAAGTACAGAGATGGAGAGAAGTGAGGACGAGGTTAATCAAAAGCAAGTGCAGCTACCTGTGGCCGGATACTGAAGTACGATTGGACGAGTGAATGCTTGGTGAAATATAGGTCTGTCACAATAACATGTTTGTTTTTTCATTTAATCTGGAACTCTGCTCATTTGACTGGAGCCAAACGCTATGGATGATGGCAGATTCCGTTACTTCACTTCTTAATACAGTCTAGGAGAGATAATTACTAATACTTCTAATATTAATTAATAGGCAGAGGTTCCAGTTCTGGGCCCCTATGACCCTGGGGCCCGGGACAGCAAACCCCTTCGCTCCTCCCCGTCAACTTTCTGACAATAAGTGTACATTTTCTTTGTAATTATGGGAAGGTTTTTTTTTATTTTAATTGTAATATGATAAGATTTGCACTGTAGAGGGTTAGCTAAATCTGTGTCTGTCTATGGTTGATTTTTGGTTCCTTCTGATATTTATTTGTTGCTCTGCAGGACTTTTAATGACACTGTCTGTTTAAATATTGTTTACTGGGATTATCCTGCTTTATTTTGCGTTAATGACAAGAAGTAGTTTAAATATTGCCATTTATAGCAGTATTTCTCTGTAGCAGTATATCATGCTTCAAACTCTTAATGGGCCTAACACTAATACTCCAACTGTAGACCAAGTCAAAATCTGAAGGTAGGCCCTGAATGCTAGGCCTATCACGATAATAATTATATCAGCTTAATGTTCAATAACTGATAGCAGGAATAATATGCTGTATTTTGGGGGTCAATATTTAATGTGTGTATGGATGCACCGAGCAGATACTGGTATCAGATATCGGCACCAATACTGAAAACTTTGCTGGATAAGATATCGGCCAAATATCATTTCAACTGATATCCTGGTTGGACATAAATTGTAGTAATAAAGACGGTTGACCCAGAAAGTGTCACACTTAACATACATTTGGACCAGTTTTATCTTAAAATGTTTTTGTTTTAAAGAAATAAATGGCATTTTTTGTCTCTGCTCTGGTATCAGATGATATCGGTAGATATTTACAGCCATAATATCGGAACTAGTATTGGAACTACAAAAGTTGGATCAGTGCATCCCTAAATGTGTGTATGATTTATTTGCAATAGCGGAGAGGCTTTTGCTAGGTTTATGTATTACAGTAAGATTTGAGCTGTAGAGGGGTTAAGTAACTTATCAACTAAGGTTAATTATTGGTTCATTCAACTATTTATTTGCTGCAGCTCAGGCCTTTTAAGGATAAAGTATATTTACAAATGGCATGAAGTACTTTCAGTATTATACTTTATCTGAATATTTATCTTGGTTTAAAATCTGTAATGGTGACAGGCCTATTGGACACTGGTCTTGACAGGTTGCCCCAGCTACATTGAAGGATGGGTCAAATGCAGGGGTCAAATTTCTCTCTTACATCAATACAATATAAATTCTACCTAACCTGTTTACTTACTACAGCCAAAATGCAGAGGGTTTTTGATACATGATATGGAGCATTACATAGTGCAAGGTCTGTGTTTACTCAAATGTACAAGTTTTTAATTTGTATCAAATTAAACAAAGATTTCATTATTGTTTTGTGACATGATTTTTATATTAAAATGTCATGTCAAATCCCACCGTGATATGGAGCTCACAGTCCCGCCCTCTTCAAAGTCTGCTCTGGTTCCGGAAATAACATTTTTCCCATAGACCAGCTACATGGTAACTAATATACATAACACTGTTGTTTTAAAGGTGCATGGTGTAACTTTTGTGGTGAAGGGTTCGAGATGTTATTGCTTCATCTCGAATGTTTCACAGTATGGTATTAAACCTTTCTATCATCCTGGACACCAAATTAGACCAAGTTACGGGTCAGGTCTGTAGAGAGGCCACTCACAGTCAGAATGTTTGCTTTTCTACACGTTTTTGAATTATTGAACCACCTGTAATTGAATACATGTAAGGCAGAGCTGTTTAATGTCATACTGTGGAATATTCCAGGCAGAGCAATAACATATCCATAGAAACAAGCAGGTGATGGAGACCCAACTAAAATGTTACATAGTGCACCTTTAAGTTCAAAAAGTATGTTTAAAAATCTAAATTGTGTGAAAAGTTTTGATAACTTAGTGGTTTATAAAATTTCAGAAACAGATTTTACATACAATTATAGGTTTCATACTCTTTAGTTACCAAATAGCTGATTAGCCCTGAGCAAACTTTCAAAACTGTAATATATATTTTTCAAAAAGTTTGAGAAAAATCAGGAGGTGAGCGGTCACTGCTGAGCATCATAGACGAAATTGTGAAGCCTCCTAGAATAGTAGCCCAAGTATTTTTTCAAGGTTTTTGAGACAACAGAAAAATAACTTCTGTTAACTGTAATAAAAATAAAATAAAAATCTTTCTTATTGGCAGGATATGAAAGCTTTTTTGAAGGACAACCCCAATGTAACTCGTATAGATACAGCAGAGTGAGGAGAGCAGAATGAAACCGAAAAAACAAATACCTGGGCAGTTCCGCTATGAGGAGTGTTTGCATTAACTGCTGACCTGGACTTGTCAACAGTCAATAAACGGCTGCAAATAGAAAGGAGCTACTCCATTTACAATCAATGTGAAATGTGTAATTAACTTTTATAACAAATGACTGTGAAAGGATGTGAATGCCATTGGAAAGGGCAGATTGTGTACAAAAATAAGTTCTATAATATATATTTTATGGAATATCAAATTTTCAGAGGTGGAAAGTACTCACTTGCATTTAGTTTTCTAGCAGCATACTTTTATTCCTACTTGAGTTATATTTTTATTGAAGTAACATCACTCTTACTTGAGATCAATTTTTGGCTAATCTACCCACCTCTGCAAATTTGTCAACATTTGATAATATATTTGTAATATATGTCGATTCTGTGTGAAATTCTCCACGGTGAGATCAATAAAGTTCCATCTGATCTTATGCTATCTTTTCTCTTTTTTGTAATTATTAATGTTTAAATGGCCCATGTTGCGCTTTTGATCTGTTATAAAGTTCTTTTTTCTCTCAAACAGAAAACACTCAGTTCAACCTTGTGACGTCATGCCGTAATACAGGAAGTGCTTCACCGTGTTTCGAAACTCCATACACCTTCACTAGAATCATTTTGACTATTTAAGCCTTGGAATTGCCAGTCTCTAGTAAACAAAAAGGTGGAACAGAGCATTTTGAGCTGATGTAGACACCCTAATAATCCAGGATTACTCAGACTCCAACTCCTGGTGTGTTTTTGATGAGGTAACAGCATTATAACTTCACTTAAAGCTCACAAGAGTCAATTTCGAGTAATATAGGACTCTTAAATGTGTAGCCCTTTGCTCCTCCCCTCTCCGGTCACATGATGTTTTGGACCAAAGCCAGACTGTGTGTTGACTCTGGGGCAGGAGATGAGATGAGTACCGCCTCACTGTTAAAAGCATATCATTACACACACAGGCAGAGTCATCTATGTGGTGCACTGAAGTAACTGGGATGCCCTGTCTTTTATAAGGCTTTAGACAATACCAGACAACAAAGTGGAAAAACAGTAGTTGAGGTAATAACAATATGAATCTATCTCCAGGTAACTATCACTGTTGGGTAATCTTCAAAATATAATCACTATTTGACAACTTCAAGCTTAAATACGGCCACATACATTAAAAGTGCACTGTGTAACTTTTTGGTTGGGGGTCCATCACCTGCTTGTTTCTATGGAGATGCCTGGAATGTTTCACAGTATGACATTAAACAGCTCTACCTTACATTCATTCAATTACAGTTGGTTTTATAGCTTAAAAATGCCTAGAAAAGCAAGTGTTCTGACTGTGAGCAGGGTTGCATCTCCACAGATTTAACTCGATCTGGATTGGTCTTCATGAAGATTGAAAGGTTTCATTCCTTGTCTTCTAATGCCAGATGCAAACTTTAATCTGGTGCTGCTTTATTTATTTATTTATGTATTTATTTATTATTTAACCAGTAAGCTCCCACTGAAATACTGAATGTAATTTTCACTGTACTGGCCCTATTACAGAGGGGAGGGGGAGGCTATAGATACACAGGGAGTCTGAAACCCTCCCTAACCACTGTGCCACCTTCATCCTTCACACTTTTATGGTCCACACTATGTAAATGAAAGAAATGACTCCAACTATGGGCAGACAGAAGGGACACAAAGCATGACTGTGTGGAGCGGTGCAAATATGGATGTAAATGTATTCTAATGAACTTACCCTGTGTTGACAGATCTGTGATGGAGCTGACAGACAGGCGATGTTATTGCATCACTTCACTATGCAAATATTACAGCTCCCTTTAATCACATGAAACACAGCGGATTAAGTGAGAGCTAATACAGGCTAACTTGTTTACATTGCTTATGACAGCTCCTCCCTTTGTAAATGCTCTTCTTCAGTCCTACTGTAAAAGCTGGTGTGAGTTGCTGTGAGTTTGCGTACTACAGATTTGCTGTTATGTAGAAGGCTATCTAAAAGGTGCACTATGTAACTTTTCTGCTTGATTCCACAGAGATGTTATTGTTTTGCCTGGAATGTTTCACAGTATAACTTATACTTAACTTATCTAACGCCCCGTCCACACTAGTACGTATTCAAGTCGTTTTTGTTGCAGACGCAGTGTTCGTCCACACTAATCCGATTGAAAACGGCTCCAGAGACGGAACGATCTGGTGCAGCCAGCTCCCACAAAATCCTTTGAGTACGCATCTGATCCAGCACTGTGTGGACGCCTGAAAACGTTGATACGCTGATGTAGGTCTATGCGCTGTGAAGTAATTCACCGCCAAAACACCAAGAGGCTATAATATATGTCTATTCATATATACGGTCTATGTGTATGACCTGCAGATGTCTAATCTCTGAAAAGTTTAACATGAACCATCTCCAACATGATAAAAGCACAGAACAGACTCAACATAATCAGAACACCCCTCTGTCACAGAAAGAACACTCATATTCAACTGAGTTTTGTCCTTCAGTCCGACAGAAGCTGAACTGCATCAGCGTACAATAGCGAGCTGTTTTTTGAGTCCTTAGTTTATGCCAATTACCCATGTGGTTTTAAGTTTCGTTTCTGTAAAACGTAAACAAATATGCTCCAAGCTGTGTGGATAGGGAACGCTTGCAGACACAGAAACGGCGTGTCTGGACGCAGATCATTTCGGATACAGTGATATGGTGATACAGTGACACGCGGATAAATTTCAGTGTAAACGTAGTCTAACTTATTTGAACTTGAAGAGAAGTGAAACATCTTCACTCTAAAGCTTTTGTCCTGTTGATAGAACTGATTTTATTTTTTTTTTTGTAGATCACACCTGAACGACTAAAGGATTACACCATTAACTATCTTACATTTAGTCAGTTAAAGGAGTTAATATGTTTTAGTTTTTATGCTCAAAAGCACAAAAACAGTGACAAAACATTCTTAATTGCTTACTGTGTGTAGTCGCCTCTCCAGAGAGCTGACCTGTGAGTAGAACTGGCATCACCTGCTTATCTCCATGTCATACGAAGGGAACATTCCAGACAACACAAAACCATCTCCAAAGAGACCAGCAAATGGTGAACCCTCCAGGAGAAAAGTTCCGTAGTGCACCTGTAATGTACATCAAAATGAAATGGATCAATATTTAGTATTGTTCTAAATCCATGAGTTAGTATGCGTTGATCTTTTCTATATTTTATTCATAAATCACCATACAACGTCATTTATTTTTCAGTGACTCTGTTTCACTGTTCCTATGGCATGTGACTTTCAATAATTATGAATGGGTAAACAAGGTGAGTGACTTCACCACTATTGCCATAGTTCAGTTTGTGTCAGGATGTGCACTTGCCAGTCCAGTTTTTCTCTGCCATAATAGGGCATGTGAGTTCTTATACAGGCGTCATGTAAGCATTCTGGTCTATCATTTTTCAGTTTTGGATGGCAAATAAAAAAATATCTCAATTCGTGCATGCATGTGTTCCAGAATTTAAAAAAAAAAAAAAGGACTGTTGCCATAGAGATGAACAATCTGAAACAAAATATTATATCTTCTGAATTGAAAATACTCAAACTGCTGCAGGAAGCTGAAACCCAGTAGGCTGTGACTTTAGGTTAAATCTTTTGATAAGTCTCGAATGACAGACAGGTCGAGCAGCATCTGATATCTGATAACAGCCTACATCTTGGTTTGATGTTTTTCACTTTAGCGGTGAAATGAATTATAGAAGTAGTTGTAGATCTAATACAGAGGTGGATAGTTCTCAGTTGCATTTATAAAGAAATTGCGCTTTCCAGAGTACTTTTCTAGCAGCATATTTTTACTCGTATTTGAGTAATACTATTTGAGGTAACAGTACTCGAGTAAGTTGTAACTACTGTCAGTAAGTCTACAACTAGCAAAAGGTTTATGTTGATAATATGAAATGATTTGAACATTTGTGTTTCTTCCACCACTTCTTCAGATATGGTTTAGTTTTCTCATTTTTGTATCTGTCCTTTGAAAATACCAGATTTTGCAAATTTTTTAATGATTTGCCTCTCATTATATTAAGTTTAAACTATAAAGCAGATGACTCTCTCTGACACTTACTCTTACTTGAGCAGTAGTTTCCCAAATATTTTTTTACACTTGATTGAGTAAAACCATGAACCACTACTTTATACTTCTACGTCAGTAATATTATTTTTGAAGTAACGTTACACTTGCTTTAAAATAACTTTTAGCTACTCTGCCTACCTCTGATCTAATAGCTGCACATCCGTTTTGTTTATCCGGCAACATTAGATTTCTCCCAGGTAATTTTCACACACAGTTCTTGGTTAATTAAAATTTAGTATTCTTAAAAGCAGAAAATAGCATTACATTACACGCACCACTACTTCTAAACGCCAATAATATCAGGTAAACTCAAGGGATTTCTTAACAGCGTCAGATACCGTTTGCATTAGCTCATCACTTCCTGTTTGACAATAAAAGTTGTATTTGGCACGCTGCCTGCTCTCCCGTCCTTACTTTACCTTACCTGGCTGCGGTTTTGCAGGTGAGCTGAAGGGGGCGGGGTCTAAGGGAGCACGGTCTCCAGTGAACACGCCCACAAGGTCAATAAAGCTGCACGCGCTGACTGCACGCGCTTACAACTTCCACTTCTTCTGTCCTCCGTGAACGCGAACGCTCTGTACAGGTGAGTCTCCCACCGGGTTTTCAGAAAAAAAAAAAAATTCAGACGAATTTATTAAAAAGAAATAAATAAACAGCTTGATCGTGCTAAAAACGTGCTGGAGAGAAAAGAAAAAAAAAAGATTAAATAAAAAATACAATTAGTGTCAGGTGTGTTCCCCCCAATTCGATATAACTGCTCCGTGCTGACGTGGTCGACGTATTTTGCACGTTTTGCATGCTCGTACACTCAAATCTTGTGAAACGACGTTTGATTGTGAATAGAGGGCATGATACGAACCTGTAACTCGATGCAAAACATGCTCATTTTGGTGTTTTTGAAAAAGAGATTGCTGCAAGAAAAATGCAGGCTGTGTTGAACCTAACGTTAATCCTATCAAAGTATCAAATCCGTTGGCGTTGCTGTAAAAAAAAATAAAAAATTCTAGTCCGAAATCCAGATTTGTTATATTTAACTCCCTTTTGTTCTTTTCTTATATTAATTCCTTAAATTATTGCAGAAAAACACAAAATACAGTACAATCTTTTTTTTTTTTTTTTTTTTTTTTTTTTAAGTTGACGTACTTAAACTTCTAGCAATGTTATTGTTAATACCACTGTGTATTTAAATGGCTGCGTACATTTTCTAGGACTATTTTTGGGGAAACAAACAAAAAAAGTTAATAAAAAATAAAATGTAACTTCGGCTACATCTTATTAATCATTTTGCAGCCCACCCTGTTCCAAAAAATGATAGCGATATGACCTAACCAATTAAGCCAACAGTTCCATTACTATACTGTTTTATAAATTTTAAGTTTCTCTGCAATAATCCCCACTAGTCTATTCAAAAGAATTGCGTGGACATGTGCCAATCTGAACCTTTGGCTCCTTGTTGGGGGTCCATCTTTTGTTGGTCAGGGCGGTTGCCAGGTGAGCTGTTCATCCCCCCCTGGGCTCTTGCCTCTCAGGTATCCTCTGTCCAACTGTCAACAATAGTTTGACTCAGACAGGAGCTTACACTTGTATTTTTACTAATTTATTTTCTGTTGTTTGCTTTCTGCACTGCAAAAAGTGATATCCAAGTTAAAATGACTTGAATTAAGAGCATTTCAACTTGAAAAGTAAAATTTATTGTGTAACTTTTCTGGTGAAGGCTGTGTCAAAGGCTTTTCTCCATGGAAATGCTTTGTCTGGAATGTTTCACAGTATGGTATTAAACCTTTCTATCTTCACGGAGCCCAAACTAGACCAAGTTACAGGTCAGATCTGTGGAGAAGCAACCCCCCTCACAGTCAGACATCCTTTTTTTTTTTTTTTTTTTTTAGGTGAGCTATAAAACCACCTGCAGTTGAATAAATGTAAGTAGAGCTGTTTAATGTCATACTGTGGAACATTCCAGGCAGAGCAATGACATATCCATAGAAATGAGCAGGTAATTGTAAATACAAAAAGTCTTGTTCCATTGGCAGATCATTTTACTTGTCAAATGAAATTTACTCAAATCATGATAAAACTTTCTTAATTCAAGTCGTCTTACCATAACTAGATTTTAGTTTTTGCAGTGCTGTGCGAAATTTTGCAAATTGAGTCATGGGGGATGTACAACTTGGAAAAAATATTCACTTGCAATTATTCTGATAAGCATTGTGATAAGATATGCAATTTATGTTTTAATAAGATTCTGTTCACAATTTAAACCCGTCCATAAGAATTGCCAAAAAAGACTGAAATATGAACTAACGAACAAGAACAATACAAGAATCAAATTTCAGAACATGTTTGTACAGACCTAAACCACATTGTTGGCAGTTTTTTATGCAGAATAAGACCGGATATTTAGTTTGGGGAAATTATGGTACTAAATAACTGCAGCCTTTGTGATTTGTTAATTGAATCACAATCAAATCTGAAGTTTAATAGACTCATTTTGCTGAACTCCTTTTTTATAATGTCTGAAATGTAGGATAAAAAAGGTGTGGTTAGATAATTGTGTAACAAGCAGCTAGCTTTCTCATGAACTGATGTCTCATCAAATAGTTCTATTGTTGTAGTTCTTGGAAAAATTGGGTCAAGCTTAGAGGATGGATGAACTGGATGAACTGGGCTTCTCTGTTGCTCCGTGATTGGCAAGTTTTGTCATTCACTGCCACCAGTGAATTATGAACTTTCGTGGGTGTGAGTGTGGGAACGTTTAATTTTTAAAATTTTTAATCTTGTTTGTAAAATGTTTTTTATAAATGTACCACAGATAAAATGGATTATGGGAGTTGGTTTGACCCAGAGGCAGCACTACCACAGGGCATAAAACTGCTTAGAGCCCCCAAACAATTTCCCTCAGTGCCACTAATGGATGAGGCCTCAGAACAACTTGATTTTCTCTCATTATGACATTAAATGAGGGAAGTTTTACTTTTAAACAATAATCAGTAAAAGAAAATCATATGTAATGGATGTAAATAAAAATGTAATTGTACCAGGAAAAAAAAACTACTATTTCTGGTTATCTAGTAGGCGACCTAACTAATAAGAAGTTTCCAGTCCACCATAATTCAAATGAAAAGAGATGCGCATGTCTCAAGAACAATGGGGAAAAACAGACAATAAGTATATTTAAAAAAAAAAAAAAAAAAAACGGTGCCTTTTATAGTGAGGGCCCCAAGCTCAAGTTTTCCTAGGGCCCCCAAATTGTTAACTCCACCACTGGTTTGACATTTAATATTAAAGTGCATATGACCGGCTAAACTCAATTGTATTTTATTGCATCAATATGTAACTTTTCCCCAAAAATAAACTAAAATCAAAGTGTGTTTTTTCACTGTGTATGTGTTTATGTCCTTGAGAAACAGAAAAACACATCCTTATTCTGAGCGAGCTTGTATCTCCACAAACCTGACACAGAAAGCTGCATACTTTCACTTTTAAGGTTGGACACTGGCAGCAGATGTGACGTGTACGAGTAATTCTGTAACAGTTACCTAGCAACCATTATGTTAAGTTTTGGCCCTTGTTATCTTCCTTGTGCGAAAATTATCCCTGCATTTTTGCATGGAATTTTTCTGTGTTGATAACATTGGTAGAGGTATTCCATTTTAAAACAAAGTTACTTCCTGCATTTTTTTTTTTACTTTTCTTTTCACAAACTACCACTTAACAGATTTAAAGCTATGCTAAATAGTTAACCACAAGTATTATCTGATTAAACCAAGTAAACATAAGAAAAAAACATGAAAACCTGATGTATGCTCTTTAACGATTGCATTGTGTAACTTTTTTCTGGTGGAGGGTCCATGCATTTCTTTGTGGAGATGTTCTTGCTTTGTCTGGAATGTTTCACAGTACTGCATTAAACCAGACCAAACTGGACCAAGTTACATATCAGATCTGTGGAGAGGCAACCCTGCTCAGTCAGACTGCCTGGTCTTATTTAGACATTTTTGAGTTATAAAGTAATTGAATAAATTTAAGGTAGAATTGTGGAAGCAGTTGCATATCCATAGTGAGAAAGTTACATAGTGCAACTTTTTTAAGCACACTGTCCATGTCTTCTGTTTTTCCAGGACCACAATGGAAGATTCCAGGCTCACCTCTGCGATCCAGTGTCTAGTGGGAGTGTTCCACGAGTACGCCTGCAAGGATGAGGAGACCAAAAAGTTGAGCAAGTCCATGGACCAGTTCAAGCTGAGCAAGAAGGAGCTCAAGGAACTACTGCAGAAGGAGCTCAACTTTGAGGCGAGTTTGTCTTTTGGAGCATTTTCATGAGTTTCAGATAACATCAGGACATTCTAGAATCTCTGTAGGTTCAAGTGCCTGTGACCGGTTGAACTACTCATTTTACTAAAATGCAATTAGATTCATTTATATTTGAGATTTCATAAAAAAAAAAAAAAAAAAATAAAAAAAAAATCGCCCAGTGTGATTCCTGTTTTAGGTTTCAGTTGGTTGGAAAATCATGGCCTCACATAAGGGAATTACACAACTGTTACCTCGTACACTGGGCCAAAAACCCTCTAATGTACACAGATACTAGTATTTAACTAATACAAATGTAAAAAAAAAAAATTAAACACCTCTAAATTTTACATTTTAAATTACAGGTGCTTAAAAATGCTAGAAAATATGCTTCTTCTGTGACCTCTCCACAGATCTGACCTGTAACTTGGTCTGGTTTAGTCTCCATGATGATGGAAAGGTTTAATGCCACACTGTGAAACATTGTAGACAAAGTACTAACATCCCCATGGAGAAAAGCATTTGACACCCTCCACAAGAAAAGTTACACAATGCACCTTTAACTCAAATAAGAGTTACAAATTTGGTCCTAGTTCATGGTTAATCCCACTGATTACAAGGACCATCCACACAAAACAAAAATTTACTTGGAGCTCAATGTTTTCATCACTGTCAGTTAAAAAACAAACAAAACAAAACTGGCAATTCAATAGTTTCAGAAAGTAGAACATAGACTGTATAAAGAAGTTAAAAAAAAAAAAAGCTAATTAAGGGTGCTTTCACACCAACAGTATTTGGTGCGCACCAAATGGTCCATTTGAACCAAAAGTGGTTAGTTCGGTTTGTTTGCGTTGGTGTGAAGGTGTCAATCGGACTCGGACCTGAGCCAAATCAAGCGGACCGAGACCGAAAAAGAGGTGGTCTTGAATTTCCCTTGAATCTGCACCAAATGACCAACTTTGGTGCGGTTCCTCCGGTGTGAACGTGAACTCCGGTCCAAACCAGAGACAGCAGGTCCAAACGAACTATTCTAGATGCATCATGGGAGGGACACGCTTCTCCTCTGCCTGAAATGACGCACTGTACGACTCCAGTGCAGTAACAGATTGTTGTCCAGACGCAGTCGCGATTTATTTTCGAAATATTTTGCCAACAATGGCCAATACAGAGAATGTAATACACGAAGATCAGAGCAAGTACCGTGTGAACGTGTGGCTCCAGAGTGAGTCAAAATTTGGGGTGTGTACGCCTGCAAAAAGAGGTCCCGGTGTTCCCCGTGTTCATGCAGCAACCAACATTTGTTATTTTAGGCTTTTAATTAACCAAATAATTTTATGGCAATAGGCAATCACCTATTCAGTTGATTCAACTTTAAAAAATGTCCTGCTTTTAGCCTCATTTGAGAAATACAGTCGGACTAGATCCACACCAGAGTCCTGAACCAGCGGGAGCAGCTCTGTTCAGGCCGGGCTCAGATGACGTGGAGCAGGGAGTGAAAATCACTTTCCCCGGGAAGAACCAAATGCGCGGAGGACGGACGCTAACCAACTAAACTGGACTCACGCTTCTGTCCAGATGCTTTGCACCACCTCGGAACCAGCCGTGGTTCTTGAGCGCAGAGGACCAGAGCAGCCCGCACAGACCTGTAGGTAGTCCACAGCGCATTCTCACTTTCCCCGCACGGAACCAGCGCGCAGACGGCGGAACCTACCCTCTCAGACCCAGTCATTGTGCACTGTTCTTGCTCGCCACCATTTGGAACCAGCACATGGAGGATGGAGCCTCCTGACCATCTAACCAACGCACTTGTAGGACGACAGAAGACCAAGGACCAGACCCCAGCCCCATTCTGAGGAGCTGCGTGGTATGGTGAGCGCTGTTGGCTGCTGCTGTTACTTGAACTCTGGGCTGATGTGCGGTGAGCTTGTACAAAGTTCTACATGTTGCTGTTTTATGAGTTCATGGTGATAAGTTGATGAGGACAGCCTGTGGTATTAACAGGGAACATCGGTATTGATAATTGGAGGTATCGCTGTTGTAGCGGGAAACAGAGGCACGTCAATCGGACCAATTTTGGTTTGTTTGCCGGTGTGAATGTGGACCACACTGGAGTGTATTTGCTATGTAACAATTTTATTGCCTGGTGCAGACTAAATAATCAAACTAGCGGTGTGAAAACGCCCTAAGAATTGGTTAAAAGTTGCTTTGAACATTTTAGACCAAAATGACGAGGCTCACAACAGCATTTAGAGGAGTGACAATATTCCACTGTAAGTCAATTGAAGCCAGAGTCAGAAGGAGCCGGAAGCACCTGCAGGTTCACTTCCTATTTGGAACGCAGTATGTCATTGTTAGTTAAAAGAAATTATATGGAGTGGGTGTGGAGCTAGAGCCAGTCCTAAAATTTCCAGTTCAACATTTGTAAATTCATATTTTAGAGATGTCATGGCCACGTACAATAAAATGAACAGAGGAAAAACTGGTTCTTTCCCCTGATTTGGAATAATGACCTCACATTCTAGTCTCTGAAAAAAACCTATACTGTTGGAAAATGATAGCTTTGTAAAGACAGAAAGTTTTTATTAAAGGTGCACTGTGTAACTTGTCTATTGGAGAGTCTGTCACCTGTTTGTCTCCATGAAGTTGTACCTAGAATGTTCCACAGTCTGGCCATAAGTTTATGAATCTCCATGGAGACTTGCAAGCCAAATAACAGATTAGATTTGTAGAGAGACGACCCCACTCAAAGTAATAATTTGTGTTTAAGATATATTTGGGCAATAAATAACACATGCAGTTGAATAAATGGAAGATAGTTTAGTTTAATGCTATACTGTGGACAATTTAACCCAAAGTATTAACACCTCCATGGAGACAAACTGGTTGTGGACCCCTCCAGCAAAGTTACAGGTTGCACCTTTTTAATCTGCATATTTAATCATTTCAGAACATTAACGACCCCGCCAAGATGGATGAGCTGATGAAGGACTTGGATGAAGACGGCGATGGTCAGGTGAACTTCCCGGAGTTCGTGGTGTTTGTGGCTTCCATGGCGTGTGTTTGCAACGACTTCCTGGAGACCATCCTGAAAGAAGACTGTGGAGAGTGAAAAACATGACCTCTGACCCCTCACAAGCCACACCCACTGAGCCCAAGAGCAGTTACTTGCATGATTTTGTTGTCAATCATCCACATTTCACAATCTTAATAAAAACATGTTTTCCATTTCTTTGTCAAGTCTTCTGTTTTTTTTCAATGATAAGTGGATAAAGTGGAACACCACAGGGGAACAGAAAAAAAAAAATCATTCTTTAAAAAAAAAAAAAGTGACTTATAATTTGAAACTTTCCATAGTTTGCATAAAAGACCAGGGGGAAAATGCATTGTGTTTTATTGTGTCAATGTAAAATTACTCATAAAAATGACAAAATATACAAGAAAATTACTGAGACAAATACATTAAACAAAATCAGTGCTCAAAATATGTTTCCAGAAGCTATTTTGGGGCATTTTTTTATGACAACAAAGGAGGCTCATGGCTACAGATATTGATCCATTCTTGCCGGTCTTCTATACCGTTGTTTCCCAAAGACTGGGTCGCAAGAGAGTTTTTTTTGGGGGGGTCGCCTTGTCATGATCTGCATGTAGGTCTGCAATATACATACACATACATCACCACACACTCCCTGCTCTGTTTACTGTTTAACACTGATTACTGTGTGATAGAAATTTAGATTGTGGAAAGATTTCTCTCAATCTGTCTTTGTGTAAATGAATGTGATTTCTACCTGAGACCAGACCCCCACAGGAAAATATTAAGACTAATTACATTAAACTAATGATTAGTTTATCTTTTAGAAACACTTTTGGTCTTGTAAACAAAACTTGTTTGGTTTGTTAGAAAGACCTTTCAATGTAAACATTTATGTTGCCCTTTAATTGCTAATCTTGTCAGGAAGTGACAAATGTGTGAATATGGAGGCAAATCAAATCAAGCAGATCTGGCCTCACCTGAGTAGGAGTCGTCACCTTCTCACTCTGAAATGTATATCTTCTGGTCATCTCAGGCTATATATATTTGGTGCTTTGTAACATTGGGGTATACTTGGGAAATGGGGCAAGATGTGGTCGGGACATACTGCTGGTTGAGAGAGGCTGTTGGTCTGTGGCCAGTGCAGGCCTAGGCCCTGTCCATATCTGTTGTAACAAGAATAAACCTTGGTCTATATTCCAAAAACTCATCAGGCTTCGCAAATGGATTCAATATTTAACTTCAAGAGATACATATTTTTTTCCACAACAACTGTTTTTCCTTGTTTAAAACTTGAGTACCGTATTTTTTGGACTATAAGGCGCACTTAAAATCCCTTAATGTTCGTAAACATCGACAGTGCTCCTTATGTATTGATTCTCGTTGTGCTTAACTGACCTGAAATTGATTTTCACACATATTCCACTGAGTCATCTCCTTTAGTCTGACAGAAGCTGACCGCATCAGCGCACAAGGAGTGAGCTGTTGTGGTTTTTTTTTTGCTTATAGTTTATGCAAATGAGCCATGTGGTTTTAAATTGTGTTTCTGTAAAACATAAATAAATGTGCACAAAGCTGCATTAAATACATTATTACTCAGTGTATATTTGAATCCTACTTGTAGGAGATAGTCTCGAGTTTCAAGTGTCGTCCATTTGTTTCGCTTAATGCGCCTTATAATCTGGTGTATAAAAATAGACAAGAGAATTCAACATTATTGATATTGCACCTTTTAGTCCAAAAAATACAGTCATACTATCACTTAGTCAACAAATATCCTCATTAATGTTCAATAATGGTCCCAAATTTATTTTGTAAGTTACAAATAATGTCTGTTGACTTGGGTCATAAAGATTTGTGACTTTTAAAATATGGGTCCTCAGAAAAAAAGTTTGGGAAGCACTGTTCTATAAGATCTTCTATCTCCTAAGGGGAAAGACTTTTACATATACACACCAGTTTTCAGATGATATTTGGAATATTCTGTTGTTTTGATTAGAATAAATGCAAGCAAATCATTCAATCCTTGTTCAGTAAACATTTGAAAAACTTGGTATATGCAGGTGCTGAAAGGTGCACTGTGTTTCTTTGGATATGTCATTTCTTGGCCTGGAATGTTCCACAGTATGACATTAAACAGCTCCATCTTACAGTTATTCCATTACAGGTGGTTTTATAGCTGAAAAATACCTAGAAAAACTGACATTCTGAGAGTGAGTGGGGTTGCCTCTCCACAGATCTGACCTGTAACTTGGTCTGGTTCAATCTCCATGAAGACAGAAAGGTTTAATACTATACTGTGAAACATTCCAGACAAAGCAATAATGTCTCCTTGGAGAAAAGCATTTGAAAGACCCCCACACAAAAAGTTACACAAAAAATGTATTTGAAAAATGAAAAAATGTCACTGAAGTTGCACTATCTCCTTGGGATTAAAGTGTGTTCAGTTTAGGTGTAGTTTTTCCTGAGCTATTCCCAAGAGAAAGTATATATAGGCCAAAATCTTCCCACAGCACGTACCTCTGTTATAAATACATGGCTTTGTATTTGCCACATTACGTTACAGCTTATTGTGCAAACCTAGTTATTCAAGTTCCTCATACTAACACTAGACAGGTCATGTATGGGCATCTTCTAAAACACATTTGGTATATTTGCATTTAGATTAACTGTAAATTATCTGTAAATTAGGTTAAAATTTACTTGAGTGACTTTTTTACACACTCTATATTACACTTCAGGTTGAGGGCACAAACTTTAGCGCCCAGACCAATGACATCACAGTCTCTGTTTATTTAGTGTAATCTGATTGGACAACTGTTCTGTCACTCACGTCACGTCACGTCACGTCAACCTGCTGCGTCAACTCGTAGCAGCTTCACGATTAGCGGCAGCAGCTACTTTAGCCTAAACCCTAAACCTCCCATTGATTTATAAAAAAAAAACTCCACACAGGAAATGGCGAGGACAGAGCCAAAGAGCGGACACACTGACCGACCCGCCGCCGGGACCCGGAGTTCTCGCTGCCGCCGCCGGGGCCAGGCAGAGGATAAAGTCTCTCCGCCTTTTCCCGCTCGTTTCTGGGTGTAAAAGTTTGTCCTGGGCGTAGCGCAGAGGCAGAAGTCCACCTGGTGTCCTGGTGCTAATATGGACTGGTGGAACTTTCAGATTTAAGTAGCAAGTGGAATTAAGTTTTAGTTTTACAACCAGCTCGTGCACTCGGCTCCCGGACCTCGCGTCACGGACCAGACTGGACCGGGATTTGGACCAGTTTCATCTCTTCATATTGGACAATAGACTTTTGGAGACAGAACCAATAGGACACTGGATAGAGGAAACCTTCTGCTTCAGTCTCTGGAGAAGGTAAGAGGCTGGTTTTCATTAGTTAGCGGCAAATGTGAAGATGGAGCGTCACAGGTAAACAATGTTAATAGTTAAATAGTGCGTAAATGAGCTGGTGGGTGCGGTGGAGCTGCTCTGGTTGTTCTGTCGTGTGCTGTAGGAGCGGCGCTGATGCCGTGTGTTCATGTTGTGACCAGAGCCTCTTATCTTATTGTAGTTTTGCTGTCGTTGTTGGGTCTGGGTGTGAACGGCGTGTTACGTTGTGTTGTTGCGTAAAGTTTTCGCGTGGCTGTTCATTGTGCTCTGATATAGTTCAGCCACTAGTAACCAAAATATTCATAATATATATTTATAATTTTGGCCTTGGTGCGCCTCCCAAAAATTATACCACAATTATTATTATTTTTTTTTTATATATATCACATCAGGAGAAGTGTGTGGACGGCGTGCCCTCGCGTACCACGCCCACTACAGCCCTGGTGCTGCCCGATGCGTGGCTGTTTCTTGCCCGATTGCTTCTTTCAGTGATGTTGTTCAGAGGTGTTTTTGACGAGGCTGTTGTTGAAGGTTTACAACCAGTGGCAGACCTTATTGTTTTTTTTTTGTTTTTAAAAAAAAATAAATTTCAACCTTTTATTATTGTCTTGTGTGCGTATCGTCTACCACACAGCCTCAACAACTATTGCAGCTAATAATAATAATATAAATAATAATGATAATAATAACAACACATAATTAGCCTAATACTGTTAAAGAAAAACGTGTTTGATAGCATTTCTGCTTTGTATGACTCCATCCCATTAAAATATTTATCAAATGGCCCTGCTGGTGACCCACGCCCTTCCAGTACATGTGCTCTGACTCCGCTCTGTTCATACATGTTAAACACACAAATCTTACAGTTCTTCTCTCAAATAGAAAACACTCTGTTCCACCTTGTGATGTCATGTGGTAATTCAGGAAGAGTTCCACTATGTTCTTGAACTCCATAGACTTTCACATTTTTTCCCTGGAATTTACTACTACTGAATAAATGGGTCAAAGATACAACTAGTCCAATTAATTTGGTCTTTCGATAATTTATGTTATAGACACATCAAGAATCTCGGACTTCCGGTCATTGCGCAATGCATACTGGGAAGGATTTTCCGAAAAAGTGAGCATCAAACCACCATGTTTGTTTTCCCAGTGGGATGCATCTATTGACAAAGCCAGTCTTTTCAAGTCTTTTGAACCATATCACTTTTGTTTCTGGTTCTGATATTGTCATATTTTTGGGATTTGGACATTGTAATTGTGTGGTTGTTGGATGTCCTAACAGCGGGAAACGGCTCGAGAAATTTGTTTGTGAACTCCATAAATGCAAAAGGGAATCAGATGTGTGTGACTGCAAACCTCTGTTCAAACTGTTTCCCTTCCCAACAGAATTGAATAATAGTACAAGGCGAAGGCGATGGGCAGTATTGATCCATAGGAAGGATGAAAAAGGAAACTTTGACTGCCTAAATCAACTCGAGTTTGTAGCGAACATTTTGTATATGGAGCAATTTTTCGGAGAATGCTTCCCAGTATGCATTGCGCAATGACCGGAAGTCCGAGATTCTTGATGTGTCTATTAGGGTCTTTTTTCAGACCAAGAGTTTTTTTTCATACCTGACAGTTTCGACTGCTCACTGGCACTCTTCCTCAGAGTGGTCATGTGATGTTGCTGTGACGTGTATGGTCAGCTGATTTATACAGGTTTTGGCGCTGTTTTCCTACCGGTGGAGGCAGGACGACAGCGCCATCTGCAGTCCGACTTCCTCAGGACAGTATTCCAGACGTGTGACAGTACTGGGACAGAGCAAACATCACTAAGACAGAGGACGTTGTTGGATTAAAGACGTAATCGAAATACGGATACTTGCCCACGGGACTATAAACCGGCATGAGGGTTTTTTTTACTCTCACACACCTGGGATACTGTCCTGAGGAAGTCAGACTGCAGATGGCGCTGTCATCCTGCCTCCACCAATAGGAAGACAGCGTCAAAACCTGTATAAATCAGCTGACCGGACACGTCACAGCAACATCATGTGACCACTCTGAGGAAGACTGCTATTGAACAGTCCAAACTGTCTGGTATGAAAACAAACTCTTGGTCTGAAAAAAAGAACTTTGAAAACAACTACTTAACGACATCATTACTTGGAACAGAGCATTTTTAGCTTTGGAGATGTAGACTGACACAGACTAATAATAAAGCTTCGCCAACATGTGAATGAAACTCCAGGTATGTTTTTGATGTCTGAAAGCAAAGGTGCTTCTGTTTTTTTAGATTCAAGGTTAATAACATTTATTTCAAAAGTAGATGTTTCTCTTTTCCTCTTGTAAAACAGAGTCAGTGACGGAATGATGAACAAATAATGAAGCATTCATACTTGTCTTTTTTGGGTTCTGGTTTGCGCCCAGTTTAGTCCAGATGTAAACTTGGTTTGGTACTGTTCTAGTAGTCTTAGTTTAGTCCTGGTTTAGTCCTGGTCTAATCTAGTTTAGTTCAGATTTTAGTCCCAATTATTATGTGGACACGAACAAGAGTAAACGCACTCCAAAAGTTTTAATTCTTTAACTAGAGGATTCCAGAAAATTAACTTCACAACTTAATCAATCCATGCATAATTTAAAGTGGCTGCTTGTTTTCGTTTTGGCTAGAGTGCTCCACAGTATGGCATTAATACGTCTAACTCCACGGAGACAAGCAGGCGATGCCACCCGATAAAATACTGATGAGATCTGTGGACAAGTGACCCCACACACGTTAACAATGTATATTTTTTCAAGGTAACAACACCCATGTGGAACCTTCCAGGCCAAACAATAACTTCGTCATTTATACATGCAGGTAGCGGACACCCCACAAGAAAAGTTACACATTGCACCTTTAACATCTTTGTAAATGTGTAGCTCATTGACAGTGGCTTGACTTTAATTGACCCATGTAGCTTAAACCCTCCTGTCCATTGTTGGGCCCAGCCGCTGTGAACTTAATCCTGTCTGGAGAAATTCAATAGCTTCATAAAGAGGCACAAGCTTTGTCAATTATAAAACAGGGGATTGTAAAACTATTTCAGAATCAAGATGTTAAGTTGACAAGGTGTGTAAAATGTGGGCGTCTCGGATTTCAAATAAAGCTGTTAAAAGTGAAATCATGCATCAACAGTGCCATCAAGTGGTGAAATGCAGCATTTTCACACACAGATGTTGACATTATACGTAAAAAAAAAATTAAAAAGAAAGAAAATGAAATCAGCTATGCAGCTTGCATCAAAGTTTGACAATTTGTTTTTTTTCTGCAAAGGTTGATTTCACTCAACACCAACTAAAGGCAACCATGATTTCAAATTTAAAGCTGCACTGTGTACCTTTTCCATCTGCTTGTCTCATTGTGCTGGCAGTGCTTTGCCTCAGATGTTCCACAGTATGGCATTAAACAAATATATCTTGTATTTATTCATTTACAGTTTTTTTTTTTTTTTTAATCAAAACTACCATAAAGACATGTATTCTTACTGAAAGCAGACCCACTTCTCCACATATCTGACCAGTAAATTGGTCTACTTGTATCCATAGAGATAGTTGAATGAAATGCCACACTGTAGAACATTCCAGGACAAAACAATAACTGCACAAAATCAAACCAGAAAAGTGACATAGTGCAGCTTTAACCCAATCGTGAGAGACTCTTTTAAGGTTTTGTAAACCCTAAAAAAAAATCTACAATGATAAACTTTGGCTGTTCATGCTGTAACAAAGGACTGTTAATTAATTAATTTTTCTTTTTTTTCATATTGCAGAGTGCCTCAAATCTCTTCTCTTCTTCACTGCAGTGCACACATTTTGGTAACACTAGCAAGTCAGTCGTATTCTGTTTTTTAAAAATATTCAACAACTGTTATCAGTAAAAGCAATATTTGATTTGAACTCATATTTGGGGACACAGTTAGGTCAGGTTTATGGAATTTTAAATAAAAATCTTACACGTGGTTCCTTTAAGACTTTCAATTTGGGTTAAAACATAATAGTAGACTAATAATTATAAATGTCCATTAAACATGACAAGTCTTCATTGCCAAATAAATAAGAACATGATATGCCTGAAACTCCATACAAGCATACAAAAAGAGTGCAAAGGCAAAACGTTGTCAAAATGTGCTCAGATTATCTGTGCTGCTTCAGAGCCACCAGTACAAAGTTTCTTGGGGAGAAGTTTGGGTTGAAGAGAGGAACCAGCTGACTGTCCACACCTGGAACAGAGAAGATACAAGAATCTCCATCACGTACGCAATAATGAATAATAATAATTCTGCATCAAATATACACCAATGAAGTATTAACAATGTGAGTATAAAATAATTCAAAAAGATTGTCTCCAGCTCCTTTCATTAAAGATGCACTGTGTAACTTAAGGGTGGAGGATCCGCTACCATGGAGATGTTGTTGCTTTGCCTGGAATTCTTCACAGTATGGTATTAAATGTATCTATTTCCATGGAGACAAGCAGGCACCAAAACAATTTACAGGTCTGATTTGTGGAGAGGTGGGCCCACTTACAGTAAAATGCATACTTTTTAAGGTAGTTGTACCAGAAAAGTTACGTAGTGCACCTTTAATAACATTTCTATCCATGATTTGCTTTATTCATGGGTTTACCAGCTTTCAGTTATCTGTACATTTTTAGGGACATTTTCCTATTGTAAAAATATCATAATTTAATCGCTATGGTAACATTCCTAATTTTTCATCATTCAGAGACCCGTAAATATTATAATTTATCTCTTCTTACAGTCACAAGATGGCTGCAGCAATTGTCACAGCAACAGTAACCAGGATCTGTCTTCTTCTGTTTCATTACACCAAATTTAATATAACAATAAAGCCTGGTTTTAACTTAATGGTTTGACTCTAAATAATGGGGCAAAAATCTGAGACAGCTGAGACAAAGTTATGTTTCATACAACTCTAGAATTGGATAGTGAACAAAATCTTGGAATGGAATCTATACAACTCTGTACGACATAAAATTGTACATTTGCATCGAAATAAATACAAGTTTTTAGTCAAAATCATAGGTTGAGTTGGCGCAATTATCAAATCACAAAAGCTTAGGTAATAAAATGTCCTCTGAAAAGAACAAAATATCCTCCTTTATATAAAAATGCTTGTTGTGCTTGTAGTTTAGACCTCTACAAACATGTTCTGAACTACGTGAGATTCTTGTATAACTGATCAGGTCAAATTTCAGTCTTCTCTCCAATATTAAAGCTCCTGGAGTAGTTTTACAATGAGAACTCTGAATATTTGTATTTAGAAAAAATCTAAATTACCTTATTTTCGGCCTATTAGTCGCATTTTTTTCATGGTTTGGGTGGTCCTGTGACTTATACTCTGGTGCGACTTAAATATTAAAATTTTCAGACTGACAGCTTCGAGAGGGCACTCTAGGCTTGTGTGTCAGTGTCTAGTGCTACTTTTACTTGTGCAGAAAAAGCCACTGTCTTTCTGCAAATAGTGAAATATGCAGCCAAAAATGGTAATTGAGCAGCAGAAAGAAAGTTTGGAGTGAGCGAGAAACTTGTGAGGGACTGACGGAAAGTGGGGATGGAGAACACAGCTTCACGGCAACCGGGCGGGTGTGCTATACAACTTTACTGGAAGTCATTGGATGAATCGACAAAGCCTGGACTTCAGTGACAATTGAAACCATCCTGTTGGGATTCAGAAAGGCCAGAATAATTCTAAGTGGAACTGATGCTGCGTCTGACAACAGTGACACAGAAGAGGAAGCGGCGCTCCGTTTACATCATGCATCTACAGTTTATCTCAGAGGATGAAGAATTTAATGGATTTAGTTACTTGGAGTGAGATCGTGAGTTTGGTAAACTTATGTTCTCTTGTTTATGCTATAATTATCTGAATAACTGTTAATATGTTACGTTAACATATTAATGCCTATTTAGCCTGTTGTTCTACTCTGTTGTTATTATCTATAACTTGCATTTCAAGATGAAATGTCAGTTCCTGGTCTCTGATTTTATAAAATACATTTCCCCAAAAAGTAAAGATGTTTTTTTCTTCTTCATTATGCATTTTTTGGCTGGTGCGACTTATACACCGGAGCGACTTATAGTCCGGAAAATATGGTAAATTTTTTTCCCCAGAACCACACAGCATGAGTGATGCACCGATCCGATACTGATACCAGATATCAGCGCCGATACTTTGCTCGATCAGATATCGGCTTCAAAATATAACTTCAGACGATATATTGGTTGGACATATGTAATGAGACTATTTACTGGTGTAGTTGGACAAGAAAATTTAAAGTTGTTCTATAGTTACATATGGGATACATGTGGGATAATTAACAGCTACATACACATTTGGATCAGTTGTGTCTTGTTTTATTTCTGTTTAAATGAAATAAGCTTTGCACGGTGATCGGTTGTTATTGGGTATCAACAGAAACTTGAAGCCATAGTATCGAAGTTGGTATTGAAGCTGAAAAAGCTGCATGGCCCTAACGCACAAGCTTACCGTTCTCCTGTAGGTAGATGATCCGGTCAAGCAGAACCAGACTCTCCACGACCGGAGCCAGCAGCAGAGCCAGGCTGAAGAACACCACCACCCTGCCCTGGTGCTCCAGCATGGCCTCCACACGAGCTGGGTCCAGGGGGAGGTCAGAGGGCAAACCCACCCGGGCCAGCCCCAGACCAGCGTACCTGCAACCGCAAAGAAAGTTTAGGCTCGTACAAACCTTCACTTCGAAACTTCAGTTCTCCGTATTGCTATGTCTCCCTGAGGTGAAGAAAATTGAAAGGGTCTCTAATGTAAGACTTAAATTCCATAAACATTGCCTATCTGTGTCCCCAGATACAAAGTAAACATGTTCAAATCCAATTATAGCTTTCACAGATAACAGTTGTAATTGGTCTGGTCACCTGGTCTATTTTTTATTTAATTTTTTTTACATTTTTTTCTGGTAATATGAAGTTTGCTGAAAGAGTAACTTCTAAAACAACTCCTTTATTTAATTTAAAAACAATACCTGTCTCTATTCCAACCCAGAAATTATGTAAATTGGGACACCATTCTGTTCATCTCTAAATACATTTTTCCCTGTCTTCTTACAGTATCTCCTTCAAACCCACAGCTATAATCAAACCAAACACTCTTTCTCAAAACTACCATAAAGACATGTATTCTTCATTTCTCCACAGATCTGACCTGTAAGTTGGCCTGCTCGTATCCATGGAGATAGTTATATTAAACGCCACACTGTAGAACATTCCAGGACAAAACAATAATCAAAACAATACCAAACCAGAAAAGTGATATACAGTCCCTGACAAAGGTCTTGTCGCTTATCCATTTTGTAGAAACAAAAGCTTATAACCTGACTTTAAATTAATCAATTGGTTTTAGAAATGTCTCATATGAAAGCTAAAACCCTCCCAAATTATGCTCAATATACTAAAATAAATTTGCTTCACTGAAGAAAGATTGATCATTTAATGAGCACAGAAAGGTCAGATTTTGGCAAGACAAAAGTCTTGTCGCCTTGTCATATGATGCACCCAATCCTAGATTACAGCCTCACCTGTGATCAGTTACTGATCAATCAATTAGTGGGTGTGTATAAAAAGAACCCCAGCACACCAGACCTTCACATCAACTGCAACTTGACCTCTGACAACATGCCTAAGATCCACTCTGAGACCAAAGCTTTAATTATCAAGAGGCTGAAGACCAGATCCACTGCTGAGGTGGTGACACCTTCAATGTGTCTCAGCGTCAAGTACAAAGAATAAGAAAAAGATCTGAAATGACTGGAGATGTTTTTGACAAGCCCAGGTCTGGCAGACCCCGCAAGACAACTGCTCGGGAGGACCGTTTGTTGATTTGAAAATCCAAGGCCCCTTTTCCACTGCAGTAGAGCTCCACCAGGCCTGGTCACCTCAAGTCCCTGTGTCAACCAGAACAGTTTGTAGAATTCTGTCTCGAAATGGCCTCCATAGTTGAATCAGTGCACAGAAACCAGCACTAAACAAGGCAATTAAAAAACCATGTGGCATTTGCCAAGGCCCACAGCCTGCTAAAAGGATGGACACTGGAAAAGTGGCAGAAGGTGGATTTCTCAGATGAATCCTCAGTTGAATTACATCACAGCCGCCGCGAATATTGCAGGAGACCTACTGGAGCCTACATGGATCCAAGATTCACCCAGAATGGTGGCGGAAAAATCATGGTCTGGGGTTACATCCAGTATGGGGGTGTGCAAGACATTTGCAGGGTGGAAGGCAATATCAATAACCAAAAATATCAAGAAGTATTAGCTCCTCTTACATTCCCAACCATAAAAGGGGTCAAATTTTGCAGCAGGATGGTGCTCCATCGCATACTTCTATCTCTACATCAAAGTTTCTCAAGGCGAAGAAGATCGAGGTGCTCCAGGACTGGCCAGCCCAGTCACCAGACATGAACATCATTGAGCATGTCTGGGGTAGAATGAAAGAGGAAGCATGGAAGGCAAAACCAAAGAATCTTGATGAACTCTGGGACTGCTTTCTTTGCTATTCCTGATGACTTCATCTACAAATTGTATGAATCATTGTCAAACCGCATGCATGCAGTCCTTCAAGCTCATGGAAGTCATGCAAGATATTAAATATGGATCTCACAGCACCACTACTTAATTCACTGACGTTATGCAACATATTTTTGTATTTGAAGTCAATTATTTGTTCAATTTTCTGTAGGTGACAAAACTTTTGTCTTGCCAAAATCTGACCTTTCTGTGTTCATTAAATGATCAATCTTTCTTCAGTGAAGCAAATTAATTTTAGTATATTGAGCATAATTTGGGAGGGTTTTAGCTTTCATATGAGACATTTCTAAAACCAATTGATTAATTTAAAGTCAGGTTATAAGCTTTTGTTTCTACAAAATGGATAAGCGACAAGACTTTTGTCAGGGACTGTAGTGCACCTTTAACCCAATTGTGAGAGACACCTTTAGGGTTTTGTAATCAAGAAAATTAAACAATAAAAAAACTTTGGCTGTAATAAAGAACTTTTAATATTTTGTTTCTTTTTTTTTTTCATATTACAGATTGCCTCAGATCTCAGAAATTATGCAAATTGGGGCACCATTCTGTTAATCTCTAAATGCATTTTTCCCTATTTACCTACAGTATCTCCTTCAAACCCAGAGCTATAATCAAACCAAATACCAAACCTGCCCCACTCACTCTGTAAATTGTAACATATGAGCCTTCTTGATGGTCTGGATCCCGGCTCTCTTCAAGTCCGGCCTCACGTCTCGTATGAAGCTCTCCAGCATGGCTCTGTAGCAGTGCGTCCTCAACAGCTCGCTCCCCTCTCTCAGCCTCCTCATGTAATCCTCTATGGCGTGGCACGACCCCTCCCGCGCCTTGTACGACAGCTGGTGCCCGGGCAGACCCCCCACCCAGCAGCTCATGGGGTACCCTAACTCCGAATGGTGCCGGGTGAGGGACGTGGGGCAGGGGCACTGAACCAGCCCAGGAGGAGTCGGGTTCTCCTTGGTGGTGATTTTCATGTAACAGCAGGCCACAGACGTGATGCCGCGTACGTGTGGGCACTTGACGAAATGGCGGAGGAGGGTGGCGCTCAGGTCTCCGCACGCGTGGAGGCCCGTGAGGACGAAGTCTGAGAAGCTCTCCTGGTCGTAAGGATAAGAAAATAACAAAAATTTTGAGTTACGATTATTGTGATATATATCAGATTTTCAATTTTGTATTACTTGTTTTGGTATTACTTGTTTTCTGGGGGAGGGGGCATCAAACACTTTCTCAATAAAAATGTTATTGGTTTGTCTGGAATGTTTCACAGTATGGTATTAAACTAGAGACCAAACCAAGTTACAGGTCAGATCTGTGGAGAGGCAACCCCACTCACAGTCAGAATGCCTGTTTTTTTAGGTATTTTTGAGCAGCAAAACCAGCTGTAATTGAATAAATATAAGGTAGAGCTGTTTAATATCATACTGTGGAACATTCCAGGCAGAGAAATGACATATCCATAGAAACAAACAGGTGACGGACCCCCAAACGTAACATAGTGCACCTTTAAGTGGAACAAAAGTGCAGTAAGTAGAACCTGCAACTAAAGCCTTTATTTCTATGTCATAAACACAGACAATTCATTTTCAAACTAATTTTCATTAGCATAATAAAGGTGTTGCTACTTTCATTGTATCATCGAAAATATAAAGAAGTTACAGTAATTTATCGTTTATAACTCCTTTTGTAATTAGTAAAAATATATTTCAAATTATCAAAATAAGGACTGTTTGTGCCACCATGATCTCATATGAAGAAGCTGTATGTGATCTGGTTTAAAACAAACTTTCTGAATGAAGTTAAATAGCAGTGATATAAACAGTCTACGTTACTTGTACTTTTGTGGCGTATAGATTAAATGGAAATTACATTTTTTTCTACTAAAATTGTCAAAATTATTACTTTTTTGGGCTCTCAAAATTATAGTGTCATCTGAGTAATCACCATTATCGATAAACAAACCATCTTGACATCCCTACCTGGTTGTTACACACAGATTCCTCATAGACATTTTGAGTTTGTTGGCAGCAGTTCAAAGATGACAGCTCATTCTTAGTCAAACATTCTTGTGTTATCTCTTTGAGTTGTGGGTTAGATTCCACATCTTGTAGTTTTGTTTCATGCTTGGAAGCCTTTAACTTCTTTTTACGTGGGCCGAAAGTGGGCGGACTTTGGCTGGCACAGGGTGATGATGACTGTAGCTGTTTGAGGAAGTCTCTCCATGAAGAGTTGGGGTCGACCCAGCCGGCCACATGACGAGGATGGGAGTCTGGGATCAGGAAGGTGCAGTTCTGGAAATTTCAAAATAAATACAAGTTTAGTCAATGACTAGTACTGATGTAATGTATGATACACATATTATATTTTTAACATGGTAACAGCATGTCTACATAAAATCCAATTCTATTAGAGCTGCAATTAATGATTATTTTAATAGTTCACAAGACAGACTTTTTAAATACATTATCAACCAAACAGAAGTTAAAATATTGTGACTGATGGTTTCTAGGTTTTGATGTAATAACGCCACTGTCTTTGTTTTAAAACGAGCCTTTCTACATGTGTTTGAGACTCTGTATTCCAGATAATGATTGTATTTAAAAAAATCTAAATTACTGTCAACTAGTCATGATTATTTAATTAATCCTCACGGTCTACATTGATCAAACACATTTTTAATGGGCATAAGATAAATAAACCCTAGTTTTTGGACTTACCCTTTTTTGCTTTTCTTTATCCAAGGCCCATAACAACTGTTTGTCAAACACAGTTGCCATGGAAACCAAGTGTTGATCAGCTTCGATTGCAGTCACTGACAGTCCAAGGCCATAGGACAGGAAGCGAGTGAGATGACCCTGTTTGGGGCAGAGCATGGTCAGTTTGTTCAAATGTCCGATTCCAATTGTGAATTGAATATATTCATAGGATCTTTACTTGTCCAGAGCCGACATCCACCACTTGGTCACAGCCGGTCTCGTCACAAATTCTCTTCACCAGCTGAACATAGAAATAATAAAAATGTAACACCAAAACATTACTGGTTTTTGACAACATTAGATTGTCTACATCTCCAAAATGCTCTGTTCCACCTTGTGTTGTCATAAAAAAGTTTTCAAGTTAACCGCTACTTTTTACCTTTAGTTGAGGAGAGACCGGTAATTCCAGGGCTGAAATTATTCAAATGATTCTAGTGAAGGCGTGCAGACTTTAAAAATACAGAATATCCTATATTACCATATCACATCACAAGGTGGAACAGAGTGTCTTGTGTTTGAGAGAAGAATTGAGCCTAAATATGCAGGGAGTTGTGTGTGTGAATGACACAAAACACAACTCCAGGTATGTTTGTGATAAAGAAAATACACTATGACACCAGAAAAAAGCGTAATATGGGCTTTAAGAAAAAGACCAAACTGTACCGTGCCCAGCTTGCGTATTTCATGTTGTTTCTTTGGTTTGACGTGTTTCCTGAATATATGTCCCAGCAGTGAGCTCTGACTCTGGTTCTCATGGAACTCCTCTGGCTTCCCCGTCCCAAAGGAAGGGTCTCTTTTGTGGCTGTCTTCCCTGGGAAACGGCCAAAGCATGAGCCGTGGCCCTGAACGCCAGCAGGGACAGAGGCCAGACTGAAGGGTACCTGGAGGAAAGGACAGTTACTTTGGAAGTTATTACTAATAAAAAGTAATTAATATTTGTCATAAATGTATTTATGTGACTGGGTATACCATCCATTCCCTGAGACTTTATCTTTTTTTTTCAGTAGCAAAACCTCGCACTCCTCCATTAATGTTGGGTTTCGGGGTATAACTCCTTTATTACACGAATTGCCATATACTTCACAATCTACTGAGACGGTCGCCAAATGATTCCCCCCATAGACTAGGATATTGGTTCACTATCATTTTCCTAAAAAGGTCCTCAATACCATCATCTTACCGCCTGTCTTGGCAGGTAGAATCTAATAACAGATCTGCTATCTGTGGAAAAGACAGATGTTTGAGGGCGGACTGCCAGCTGCTGGGTAATGTCTGCCACAGGTCCTCTGTGAAAAACTCCTGAGGGGCAAAAATATCACGTTGTAAGAATGCATTTTGATTGTCTCAAATAGAGGATGAACAAGATTAAGAAGTGTCAACATTATGTTCACTTGCATACACTATCATTAACAACAATAATAATTATAACATAACAGTAAATAAGTAAATGATGCAAAAAATATTATGCCCAGTCAAATTTCTTAGATTGTTATTTATATTTAAATGTTTTTAAATGTTACATACGATAATATAGGAGTCGGACAGGTGCCTGTATTGCGAGAGGAAAGAGGTGAGGTTTGTCGCCAGCTCTCTTTGTTGTTCTGTAGTAAGACTTTGTTTAAACATGTCTTCATTTTGACTTGGAAGAAATTGCATAGGTTTTGTATTGATTCCACGTTAATGCTAACACTAACTTAGCTCCGTTCTTTATTAACCCAGCTTAACTTGTGAATCGGTTCAGTTGCTAAAGCAATTATTCAACTTAAAAGTGTAATTCATTCAAACGACTTTAACTTCATGTACATAATAACCACAATCTTACTCAAAACTATCACGCTAACAGTGGACAAGCGCTAACAACAGCTAGCGTGCTAACTCCTGGGCGGTTGCATTCACTTACAGTTCGTTTTTTTTAAAGTTAGCTTCCGTTAACGTTGTATCTTTGCAGGCTCAGCGCAATACCATTATTACTCACTAAAATAATATTAATAAATGATAAGATGATGGTTATCCAGTAAAGTAAATATTTCTATAACGTTATTTGAATCGTAAATTAATTTTCTAATTCAGATTAGATAAAAATGCTTCAATAATATAACGTTAGTCCTAACACAAACGAAGGAACAATGGGTAGTGAACGCGGCATAACCTGGAACCAATCAGAAGCTGTTTTGACCTGGCATTTTCACGTGCTGAGAGCATTCACTAGTAGAAAAGGTTTGTTTAACTTTCGCTTAAATAAAAAATAGGAATATTGCTCCACCCAGCATAAATAATGCGTTGTATCTGAGTTTAAAATGATTTACTGTACTGTGATACTAGCAGACTGAAGAGCTATAACTTAAAGCTGCTTGCTTTTGTTGTGTGATCACTAATCTTTATCAACGCTACGATCATCCAACAAAGACGTGAGTATAGCATTCTTAAAGCACTGCAATATGCTGTAATTATAACAGACCATCTTTTTAACTGTCTGATTGTTGAGGTCATCAATGAACGTTGTTTAGGCTACTTATGTGTGCATTTTTTTGATATTGAGCTCACTATTCCACCACAAACCAATGCACATATTAGCTCACCTATCATGTTATGGTATAATTTAATGTGTAACAACTTGTAATAACATAATTACATTGAAGAATTTTAAGTTTTGAGTTATTATATGTTATTACACTGCATTTCTGGGATTCAGATGACATTACAACATTGTATTGTATACTGATAGGGACCAGATTAAGATATATTGCTACTAAAATGATAAATGTTTTTTTTGTTTTTGTTTTGTTTTTTCTTGTAATATAGTGAGCTCTTGGGTCTAGCTGTATCGATATCGAATCAATTCCTTATTATCAACATCAAGTTTGAAATTTTAGTATTGTGAAAATGCAACAGTGTACGTGGGTGTGTTATGGGGTGTTGTTACAAAAAATAATATTTGACATTTTTTCATTTATTTATATTTTTGTTTTACAGGAGGAAACATCTGAGCCATGTCGGACAACAACACACGTGTAAAAAAGAAGCAATGGAAGAGCAGATGGAGAAAGATGAGACAAGGGAACATCCAAAATTCCTTTAACCGCACAAACAATGCACATAACAGAGACAATACTCATAATATTCATAATACCAACACGCCACATTGCAATGAAACCAGTTTTACAGAGAATCATGGCACTACTGTCACAGTAAGGATCCATTCAGGAGTCAGCTCGGGTCAGTCCTCTTCCCAAACCTCTGCTCCTGTAAGATCTCAGGTTACCACTAGCTCCATTCCGCAGCAGCACTGCAAGCCAACTGCCTCAGCGCACCACCAGCCCTCCTCTTCTGCCGGTGTGGGACCTCCGAAGGGACAACAGGAGACACCTGTGGACTTTAAGAGGGTCCTCTCCGGGGCTGTTGCAGGTCCATCCAAACAAAGCAGTGGTCAAAGGGTTGTCCAGTGCTTCTCTTCAGTAGCTGCTCCATCTAAGTGTTTGGCCATAGACTGTGAGATGGTGGGTGCGGGTCCCAAAGGGCAGATCAGTCAGCTCGCACGGTGCAGTATCGTCTCATACGATGGAGACGTCGTGTACGATAAGTTTATCCGACCACCTCTACCCATAACTGACTACCGCACGAGATGGAGCGGCATTAGGAGGAGTGACCTATACGAGGCTATGCCATACGACCAGGCCAGGAAAGAGGTGAGAAGGAAACCCAACTTATACTGTTTAGCTTCAGCTTTGTACAATGCATTTTGTGTTATTAATTCTGTAGCTTCTCAGATGATACTACATTAATTTGCAGAAACTAATATTTCAGGTTAGAAAATCTGTCTTTTTTGCCATCTTGTGTCTGTATCATTAAAAGATGTATAATTTAGTGAAAGGAGGGATGGATTTTTAATGCACTAAAATTTATTTGGCTATTAAAAGCACTGCTAGACTACTTTTTTGCTGATCTGTTTTTGACCTTTTCATGCTTGGAAGCATATTTTCTCATGCTTATTACACAAATTAATGTTTTTATTAACTTAAATATTTCTTAAAAGTTTGCAGAAATTGTGGCATATGAGAAAAATGTAAAGAGGTGATTCTCATTTCTGTCAAACCCAGGTTACAAAATGAGTCCTTGTTGTGCATAAGCTTCATAAGATCTACTTTGGAGCTACGTAAACAGTAAGTAAGTGAGAGCTTATATTTTTATTGTCAGATCCTGAAGCTGATCACGGGGAAGGTGCTGATTGGACACGCCATTCACAACGACCTCAAAGTGCTAAACTACGTCCACCCCAAAGCTCAGATCAGAGACACGTCCCGGATCCCTCTGCTCAACGCCAAAGCTGGTTTTCCCGTGCAACAGCCCGCTTCACTCAAGAGGCTCACCAAGGCCATCTTTAATCGGGACATCCAGGTACCACCACCCTCTTCTTCTTCTATACAAGTCCTGTCCATTTTTATTAATAGAGCTCTTGAAAAAAAAAAAACAGTCAATCAAAGTCCTTTTCACAAATTCAGAGTGTCAAATAATAAAGTCCAAATGACAGGTTAGACTACTATTTTCATTAAAACATAGTTACCACATTTATATTTAAGGTTTTACCAAAAAAAGAAATTCTAGTTTTTTTTTTCTGTGAATTTATAATTATGGGCAGTAGATATGACATCCATCCATCCATTTTCGTCCGCTTATCCGGGGCCAGGTCGGGGGAGCAGCAGCCTAAGCAGGGACTCGTAGACTTCCCTCACCCCAGACACGCCCTCCAGCTCCCCCGGGGGGAGCGGAGGAGTAGATATGACAGATAGAGATAATTCCAGTTCAGTTACCTAGCAACCATAATTTAAACAAGGGTCAAAACATTTGCTCTGTTATTATTATTACACTAATAATAATAAAAAATAACCGCACCTTTATTTTGTTAGATTAACGTCAGAAAAATGCCTTCCTTGCATGTGAATTGTTCCTGCATTTTGAGTGTGTTGATGACGTAGGTAAAGGCATTCCATTTTAGAAGTAACCAGTGCTTCCTGTATTTATGTACTTTTACTCTCAAGTCTATTTTTTTTTTCACAAACTGCCACTTCAGACTGCCTCCAAACCATGTAATAACTAGAAAAATGTTAAACTCTGCCATATGCACTTTAAGTTGAGTTGTACATGATAACAATTCATTTTGATACACAGTAAAAATTATCCTGTAGTCTTTGCTTTGTAAAGTATTTATAATAGAAATAGAGCATTTTAAAGCAATTCAAGCATTTGTGCAACAAACCTGTTTGTTTGTAATATGCAGAACTGTTTGTGTTTAAAGGGGACATATTATTTAAAGTTATAACAGAAATGTTGCCCCATGATTAACTTACTCAAAGTTGTTGAGTAATCCTGTATTCTCCTGCATTTGAGGCTTCAGTGGTCAGAATTTTTTCTGTTTTCACCTACCCCCTCACTACACCCACTCTCTTCTTCTCTTCTCTGTTACTTGTGCATATTATTCATGATCAGTGTGGGTTATAGTTTAATGCTAAATTCTAGAAAAAGCATATCTTTTTAATAAACTCATTGTTGAGTGTATTAACTTGTGTACTTTTGTGATATAAAATCATTTGTTACATTGTAAAAACATATATAGAACAATATATATTTTTTGCCTAACTAGCGTTTTCTGTTTCCATTTTTACTCACTAGTCTGTCTAGTCAAAAAGACAAATCTGATGTACTGTGGCCAAACTGGGGAAAAAAATATCGAAAACATAGCAAAAACCCTCTAGTAATATACAGATACCAATAGTGAAAACTATGTATTACCCATCCCTGGTTCAAATGTATGTTCTTGTGTCTTCAGACCGGGAAGAAGGGCCATTCGTCGGTGGAGGATGCCAAGGCCACGATGGACCTCTACAAAGTGGTTGAAGTGGAGTGGGAGCACAAGTTGGCCACCACAACTCTGAAAAATGGAACAGAAAATAAATGAATTGTGATAATTATGGTTCTTAAATTACAGATGCAAAAACTGCTTTTATTTTTTTAACTCATTGATGGGTTACATGGTTGGACTGTTGAGTCAGAGGCTCTTTCTCAGGTAGAACTCAAAACTATGCTGCAATCACAAGATACCACAAGTACCTAGTGATCATATTTTAAACAACTTTTAACAGCCAAAGATTGTTTATTCTACTGTAGTCAGAGTTGGGCAATGTTTCCCAAAATGATATGCACATAAGGGTATGTTACTTGAAGCGCCCATATTAGGCTATCTTTTAATCTGTTATAATGTTGTTTCCTCATCACAAACAGACCTAGAGTTGTGTTTTATGTCATTCACACATCCTGCATATTTAGGCAGAGTTTTATCAACCAGAAAACATCCACCTCCATACACCTTCTCTAGATTCATTTGGTTGATTTCAGCACTGGAATTGCCAATCTCTACTGAACTAAACGTAAAAAGGTAGCTGTTAACTTGAAAACAACTTTTTAAAACTTTTTTATGATGAGGTAACAACATTCTAAGCTGATTAAAAGCTCATAGAGTCAGTTTTGTAATATAGGTGCTTTAATATAACTATAGTACAAATATAAAGTAGTGGTTCAAGATATTACTCAAAAGGAAACTACTGCTCAAGTAAGAGTAACTGTAAGAGTAGCAGTCTGTATGTTTCTGAATTGAACTTAATGTGATTAGATGGACAAAATATTAAATTAAATAATGAGATAAAACTAAAATAAGGAAAAAAAAAAAAAAAACAGTGGTGCAAGAAACACCAATGTTCAAAATATATGAAGGAACTGTATGTAGCCTGCACTCTACAGGAACTGCAACCAAAACCGAACCTGGGTCCATTTATTTGATTTCAGCGTTTCAGCATTGGACCTGGCAACCAAAATGAATCATGTAAGGCGCATTCTGCTTTCTGCTGTGGAACATTCTAGACAAAGCAATAATATTTCCATGGAGTTAAGCAGGTGGCAGTGCACCTTTAAGAACTAAAGCACCTAATTATGACACAAACAACTTGGACATCATATCCAACGTTTATATAATGAAGTTGTTATTAGTAAAAGCTATATTTGATTTGAACACATCTACCTCATGTCTGGGGATACTTGGGTAATGTTTATGCAATTTAAAATCAAAATGTTACATACAGTTCCTTTAATATTGACACGCGAAGCTTGTAAACAAAACTTTTACTGAAGTCCTGTTGCTCTGTAAAATATCTGATAATTAAGTAGGATAAAAAAGTACAGCGTCTGAAAACTACTCACCCCTGATTTGAGTTTCTTGTGAATGTTAAAATATTTTAAAAGATTGACTATAATGATTTTATAAATGTTCTATTGTTAAAAAAAATACATGCTTCTTCACTTCATTTTCATTTAATTACACTGCTGTAGTTCTCTGCAGGGGAGTCAACATAGGAGGAGCAAAGGAGTCTGTTGTCTCAGGTCTCAGAGTCTTAGGGAATTGGAACCTCTGTCTATTACCGTATTTTTCGGACTATAAGTTAACTTTTTTTCTCCAGTGCGACTCATATATTAAAATTTTCAGACTGACAGCCGCAAGAGGGCACTCTAGGCTTGTGTGTCTGTATCTAGTACTACTATTACTCCTGTACCACTGTCACTTCACACTCTACTGCGCATGTCTCCTGTAGAAAAAGCCCGCTGTCCTGCTGCATATAATGAAATATGCAGCTGAAAATGGTAATAAGCAGCAGAAAGAAAGTTTGCAGTGAGTGAGAAACTTGTGAGGGACTGGTGGAAAGCGGGGATGGAGAACACAGCCTTACGAGAACCAGGCGGGTGCACCATGCAACTTTCCTGAAAGTCACTGAATGGATCGACAAAGCCTGAACTTCAATGACAACCATAACAATCCTGTCACTATTCATAAAGGACCAAATAATTCTAACTGGAACTGATGCTGAGTCTAATGACAGCTACGCAGAAGAGGAAGCGAAGCTCTGTTTACATCATGGATCTATGATTTATTCCCGGAGGTCGCTCAGAAGTGACACCGAGGATGAAGAATTCAATGGATTTAGTGATTTGGAGTGAGATGGAGAGTTTGGTAAACTTAAGATCTGTTGTTTATGCTATTAGTATCTGAATAACTGTTAATATGTTACGTTAACATAGTAATGCCTATTCAGCCTGTTGTTCTATTGTTATTACTATAATTTGCCTTTCAAGATGAAATGTCGGTTCCTGGTCTCTGATTTTATAAAATACATTTCCCCAAAAAGTGCGACTTATGGTGTGACTAATATGTTTTTTCTTCTTCATTACTCATTTTTTGTCTGATGTGACTTATACTTCGGAGCGACTTATAGTCCGAAAAATACGGTAATTATAATTAAAGAGGGGCCCATGTGAGTCTTATTGCCCCAGGTCCCCAAATTTCTGTCAACGGGCCTGGTACCCTGTGATGTTTAATATACGAAACAGTGTGTGTTTGCAGTTTGGACAACACTCAAAACCAATATTGCCCAAGCCATTTTCCCACTCTGGATTAACTTCACACTTCTGAGCCCATAAGCTCCTCATATGGGAAGTAATATCACTAATTCCTGGTAAGACTTCATTATTAGCACAGCCTCAGAGGGGGGCTGGGGATTTACATAGGACTGACTAGAAGTGTTACTGTTGACACTTTTTTAAATATGGTGTAGACAGTTTTGTATTAAAGGTGCATTGTGTAACTTTTCTGGTGGAGGGCCCGTCAAATGCTTTTTTTCATGGATATGCTTTGCCTAGAGTGTTTCACAGTATGACATTAAACCTTTCTATCTTCATGGAGACCAAACCAGACCGAGTTACTGGTCAGATCTGTGGAGAAGCAAACCCACTCACAGTCAGAATGCCTGTTTTTCTAGGTATTTTTGAGCTGATAAAACCACCAGTAATTGAATAAATGTAAGGTAGAGCTGTTTAATGTCATACTGTGGAACATTACCAAGTAGAGTAATGACATATCCATAGAAACGAGCAGGTGACAGAACCCCAACCAAAATGTTACATAGTACACCTTAAAACTATGCTGACATGTTTTCTACCCTTCCCATCAAATTTGTACATTATATTTCAAAGATAAACTTAAGCTGAAATAGGGCTGTCAAAAGTAGGATTGCACAGATATAAGGCCACATGGTAATATAAAAGAAAGTACTACGATTTAATGCTGAAATGTTGCCATAGGCCATTATATCACAGGTCTACCTTTTAGCTGGACACGATTAGTGACCATGGGAGACCAGTAGCCTACATTCTGAGGAGTGTGAAGGTGTTACACAGTGTTATGAGATCTTTCATACAGTGTCTTGTCATCTTTTTCCATATGGCCATTGTAGCCTATTGTTTTGAATAGTTTTATGTTATTATTTTATTATTTAAATTCATCATAACTAGAAATAAGCTAATAACAGGATGATAATAATAAACATAATAAATATAGCCTATAGCAGTTTGTGTAAAAGTATAGGCCTGGTTTAATTTAGGCCTAAATCAGAACTCTCCAGCTGTAGTGAGGGAGGGAGCTGCTTTTCCTCTGTTCTCTTTATTAGAAGCAAAGGGGACTCGTGTGGTCCGGAGAAGGGGCAGGGCTCTGGAGGAGGAGGGGGGCCTTTATTTATACGGCCCGGTGCAGCGTGCTTCCCTCGGCTCACCTCTCCTCCTGTCCTCTTTCCCTTGCTTCCTCCTCTCCTCCGCCTCTCTGGTCCTCCGGTCGTTGCCCAGGCTCAGGGCAGCAGCTGTAGCGGGGGTGTTTAGAGCAGACCTCGGACTCACACGCCACGCACCTGCACTCTGGAGACGGGCACAATTTGCAAATGGACCCTAAAACTCTGAGAAAAAGGTTTGTCTCATAAGTTAAGTAGCCTGCACTTAATACTGGAACTTAGTTTATGTTTTGGTTTTAATTATTACTAAAGTCTAAAATGTAAATAGCCTATAGGCTGCATGCTGCGCTGTGGCTCATTTAAACCTGTCATTTTGGTGGCCAAACTCTATGCTGTGTTGGCATTTTTACTGTACTTTTAAGACTACTTACTCCCACCCTTATATTGGGTTTTTTTTTTTCATGCATTTGTTAGGCTAGATCTTTTTGCATTTTTGTTTTTGACAATGGCAATTTAATTAAAAGGTCTGCTTCGGTATTTTTCATTGATTTGTTGAGAAACTCATTCCCATTAGGTTTCCAAAGAAGATCCTCCTCCATCATTTGTAAAATTTGCTAAAATACTACATAGAGAAATGGCCTTGGCCATAAGTTTGGTCTTTCACAGATCATTGATCCTTGTAGAAGATGCTTTTTGCAGACACTTATGTCTTGTGACCCATCCACTCTTTTGGCCCTGAAGTGAGTCAGCACAGGCTCAGATGGAGCATTGCTTTAGACTGAACAGATCCAATGCTTCTTGAATATCAACATGTGAGGGCCCACCATCTCTGTTCCTCCCTCTTCCTTCCCCTGCCCTTCTTCACCCTCCTTGGCTGCTCCTCTCTTCCTGTAAGGCCAGGCGGGGGACGGAGGTTGCCACGGAGATGGACAGACCAAGTCATTTGAGGTGGCCCGATGTGGCACTGGTGCTGGGCCAACAGTGAGTGGTGGTCTGCACTGCAATCTGTTCAATGGGAAAAAGGAAAACCAGTCAGCAGAGGAGGATGAACTTTAAGAGAGGCTATTCACATCACATCATAATTTAGCTTTGTCCACTCATTGTTACACGTTCTATTTGAACTTTTCTTTACACTTTGCAGATCCGCTGTTGTTTCCTGGCATTCTGTTTTTTATTTGATGTGGCCAGTCCCGCCTCCTTCAGTGTGAAGATGTGACGTTTGCTGCATTTTAATTAAACAGATCCAGTGCATCTGGGCCTTTCACACCGCTGTTTTATACACACAGAGATTTGATTTGAAATGACAAAGTACATACTACAGTACCATTTGAGACACATTATTTACTTAAATTTATCATGTAAATGTGAAAGACTTTTGGCAAATAGACTGAAAAGAATCAAGGATGACAGGATTTTTGGTGCCTTGTGATGCATTGTTTTTTGTGGCATTTTTGCCACTTCTGACTTTTAACCAAGATGAATTCTGCACTCACATAAGACTGTTCCTCTCTTTCTCTTGTTGCCATTGACAGCCCCAGTAATTATAAGACATCAAAACTATACATTTTAATAACAGACTATTGAAGTGTCAGTATCCCACAGATCTGGGAAAAAGACAGACAAATATTGGAGCTGATTTGTTATCCATCCCTCATTTAAATATATTCTATTGTAATTACAATGCATTAGTCTTCATTTTTTAATCATTCCATACCCAGTGGGGGTAAGCTACTATTGTGTCCACAACTGCCTGGGGCAGACTGACAGAAGTGAGGTTGCCAATATGCACCATTGTTGCCCTCACCCACACACTGCACACACACCAGGCAGTGTGTGGATGAAGTATCTTGCCTAATTCCTGGAATTCCCAGTGGTCTCCCATCCAAGTACTAACCAGGGCCAACCCTGCTAAGCTTCTGAGATGTGAGGAGATCTTTGATAAGCAGGACTGGTTGCAGATGTAGAACCATAGAATCCTTACCTCAAATTCAAAAGTTTGAGCCCTTTTAACTTGGTAGGCGTTAAAAGCCCCTCTCAAAATGTGTGCTACTTCTTCTGTAGTAGAAGAGTGAGGTGAGTGGGCAGCCTCTCATGACCTTGACTGACCTCAGTAGCCTGAGCTGTGGTCACACGTCCACACTTCTGTTGCTGTTTGTTTAGCTCATAAACAGCCTCTGCCTCTTTGAGTCGTGACATTACACAAGGTCACTCCTTCTCTCTGTGACACATTTACATTTCATTTGAATACTGATATGTTCTTTGCATCTCAACAAATACTGTGTACAAGTCATAGCTGTGGTTAAATGTGCCTGTCAAATAGAATCGTAATCAGAAAATCTGAAAAATTACTCAGTTACAATCGCAATGGTAATTAATTAATTAACTTCTGTTCAGAATAGAACTGGATAAAAGAAAAATAATCATGGGTTCTTTTCTTCATATAGCTCGATTTTCAATTGGATTATTGTTTGTCTTATTAAAAACTAATAAAAATTGCTTTCTATTTGAGATTCCTGAAGATGAACCACATAGCCTTTTAATTATTGCCATTTACTACCAAAAGAGTCAAATTTCTTCCTTCAAAATCTAAATTCTGCTCAAACCACATGCTGTATTGACTTTAAATTATACTAGGTCTATACTTAATTGTTCATTAGGACAGTATAGAAGTAATTGTTTGAGATAATCAAGCCAATATTAGCTATTATGACCCTAGTATCAAATACATTTTCGGTTGCATTTTACTGTCCATTCACTTTTTATGCAAAACATAAACCTCAAAACATTGACTCTCAAGGACATGATGAAAAGGATATGATCTCTTTTTTACTGTTGTTGCTGTTTGCTGTTGCAAAAATAATTGTGATATTCTTATTTGCCCCTCCTCTGTGTGGGGAGCAGATGGACAGAGGCAGCGCTGTGTCCTTGGGTCTTTGTCGTGTCTTTGAGGAGCAGTGGAGAGTGAGCAGAATCCTGATGTCTCACAGCCAGACCAGTTACATTAGCATTATGATTTCACTTGTGCTTTCCAAGGAGATTGTGCTTTTGTTATTCAACTTAAAGTGGAGATAAATCAACTTATTATAAACTCAACTGCATATGTGTGTCAAAGAGTGTGTTTTAATAGCATTATCTACTGTTCCTGTTCCCTTTTCTAGCAATGTTATAGTTTGTGAGTTGCACAGTTAAAGGTGCATTGTGTAACTTTTGGGTTGGGGGTCCATCATGTTTGTTTCTATGGATATGTCATTGCTGGGCCTGTTACGTTCCACAATATGACTTTAGACAGCTCTACCTTACATTTATTCAATTACAGGTGGATTTGGGTGCCTCTCCAGAGATCTGACTTGTAACTTGGTCTGATGGTAAAAGGGTTCAATGCCGTACTGTCAAACATTTAAGAAAATAACATCTCCATGGAGAAAAGTATTTGACGGACCCTCCACCAGAAAAGTTACACCTTTTAGTAGCAGAAAAAAAAGTGGATGTAGTGTTTTGTTGCACTAAAATGTCAGTCAGACTGGACATGTTTTGTTTCTCCACAGACTGGGAGCGCCTGTGTCCGTGCTCTGGTGCACTGTGTGTCTGCTGCTTCTGCCTCCATCCTCCTCCTCCCACCACGAGTCTGGTAGATTACACACACGACATCACCTGTACATCACATGATTTATAGGTGATGTAAATCATGGCTTATCAAATCAAACAGCTCAAAAGAGTACAATATAAAATGACTGAGACACCTGCCATTTGCTGTCAGCTGAACCTGATAACCCAGACCTGAGCATTGTCCAGCTCCCGGGCTACATACCCTGTGGCTGACTCCAACTGGTTCAAGCTAATTTGGAACTACAAAATAAACATATTTTATAATTTTACCTCATGCATGGACTAAAACTGCATGGCAATCCATCCAATTTCTTCTGATTCGCTTCTAACATTTTTTCTAGGTCTAGGTTACATGCGCAAAGACGAGTTTACATTTTTCTCTTCAAAACTTAACTAGCGTTAGCTTAGATGCTAACACTGTGAGCTGCTCCTGTTGATGACTCCTGTAAAGGTCTTTAAGACATTCTTTTATTTATAAATGTGTACATTACATATGTAATTTAAGTACTGGTAGTACAGGAGCAGGCTGTACTTTAGTACGTTTTTATTGCTTTTTAAAGTATAATTTTCTGTGGTTCCGCTTACTAAGTCTATGCTTAGACCTATACGCAGAATACTTGACTTTTTTTGCAAACACCATCATTTGAACAACTTCATTGTCTTCACTTTTTCATTGCTTGGTCATAACATATACTCTTACCAGCTTGTCAAAAACAATCCCGATTTCTGCGTTTTATAAAGAAATACAATTAATATTATGCAGATTGAGTTAAGCATTTTGGCCTGGCCTTCTACAATATTTTCTGTTTCTCATGTGGCCCAATGGAAAAAATAATTGCCCACCACTGTCATAAATTTTGTATTTCAAACTTGACTTGAGCCACAAGATTCAAATGCAGATTTGTAAATTCAGTCCTGCTTTTATCCAGACTTTTGGCTCTTTTTGGGGTATTTAAAAATGTAAAAATGTGTCATTTTGATCTTAATCTGGATAAAAAATGTGAAATACTGGCCCCTTGACACTGTTTGTAGAATCATTAACTTATTAAAACTTTTTCATTTTTAGTTAGCTTATTTTTTAGTTGGACTTTATTGACAAGTACTACTTGTCTATAATTACTTCTAAGTCATTCTTTCAGTACAAGAGAATGATACAAAATTAAGACAAGATTATTTCTTTTTACTATTGTCCATTGTTCTTCTACTTTATCTTCTGACTTCATGAAAATAGTTAATGAAATAGTTCAATGATTAGTTGTCTAAATGTATAAAAGTACACTAATGCTTGTTGTCTTTCCAGATGACTCCAGTCTGCTGCAGGTGACCATCCCCGTAAACCCTCCTGTGCTGGCCGTTCTGGGGGGCTCCCTAACTCTCCCCTGCCTGGTCTCGCTCGCCCACCCCCCACCCTCGCCCTCCTCCAATGGGCGCCTGGCCGTGCTCTCAATGCCCCGGGTCAAGTGGACGGTGGTGAGGGCGGGCGGTGAGGAGACGGAGATCCTGGTGGCCAGAGGGGACAGGGTGAAGGTGAGCGAGGCTTACAGGGAGCGGGCGTCTCTCGTGCACTACCCCTCCTCCCCCGCAGACCTGACCCTGGCACTGGGCGAACTCCGGCACAACGACACAGGCTTCTACCGCTGTGAGGTGCAGCAAGGCCTGGAGGACGCACACGATGTGGTGCTGGTCAAAGTCAAGGGTAATGCTACCGACAAATTAGAAAATATTGGTTACAAAAGTGTAGATTAGGGATGGGAAATAAATAATAATGCCGTTTATCATGATAAACAAAAGAGTAGTGGGACATTTTATGTAATCGTGATAATGGCCATTTTATCACCAAAATGTGCAGCTACTTATCCATCATAGTCTCTGCTAGATCATTGTTGTTTTCACTGATAACAAAGTACAACACTGTAACATTTGTTTAAATATGGAACTTATTCATAATATTAAAATTATTAATATTCATATCCATAAAATTTTTAAGTGTCAGCAACTTTAATAATTATCGGGATATAGATTTTTAATCACAGTTAATACATGCATCATGAATTTCGGACTTCGGGTCATTGCATGATGCATACTGGGAAGGATTTTTCGAAAGTGAGAAGTGAGCATCAAACCGCCATGTTTGTTTTCCCAGTGGGATGGCAAAGCCAGTCTTTCCTAGTGTTTTGAACCATGTCGCTTTTGTTTCTGGTTCTGATATCCTCATATTTTAGTTTTGGGATTCAGACATCATAATTGTGTGGTTGTTGGATGTCCTAACAGTGGAAAACGGCTCGACAAATTTGTTTGCGAACTCCATAACTGCAAAAGGGAATCAGATCTGTGTGACTGCAAACCTCCGTTCAAATTTTCCCTATTGTGTAATTTATATGAGACCTCCAGTTTAGACCTTCATCAATCATAACTCCTAAAAATTTGTCTGCTTAAATCTGCTTAAAAATCTATAGGAGCACCAAAACCCATCTGTATTTTCATCCCTTCTCTTCGGTCCTCCTTTGTGTGACGTGTTACAGTGATGGATTGTTTTCTCATTCAATGCTCACAAACCAATAGATTCTGGATCTCCTGACCACACACATTTGGGACCTCATATTTCAAGTTTAGAACGCCTGCCTTTTCATGCGCAGAGGACTGATTTCATTCACGCAAAGATACAGCATATTTTGCACTGTAAAATGTTTGACAAATGCCTATGTTATTTATTTGAATTATGTTTGTCTGCATCGAAAAATACAATACGAATCAATACTAAATCAAAACAAACAAACCAAAAAGTTAAAATCTCTCCTTCTCCTATTTTCAGTTGAAGATATTAGATTTTTTTGTGTGTAATCCGAGTCACACCGGCGGGTTTCAAATAACAATATATTGAAAAAGACTGAGGTATTGAAAAGTACTATTTCTCTCAAAACTGAAAAACGTAATTTGTGTTTTAGTTTTTCTGCACATATTTTTAGATCAGTTCAAGCTGGGGTGGAGCAAAGAAAATGACAAGAATGGAAAAAAAAAAAAGCAGTAATTATTATAGCAGGGGATTTTCAGTGCAATTTAATACATAACTCAATCATAGTGAGTATTACATGGTACTGGATCAAAACAGACTTGGCTAAATGTCTCAAAAACACTATATATATATATGTATAATTCCATCTCCGTGTGTTTCCCAGGGGTGGTTTTTCATTACCGTGCTGCCTCCAGCCGTTACGCCTTCACCTTTGATCAGGCCCGTGAAGCCTGTGAGGACATCGGGGCTGAGATGGCCTCTCCACAGCAGCTCTATGCAGCCTATACCAGCGGATACGAGCAGTGTGACGCAGGCTGGCTCTCCGACCACTCAGTCAGGTGACCACCACAAGCACAGTACATAATAATAATAGTAGCATAATAATTGTACATAATACTTGCATAGCACTTTTCATGACACTCAAAGACACAAACACAAAGGAAGCAGTTTTGAACAAGTTTTCAGGGTGTTTTTGAAGATTATGCGTGTAGATGAGTCCTCTGAGTCTCTGTTATATTTTGTAGAGAAATTACTGTATTTTGTGGACTATAAGTCGCATTTTCTTTCATGGTTTGAGCGGTCCTGCAACTTCTACTCAGGTGCAACTAATATATTAAAATTTTCAGACTGACAGCTGCAAGAGGCTCTAGGCTTGTGTGTTGGTTTTGTGCACATGTCTCCTGCAGAAAAGGCCACTGTCCTGCTGCAAGTAGTGAAATATACAGCAGAAAAAAGTAATCAAGCAGCAGAAAGATAGTTTGGAGTGAGCGAGAAACTTGTGAGGGACTGGCAGAAAGCGGGAATGGAGAACACAACTTCACAGCAACTGAGCCGTGCGCAATGCAACTTTCCTGGAAGTCATTGGATGACAAAGCCTGGATTTCAGTGACAACCGAAGTTGCGCGGAGTTGCTCAGAAGTGACACCGAAGATGAAGAATTCAGTGGATTCAATGGATTTTGTGATTTGGAGTGAGATGGAGACTTTGGTAAACTTATGTTCTGTTGTTTATGCTATAGTTATCTGAATAACTGTTAATATGTTATGTTAACATTACGCCTATTCAGCCTGTTGTTCTTTATTCTTGTTGTTGTTATTACTATAATTTGCCTTTCATGATGAAATGTCGGTTCCTGGTCCCTGATTTATAAAATAAATTTCCCCCAAAAATGCGACTTATAGTCTGATGTGACTTATATATATTTTTTTCTTCTTCATTATGCATTTTTTGGCTGGTGTAACTTATACTCCGGAGCGACTTATAGTCTGAATGATAATCAATAAAAGCTCTTTCAATCTTTTTAATGTTTTTTTCTTTCATTTTTGTCTCTTTACATTTTTTTTTTGGCAGACTTTTATTTGTCAAGATTATTCACATCAATGTAACGTCAATAGTTTGAATAATTAGATTTTTGGTGTGCACTGAAGATAGCCACTGATTCAAGGGTTCTTTTATATTTGGTGCCCCCTAGTGAAGCTTGCATGAAATTTACAATTTGAGAGTTAAAAAAATAATAATGGAAGCTTGTTTAGGATTATACATTTCTACCTAAACTGGCTGTACATGATTGTTTTTCTCTTTTCACTATTTCACAAAATTGCATGCCACAATTTTTTAAATGTTAGATTTTTTTGTATAAAATTAAGTGTTTCCTATCTTTACTTGTGTGTCTTTGTGTTTCCAGATATCCGATTCAGATGCCCAGGGAAGGCTGTTTGGGGGATTTGGATGAACTGCCCGGGGTCAGGAACTACGGGCTCTTAGAGTCAGAGGAACTGTACGATGTCTACTGCTATGTAGAAAACATCAGGGGTGAGTGGGATTCTTTGCTTACTTTTTTAGTAACATTACCACTCGACATTATTAGACATTCATTTCAATTTGCAACTGTATCAAAATTGTGGCTGCATAGACTGTAAACTTAAGTGGAATGAGGGAGTGTGACATTAACCACAGTGTACAGTGGCAGTCTAATGTAGCCAAGTGAGGCAAAGGAAAATAAGGCACCTGATTGGCCTGTTATTATTGCTGATCTCTTGATTTAAAACAAACATTTTAAAGGCAGAATGAGAAGCCTCACAGTAGCTGTTACAGAGAGAGAGTTGCAGATTTTTCATTAGAAGTCAACTGGAGTCAGACCTCAAAGTTATATGTTATTGACTTTGTTAAAGAAGACCTATTGTGCTTGTGTCTGCAATATAGTTATAATTTATGACACCCGTGGATCATTATAATTTGTACATTTTACATCACACACTATTTTAAAACTACTTAATAGTAGTAATAACACGAATAAAACAAGTCCGTTTTACAAAACTGCAGAGCTCAATGGGAGCGGACGTCACTGTGAATATCATCACAACACAAAGCCGCAGTGGATTATTTTTCATTTGCACCAAAATGACTACCCAGCGCTGCTGAATGCTACATGTATCACTGATTAAGAAAATAAAACTGGAGAACGAAGTACAGAGCAGTGGGCGTGTACGGGTGGCAGTGAAAACGGGGGTTGATTGACAAGATGATGCCTTGAAAATAAGCGATCATAGGTTGTTGAAACATGCAGAAATCACTCCAGTTACAACTTTGGAAGAGTAAATGGTGAAACAACTATAAAAGCTCTAAAAAGATGATTTTGCAAAATAGGTCTGCTTTAACACTTTTTAAAAATACTTTTTTAAAGCCGAATACAAAAGATGCGTTATGTTCATACCAAAAATACAAAGATCTTATCTGTCAACTGTACCCCATCCCTAATCAGCAGTACTTTTTTGTTAGTATATAATTACATAGTGGTCTTGGTTTCTCTTAGGTGAGGTGTTATATGGCCCTGCCCCCGAGCGCTTCAACTTCTCTGAGGCGAAGTCTTTCTGCCAGTCCCTGGGAGCAGAGCTGGCGACCACCGCTCAGCTGTACGCCGCCTGGAACGACGGCCTGAACCACTGCAGCCCCGGGTGGCTCGCGGACGGCAGTGTGCGCTACCCCATCGTGACCCCCAGAGAGCGCTGTGGGGGAGGGGAGCCCGGGGTCAGGACTGTCTATCGCTTCAGTAACCAGACAGGCTTCCCTGAGCCACACACACTGCATGATGTGTACTGCTTCAGAGGTAAGAGGGCAGAAACTAGGGCTGAAAGGTTTGGAGAAATTGTAATTGTGGGATTTATGTTTTAATAAAAGGATTCTGTTCAAACTTCACATTTTAAACACATCCAGAAGAAATGACAAGAACACTGAACCGACAATCTAATAAAAGAATCACATTCAGAACATTGTGGTTTGGGCTGCTTTTTCAGTCATACATTACCTGTCAAAAGTTTAGACATTTTTCATTTATTTTCTTCCTTTTTTCCATGATTATTTACATCAAAACTGTGAATGGACACACATACACAAATACACACATGCAGATTGCAAAATAATCCCTTTTCTTTTTTTTCTTTTTTTTAAGATTTCCTTGTTGGTGACACCTGAGTCATGTCCTCAAATATGCCATTGCTCAGGAGAAAAGTTTCCTCAGTCTGTACTTTGCTCACTCCTCATGTCCCTGTTTCTATTTCAGGTGAGAATGGTGCTTACACAGACTCCCCTCAGGGTGAGCCTGCCACACAGCCCGACGACACGGACCACGACATCATTTACTCCATTCACTCATTTACAGTGCGTGTGACAGGTTTCATATTTTTATAATGATTATTTGGTTTGGTGGAATAGTGCCTGTGCTAAATATTTGTCATAGTTTTGCATTGCTTAAGTGGCATTTTGTGGAAGGAAGGAAGAAGCGATGAGTATGTCATTAATACCGTATTTTCCGGACTATAACTCACTACAGAGTCTGAGTCACACCAGCCAAAAAATGCGCTATGAAGAAGAAAAAAACATATATAAGTTGCACTGAACTATAAGTCGTTCCTTTTGGGGGAAATTTATTTTACAAAATCAGAGACCAGGAACCGACATTTTATCTTTAAAGGCAAATTATAGTAAAAACAACAAAACAAACAGGCTGAAGAGGCGTTAATATGTTAATGTGACATATGAACAGTTCTTCAGATAATTATAGCATAAACAACAGAACATAAGTTTACCAAACTCTCCATCTCACTCCAAATCACTAAATCACTGTATTTTTCCTCCTCTGTGTCACTGCTGCACGAACTCCGGAGATAAACCATAGATCCACGATGTTAACAGAGCGCCGCTTCCTCTTCTATGTAGCTGTCGTCAGACTCAGCATCAGTTCCAGTTAGAGGCCTTTCTGAATCCCAACAGCATGGTTTCGTTTGTCACTGAATTCCAGGCTTTGTCGATTCATCCAGTGACTTCCAGGAAAGTTGCATGGCACACCCGCCTGGTTGCTGTGAAGCTGTGTTCTCCATCCCCGCTTTCCGCCAGTCCCTTACACGTTTCTCGCTCACTCCAAACTTTCTTTCTACTGCTCGATTACTGTTTTCAGCTGAATATTTCACTATTTGCAGCAGGACAGCGGCTTTTTCTACAGGAGGCATGCGCAGTAGAGTGAAGTGACAGTGGTAGAGGAGTAATAGATACTGACACACAAGCCTAGAGCGCCCTCTCGTGGCTGTAAGTCTGAAAATTTTAATATATAATTCGCACCGGATTATAAGTCGCAGGAAACACCCAAACCATGAAAAAAGTGTGACTTATAGTCCAAAAAATACAGTACAGTGTATTTCATCCAAAATGCATGGACAATGTACATTTTACAATTTACAAGGCATTTTTCTGCTTGTTTTATTTTATTTTATTTATTATTTCACAAAACAAATCTGTCAACATTCAGTTGTATTAGTCTAATTATTGTCAATTTATACAAGTTTTGCTCTTGTCTTAACATTACAGGCTGCCAGGTAAATAGTTGTAGAATTAACTTTACGTATGTCTGTATTTATCTGCTGCCTGTGTCCAACCAGGAAGTGAAACTATCATATGTACTTTAAGGAAGAAGACATGGATGAAGTGACATCTCAAGACAGCCCCATGGTCCACCACACAGAGGAGCCCATAGAAAACCTCTCTGCCACTCCAACACAAGACTATACTACAGATAATCTTCATACTCCAATACCTGAAAAACACCTAACCACAACCTATATGGAAGATATAGTCATAAAAAGCGAGTATCATGAGTCTTTTCAACAAGTTCCTTTAAGTTCAGATTACACAACACTTCCAGATGACAGCACTGAAGCTGTAGAATCCACCTCACCCAGTGTAGAAGGTTTTGAGCACTTGGACCATAACACAACTGAAAGTCTAATAGAAAAAAATGAAACACAACATGTCTTCATTTCGCATACTGAAAGCGATTTTACTAGTTCGCGTGAAGACCACACTTTGGAGTTTGAAATAGACAATTCAACCATAGTCCTTGAAGTTTCTGAGGAGCTTGAAGAAAAGACTACTGTCTGTGATGAGATGTCCCAGGTCACCGATCCAACAGAAGAAGAAGATTCAGGAGAAGAAGATGAAACAGCAGCCAGTGAGACGACAGAGGAACCCGGACAGGAGAGCACAAACCCTGCACCGGGACATCTACTCACTCCAATTGTAACTGGGGCTTATTCCACTTCTGCATCAGGTATATCATTGTGCTGAGATTTTTTTAAAGCTTTGAATTGTTATATTCACTCAAATTGGCACACTCAACAAATATGAGCAAAGAATCTGAAGTGTAGCCTGATTCATCAGCCGGTTTCAGTTCGTTGGAAACTGTCTGACCTTGCAGTGTTAGAATTTGTTCGATCGATAGTAAGCGGGTACTTTTTTCATTTAACCAATCGCTGCTTTTTGGTCGTGAAGTATGTAATGCACCACTAATGGGGCTAACTGGTATATTAAGCTTTTCCCAAATCCGTAGGAAGAAGAGCAATAACGTCTTTCCCCTTGATAAAATTCACCAAACATTCTCTTTGTTATGACTTTAAATCCTTGATTTCGGGAATCGTTGACAACTCTGAATGTATGGCTCTTCGCTGATTTGCTGGTGCCCAAACTCACATTTTCATGGTTTTTGCAAACTGTCTAGTGTATTCCGAAAAAAAATATAGACAAAATACTAATACAAATGCAAAAAATGTTGATGTCACAGAACTAGAAATATCCCAAGATGAAAAACAATTAGTATGAATCAAGTGTATCAAGTATAAACAGTTCTAATGTTGCCTACATTTGTAATACTATAGTTTTTTTGTTTTTTTTTTTTTTTACAAATTTATTTAGTTATTATGTAACTTTTCTTGGTTCTTATTATGTAACTTTTCTTGGTTCACCACCTGTATTTTATTACCTTACCTGGAGTGTTCCGCAGTATGACATTAAACAGACACAAGAGAATCTACTTACGGTAACAGTTTATGTTTTTCACAGCATCATTTTTAGCAGTAAAATAAAAAGCAAGCAAAATTATTAGATGTTTTAGGAGAAAATTACTCAGTGAATCTTTAAGTACATTACACACATACTAGGCACTGTGGCTATTGTGAATCAATAATTTAGATTTTTGTCTTTTCAACAGAACCTCCATCCTCTGACATTCTTGAGCTCACTACAGTGGCTTCTCCAGATGATCTACCAATGCTCCAGAGTTCTCCTCTACCTTCTGAAGAGGCCCACACCTGAACCACTGACTGACACTGACCACTCACACACGTCTCTCCACGCAGTCACTTTCATTTCACCCACATACATCACACTGCCCTCTACCCCTGCGGAGGAGGAACTCATCTCCCAAATCTCCACTCACATTCACCAAAACACAGAAGAACCAGACGAAGAATTAGAAGGAGACAGTCAAGCTGAGATGTTGAACGTCACCATATCTGAAGATGGGTCTGGAGAGTTGTCAGGTGAAGAAATGGAAGTGAATGGACATAGTTTGAGTCCAGAGCCTACAGCCAGAGGTGGGTAGTACATTTATAATATAATAACTTTTTTTAAACTTTGCCCACAACCACATTGCCCAGTTTCTAATCTGGGCAGTACCTGGGGGACTGAAGAAAAGAGAGGGGGGAGGAGGGGTGGGGTCTGGAGGTATACAAACACTCTGACTGGTCTAATAGGTATCCACGCTACAAACTTGGCCCCTGTAGCCAGGTGTTTGTATCAGAAATACCTGGCTGTAATCAGGGTAGTCCTGCGTGATGTCAGTGCTGTGGCCACTGGAGTCACTCATAGATTTACATGTTTTTGACCACAAAGCTGCAAATATGGAAAAAAAACACACTCACTTGAGTACTTTCTTGTACCACTATTTTCTACTTTTACAATATTAATATTATTTTGAAGTAACATTACTCTTACTTCAGTACTATTTTTGGCTCTTCCTCTGCCCTCTGCCTACAGTGGACAGCACAACAGTAGATTGGGACTTCCCGCAGATAACCCTGGTTTCCTATGAGAGCGTGACACTGGGCTGGGAGCCGAAGTCCGATGGGCCACCCCAAGAGTCTCGATCTGAAGTACTTTATAGCCCCGTCACCACGGTGACAGGTGAGGCTGAGGCAGGGACAGGGGTGGAGCACCTGACAGAGACCAACCGACAGGAACATCAATGGTGAGATTCAAATGCCTTGCCATTTTTATTTGTAAATATAGAGACACTTGTGAATTTCTTTTGACCCAAAAAGTGAAAATCAAGTTGCAAGTCTAAATAAGTCTAAATATTATTGCCGGAACCCAAAGTTAAAACCATACAAAAAAAAGACTTCCACTGAATGGTGGAAAACTGATCTATCTCCATGGAGAATGTTCCGAAGTATGCCTTTAACTTCCTATTTCCATGGAATCGTTCAGGTGTCACCTTTCTGGAGGTGTCACCTCCAGAATGTTACACATTGTGCCTTTAAATTAGGTTTGTTAGTGGCATGACATTCATTTCAAGTGGGTATAAACCAAAATTTCATTAGATTCATTTTCAAATGAAAACCTCTGAACTGTAATATGACTGCACTTGTGAGATACCAACACATCCCCTGCCCTGACGTGTGCTGTATTGAACTGACAGAGCCTTGGACAGAAGAGGACGACTCCATGTCATCAGGGGAAGTCTGTCCATGGCATTCTTATGAAGAAACATCAGATGATCCTCTCACACCAGATGACCAGGACGTGCCCCTCCACACCCCCACCCCTCAAGAAGTGACGGGAGACGTGGAGGCACACCCAGCCATGGCTGCTTCTGTCCCAGAGGTCAGGATGTCCGCAGCAGGTTTGTCAGGTACGTCACGTGAGAACTGTAAAGGGGCAGTCACCCACTTAGTTATTATTTATAAAATGTGGGCCATCCTTCTGTTACGTGCCACTGTCTGCCAGCAGGGTCTTATATTTGGATAATGTGGACGTAGACTGTACAGATACACTGAATCTAATTTTACCCTAGCTAGACCTGTCACAAAAATTACTATAATGACTTATAGCAATAATTAATGTGAATTAATATGAAATGAATATGAACGCTAGAACAATATTTTTTGGGGCTCAGTACTTCAAATATTCTGAGACTGAAAAACACTGCAGATTTTTAGAGAATCAGTGAATGATGCTAAACTCTGTTAATTTGAGATGAGAGAAATGTCATTGTATCTCAAAATTATGGGTGATCCTTTGTTTCACATGCGTCACTGCTTATCATTTTTCTGTAGCTACAAATCACGCTTTTAAATATGTTATGGGGACAGGTTTATTTGACACTGTAGATATTTTGTGTAACTGATTAAAAAACTTTAATCTCTAATTGTGTTTTTATCAGACACCTGCCTACAGAGCCCCTGTTTGAATGGAGGAACCTGTATCGAAGAAGTATCCAGTATATTTTCATGCATCTGTCTGCCTGGGTACCATGGGGACCTGTGCGAGTTAGGTAAACTTTTATATTTTAGTTTAGTTTAGTTAGGTAAACAATTATATCTACAAACATTATTAGCGTAACAATTAGCATTCCTCTTTGGTTGTGTGCAGACCTGGAAATGTGTGAGCCGGGCTGGGATAAGTTCCATGGATTCTGTTACCGTCACTTCTCCAGTCGTCAGAGCTGGGACACAGCCGAACAGCACTGCCGTCTGTGTGGAGGGCACCTGGTGTCTGTCATGACCCCCGAGGAGCAGCACTACATCAATGGTGAGGCTATAGGAGCTGCACCTGGGTGGTGCTTGTAATATGTGACAAAATCAATAGTTGTCTAATTGTTGTGTCTATCCTTTGAAAATTCCAGTTTGTGCATTATTTGATGCTTTGTCCTTCCAATTACATTAACTTAAATTATAAATCGGATGTTACATCTCAACATTCACTCGTCATGTTACTCTTACTTTAGTACTTTTACCAAATACTTTTTACTCTTAATATATCTCTTCTTGGACCACTACTTTGTACTTCTACTTGAGTACTGTTATTTTGTATCATGCTACTCTAACTTCAGTAAGTTTTTTTGCTACTCTACCAGCCTCTGACTGTATTCCACATGGACGTGGAATACTGATTCAAGTATATTAGCATCTTATTTAAAAATGTAGTATAGACAGTATTTATATTTTACGCCTCAAATATAGTGGAGTCAAAGTAATACGCTCTCAACAAGAAATACAACCCAATTAAAGATCCTCAAAAAATAATTAAGTACTTCAGTAAAGTAACTTAATTACTTTGAATATGTGTCTTCAAACACACGAGAATTGTAGAAAACAAAAAACTATTGTAGATAAGTACATGAAATGCCATGTTGGACCACCAGATGGAGGCAAAGATTTGCTTCAGAGACTTGCTGCTTGGACCACTCATTTGAACACGTACGTTTTAGGATAGTGATGGTTATGCTCGTTATGCCCACAGTAATAATGAAGTAAACACAACTTTAAAGATGAAAGCAAAAACAAAGATAATATCGAATCAACTTTTTTGTTGACTATAAAAATTTTATAGTTATTTCCCTTTACCATTTAAACTCTCAAAGTTATTTTGTGATTTGTGCATGTTTGAGTAATCTTCAGTCGCTCACATTTTGCTGATCAACCATTTTTACTCCCACTGCTACTTACTTCAGCTCTTTGTTGTGATGACGTTTACAGCGACATCAGCTCCCATTGGGCACTACAGTTTTCTAACGCAGAAATCAGTAGATTTGTTTCTTTTATTAAGTCATTTTAGATGAATATTGCTATTTAAATTGTCCATATGATGACATAAAGAGCTATGGGTGTTGTAGATTATAACTATAAAGCAGACGACAAGATAAGTCGTCTTTAAAGTCGTCAGGAATGCAGCATGCTTGTCCTGACACCACATTATGATAGTAGATAGCAGATATTACCAGGAAAGACACAACAAAAAGCCTTTAATGCCCCTCCCTCATTCCACAGCTTCTGTTGGTATCAGATCTGGGGTCGCCATCACACACACTGCTGCTGGGGGCTGTGGAACCCTCTCAGCTGCTACCATGGCAGCCTTAAAAACACATACAAATTTATATTTCAAAAAAGCATAGGCTAAAAAAGACTGAAAGCTTATGTGTATATTTGTGTGGAATACAGTATCACATTTAAAATACGTACCTACAAAATATTTTATTATTACATTTATATATATATTTAAATTTTTATAGTATTATTGTTATTTTATGTTATGTATGGTATGTTTATTTATTTATTTTATTTGCTATTTTCTATTATCTATTTAATGGGGGAAGGACAAGTACAAAGTAACTGGTACAGTATGTGAAAATGACATGGTGAGTTTTATTAAATGTCTGTGTAAATGTACTGAAACATGTAATATCTTTTTAATATTGTATAATTTTTCCAGATTTTTTTACATCTAATTTTTAGATAAATTCAAAGAATATCAGTGGATTGGACTGAACGACAGAACTATTGAGGGAGACTTCCGCTGGTCAGATGGCAGCCCTCTGGTCAGTATATAGAATACCTTGTACACTTTGTATGTTTTTGTTGTCTCAATCACATGGATTTAATAATGTATGATATTTTTTCTCTAATGGCCACTGTCAACTCTGTGCTCAGTTGTATGAAAACTGGTCCAAGGGGCAGCCGGACAGCTACTTCCTGTCTGGAGAGGACTGTGCTGTGATGGTGTGGCACGAGCAGGGCCAGTGGAGTGATGTGCCCTGTAACTACCACCTGTCCTACACCTGCAAGAAGGGAGTCAGTGAGTGAACTTCAGCTTAAGTGATTTTAAAGGGGCTGTACTGTACCTGATTTTCTTCTGTGTAGTTAAACCATGTAGTTGATTTTTTTTACCACAGTGCAGATACATTGTAGCACTATTGTAGTGCACTGTTAGCATGCTAATTATTTGCATTATCATGACTGCAGAACTCAGCCCTGTCCTCTGAAAGTTGTGAAACGCACTTATAAACTCATTATGGTGAATACTGTATTTTTCAGACTATAAGTCGCGCCAGACTTGAAGTTGCACTTTTTGGTGGAAATTTATTTTATAAAATCAGGGACCCGGAATCGACATTTCATCTTGAAAGACAAGTTATAGTAATAACAGAATGAAGAACAACAGGCTGAATAGGCATTAACAACGTAACATATTAACAATTATTCAGATAACTATAGCATAAACAACAGAACATAATTTTACCAAAGTCTCCATCTCACTCCAAATCACTAAATCCATTGAATTCTTCATCCTCGGTGTCACTTCTGAGCAACTCTGCGCAACTTTGGTTGTCACTGAAGTCCATGCTTTGTCATCCAATGACTTCTAGGAAAGTTGCATGTTGCACCCACCTGGTTGCCGTGAAGCTGTGTTCTCTATTCCTGCTTTCTGCCAGTCCCTCTCGCTCACTCCAAACTTTTCTCTCGATTACCGTTTTCTGCTGCATATTTCACTACTTGCAGCAGGACAGTGGCTTTTCCTGCAGGAGATATGTGCAAAAAACTAATACACAAGCCTAGAGCCTCTCGCGGCTGTCAGTCGCACCAGAGTCGCAGGACCACCCACACCATGAAAAAAAGTGCGACTTATAGTCCGAAAAATACGGTAATTAAGATGCTTGGAATGTAGGTACAGCCCCTTTAACAAAAACATGTCTGACTATTTGTAAATCCAATCATTTCCTTTTGTAAATAATGCTACTCAGCTTCTTCAGTTGTTGTATTTACTCCACTTTACTGCTTCATACTGCTTCATACTGCTTCACCTTTAACTCCATATTATTGCATAACTCCCTGGCATACTTCATCCTGAACTAATTGTAATCCTTCCTTTTTGGACTTTTTTAATGAACCCTTTCATTTTTCACCTAAGGATCACATTGTAAAAACAGAACAAAACAGACAAAAAATCTGACAAGTGTGACCATCTGCATATAACTGTAAAACACTTTGTTGATCACAAACCTATAGAAGAGACTCTGGTATGGTGCTGTGTGTCGCTGTATATGCATTCCAAAAAAATAATGTAGACGAAAACTAAACAAGTGTGAAAGGGTTTGTGAGAACTACAGGCAAGTTTGTGGGTAACGATGAAACATTTTTTGGTTAAGTAATATTAGTATCCTAGAAGAATTCTTTGTAGTACTCATGATTTGTAGTATGAACATGTGTCTTCACCAGTACACCTGGGATTTTTCCACCACCGAGCATGGAGTGAATGAATAATGCACAAAATTGTTAAGTGATTTTGAACATCTGAAGACTGTATTTAAGACAAATGTATATTATTTTACATCATTATATTAAGTACAATGTAGTATTTTACAGCTATTTTCATAAAACTTCAAAATCTATAGCTAGCTTCATTACAGAATTATTATTTTTTTCATCCACCTATCACCGATCCCCACTCATTCCTCAGCTAATCCACATCCTAACACTCCCTCATAGTTCAAATTAGTTGTAAGGAAATTTCAGACGTGACTCACCGTGTTGTGTACTTTTATTAGCTTCGTGCGGTGAGCCTCCAAAGGTCGCGCACGCTAAAGTCTTTGGCAAGAAGCGTTCGCGTTACGAGATCAACTCCATGGTGCGTTACTACTGCGAGGACGGCTACATTCAGAAACTCAACCCGGTCATCAAGTGTCTGCCCAGCGGCTTCTGGGAGGAGCCACGGATTACATGCATCCCAAGTGAGTCCAGTTCCTTTTGCTGACCATTAAAGGTGCATTGTGTAACTTTTTGGTTGGGGGAATGTTCCATAGTTTGACAGTATAACAGCTCTTCCTTACATTTATTCAGTTGTGGTTTTATAGTTCAAAAATACCTAGAAAAACAAGCATTGTGACTGTGAGCAGGGTTGTCTCTCCACAAATCTGACCTGTAACTTGCTCAGGTGTGATCTCCATGAAAATAGAAAGGTTTACTACAATACATGCATCACGAATTTTGGACTTCCGGTCACTGCGCAATGCATACTGGGAAGGATTTTCCAAAAAAGTGAGCATCAAACCGCCATGTTTGATTTCCCAGTGGGATGTGTCTATTGACAAAGCCGATCTTTTCAAGTCTTTTGAAACATATCGCTTTTGTTTCTGGTTCTGATATTGTCATATTTTAGTTTTGGAATTCAGACATTATAATTGTGTGGTTGTTGGATCCAAACAGCAGAAAATGGGCTTCAGAAGTTTGCGAACTCTATAAATGCAAAAAGGAATCAGATTTGTGTGATGGCAAACCTCCGTTCAAACTGTTTCCCTTCCCAACGGAATTGAAAAATAGTGAAAGGCAAAGGCAATGGGCAGGATTGATCCCCAGGAAGGACAAAAAAGGAAACCTTTGGCTGCCTAAGAAATCATCCTGAGTTTGCAGCGAACATTTTGTATGTGAAGCACCATCAACGCAAAACCCCGATCCCTCGCTCCACCTTGGTTACGAAAAGTCAGCGCCAAAGCAAAAGGCACCAGCTGTTTGCCAAGAAACACTTTCCACTGCAAAGTGACCAAGACGTGATGTTGCTGTAAAGCCACAAGAGCAAGAAAGTGCAAGCTCAGCCTGTTTGTCTTCTGTACCTCTCACTTAACAAATGGGATCCCACTTTGTTGGCACTCCACATACAAAATGTTCGCTACAAACTCAGGATGATTTAGGCAGTGAAAGGTTACCTTTTTCGTCTTTCCTGTGTATCAATACTGCCCATTACCTTCGCCTTTCACTGTTTTTCAAATCCGTTGGGAAGGGAAACAGTTTGAACAGAGGTTTGCAGTCACACAGATCTGATTCCCTTTTGCAGTTATGGAGTTCGCAAACTTCCGAAGCCCATTTCCCGAGTTGTTTTCCGCTGTTAAGACATCCAACAACCGCACAATTACAATGTCCGAATCCCAGAATTAAAATATGACGATATTAGAACCAGAAACAAAAGCGACATGGTTCAAAAGACTAGAAAAGACTGGCTTTGTCAATACACGCATCCCAATGGGAAATCAAACATGGCAGTTTGATGCTCACTTTTTTGGAAAATTCTTCCCAGTATGCATTGCGCAATGACTAGACGTTCGAAATTCGTGATGCATGTATACTGTGAAACCTTCCAGACAAAGCAATAACAAATAACAAAGCAATAACGAAAAGCATTTGACAGACCCTTCACCAAAAAAGTTGCACAATACACTTTAAAGAGCACATATTACGCAAAATTGCCTTTTTCAAGCTTTTGACCATGTTAGAATATTGTTCCCTCATCAAACACATATATCAAGTTGCATTTTCCTTCATTCATTCACGCTTCTTTGATTAATCTTGTGTAGTAAATTCACTCCCCACAAAGCAGTTTGAATTTTCCCAGGTTTGTTGCATCACAGCATATTGTATATTGTACATTACCCCGTGGTGAGTCCATAAATCATCACCATCATTACTACTGTGTGTTTACATTGTCAACATGTCTGGGAATGTTTCTTAAAGAGCTAACGTTTGTGTTTTATTCCCCTCATTGGTAATTCTCTCTGCTGCCAGTAGATAGAGCCCTACTCTAGATTTCAGTATGGGGAGTGGCCAAGCATGAAAATAATTACTGGTTCTTTACAAAGACATTATCCTAAGTTCTAAAACATGAGAAGCCAAAGCAAAAAATACTGAAGAGCATGTTTTATATGTTGTAATGTTTTTTCCTCATCACAAACAGACCTGGAGTTGTGTTTTGTTTCATTCACACATGTTTAACACATAAACCCTGCATATTCAGGCTTAGTTCTTCTCTCAAATGGAAAACACTCCATCTTGTGATGTCATGAGGCAATACAGGAAGACTCCATTGTGTTTTTAAACTCCATACACCTTCACATACACCTTCACTAGAATAAACCTGGAATTGCCAATCTCTACTAAACAAAAGGTTAAAGGTAGGTGTTAACTTGAAAACGACACCTTCATGACATCACAAAGTGGAACAGAACATAGACAGATTAATAATGCAGGGTTAATCAAACATGCGCATGAAACAAAACTCAACTCCAGGCATGTATTTGAGGAGGTAACAACATTCTAACATGGATTAAAGCTCACAACAGACAGTTTTTTTAATGACATTTAAAGGCCAATAACAATACAATAATCCATAATGTGTGTTCTTTAAAACATCTTTACATCAAGCTAAAATGTCAACTTATCTCATGATTTTATTTACTTTTCAGATTTTGCACATTTGATGAAAGAGGCCTCTGTCACCACTCCCCCAGCTGAGAGTGTGACTGCACAGAAGTCTGCTCCACAGTTCCGGTACATCAAATGGGACATCTAATTATTATTACTACATTATTATATTCTGTGTATGACTGTAATAACTACTGCACTGAATCTAAATGTTGCTGTTGAAATAGATCCCATATCATGACATGCATAGTCATAGATGATATACGACAATGGACAATCTGGATGTTATATGTTTTATGATTATAGCTGATTTTTTGTTTTGTTTTTAAATAACAGAAAATGAGTCTTGAAACTGTCTCTTACTGATAAGTGCTGTTATGAGGCAGTAAAGCTGAAGTTGGAATAAGGGAATACCTAAACTGTATATTTTGCACGTTGTACATTACCACATTTAAACTGCAAACACTTTTATCCTGTGACTCATATGTTCACTTTAGATAGTTTTTATCTGCATTCTGACACTTTTCAATAATAAAAATGCTCCCCTCTGCCTGCTGTTTATTTAACATTTATTACATTAGTACTTGGATGGGAGACCGCTGGGAATATTGGGTACCACAGTGGGGCGCCAGTGGCAAAAACAGTTGTTTACCCACATTGCCTAGTATGAAAGTGGGATGTGTATAAGTGTTGGTGGTGGTCAGAGAGGCCGATGGCACAGATTGGCATCCTCACTTCCATCAGTCTGCCCCAGGGCAGCAGTAGCTACAATAGTCTGTCAGTGTCTCATTTGGGTTGCCAGTTTCAGTGTTGAAATCCAGTTGGTGTAAACCTGAAAGGACTCCCTCTGATCTGAATCCTCTCTACTTAATCCCCAGTGCCTGCAGTCAGCCATTAATCAGTGCTAGTGCAGCCTCTGCAGCTCAGTGAGTGCCTCTATCTGCAGATTTAGGTACTGGTAATCCAGGTTCACTAGTGATTGTGATACCCCTTTAAAATCACGCAGGCCCCATACTGTTTCTTTAAAATGTAGGCATTTATCCAAATGAAACACTTGGGCATGGGAAATCTCAAAACTCGTATTTTCTGGCATCGTAATTTCAACATAATGGATAGACCCAACTGAATGTTGTAGTAGATGATTTATTAGCAGTAAAAAGGTTAGGTCATGTGTCATCTATGAAATACATTTTCATAATATCTTTTACACTATAATAAATTATTATATATGACATTTCTTGTCATCTTGTAGAATAATAACATGGATAAATGCAAGCACCTTTAGTTGTATTTACAGTATCTATTAAATTCACAAATGAAGACACAGAAAATAGTCATATCATTATATAAATACTTACAGTCCCAAACAGAGTCATAAAACAAATAAATTAAAGCAGCAATAGTATGATTTAGACCCACATCATAGTTACCCACTCGTTACCTATAACAGTAAGCTCCATAGAGGTGAGCCTTTTTATCTGGAAATCCAAATGAACGGACCCCCGCCTCTGATACCCCTCCACAGCGCCTCCTGGGGTTACTGATGGGGAAGCGCACACTGCCGTCTCTCAGCCAGCCTCCATCGCACCGGTCGTACTGGTGGAAATGCCAGGCAGAGTATAACTGTCCAACTGCAGCTAGCTCTGCTCCTACCTTTGTACAAGCCAACTGTGCCTGCTCATAGGAGAAGGCACCACGCACATAGAAGACAGATCCTAGGGAAGAAAAAGTACAAATCTTACACTTATTCAAAGGAAGTTTGTAGTTTTAAAAATATACTATTATCATATCTAAACGTGGGTTGCCAGTGCCTTAACCTGCATAAAGAGAACACATACAAGTTTTTCCATTTTTTTCATTATATAGTCATGCCTCATGTGAAAGCTCAGAACCTCCAGAATACACTTACTGAGCTGTAGAGGCTGCACTAGCACTGATTCATGACTGCCTACATGTGCTTAGGTTTAGGCATATACTGTATAAAAAACTGGACTAAGGGAGTGTGATGTCACCCTCACCCATAGCATTTGGCTCCACCCAAATGAAGCCAAATGAAACCAATCGAGGCAGTGGCCCCCATAAGAAATGAACAGGGTACAAATCTAAAAACAACTCACCAGGCGCCAACGAGGTGAAGCAGAAAGCATCAAAATGATCTCTCTTCTTGTCCTTGGGACCATAGCTGCGTATGCCCGGCTGCAGCCCCCCTCCACAGACCGCTCTGGGCTGGATGATCGGGTACTGTGCTGTGCCGTCGTGGAGCCAACCAGCATTACACCAGTCCAAGCCCTTTGTCCAGGCTGGTATTCATAACATAATAGTTTTACCATTTATTGAGAAATGTCAGTTAGTGTTAATATAATGTTGAGGTACCTCTGTAGAGCTGGTCGAACGTAGCTAAAGTCGCGTCATTCTCCGCACACGCTTCCTTTGCCTCATGGTAAGTGAATCTGTATCGGCCGTGTTTACTCTGATATGGAAACACTAATCCTGAAAGCAGCAAGTTATCAGGGCAGTATTAGGATCTCTTTCTTTTATCCTGTTTATTATGCATTATTTCTATTGTTTTCTGGCCTATAAGCGTGCATAGTTACCTGGTCTTGGTCTATGACAGCTTTTGTTTTCACTTGGTCCTGAATCCAAAACTGTCTCATCTCTAAGTTAGTGTTGTTTGGTTTCTGCCTTGACCCATGATAGTTTTGTTTTTGTCCCCCTAAATTCTACAGTAATCTATGGACTGATGACTGATATGAACTGATAAACTAATATAAGAATTCCATTTATTTCAGAACATGTTTATAGGTTCAGTTTATGAAAGTCTATGGGGATGCCATCTTGTGTCAAACACATTTCAAGCATCTTGAGAGTTCATGCTCCAGGCTTCAAACGCCAGAGTCTTAAAATCTGAACTTTTGATATAGTTCATGGTGTGTCAGCATGTTTCTAACATCTGCCCTCAAATGCAAAAGTCTAACTAGAGGCACGATTTTGGCGCCATGGTTTGAACGTAGCATAAGACTTTACTATAAAGACTGGATAGTTAGTTCTTTGCTGACGACATTCTGTCATTTAAAAAGTGCAGCCATTGCAATATATTGGTGGCAACTCAAATTGTGAATTTATAATTTCGTTTAATTTGTGCAGCCCTAGTCTGAACCATGATCTCCTAAACTCTTCATCAAGCTTTAGTCTGGCCTTCTAATGTTCAGGTCTTGTCTTAAGTGTTGTTCAGTATAGTCTTATCCACACTAAAAGCTCTTTACCACAGTTTCCATTGCCACTGACCTTCTATACTCAAAGTGATGACCACATTCTCATCCTCTATGCCGTCGATGAGCTCACAGCGGTACCTGCCTCCGTCCTCCAGCGCTAGGAGGTGGAGTTGTATAGACACGTCCATGGCGTGGGCATTCCTGGGAGTGGCGCGTGGTCCCAGACGTCCGTAGGGTTTGTATCCCTGAGCACTGAGCATCATGACCACATTCTGTACCCCCATCGCCTCCGGGTCCAGTTTAGTCCATTTCACTTTGTAATGTTTAGGCTTATTTTTCAGTAAACATGGTAAAGTGACATTGTCCCCTCTTCGACCCGTGACTTCAGCATATACAGGGGGCTCAATGAGGTACTGCAGTTCTTTAGTTTCTGAAAGCAAGTGAGGGAGTTTAAAGTTACATTTTTGTTTGTGTTTACTAAAGACTTCCTGTGTGAGTTTTTAGGTGGAGAGCCAAGGTGTTGTTGTTTTGTCTGGAATGCTCCACCGAATGGCATAACACTTAGCCATAACTATGGAAACCAAGTATTTCTGCCAATAATAATGTCTGTAATCAAATGACTGAAAGATAGATACAGAACAAAGTAAAAACCATACTGTGGAACATTCGACAGCGACCAAGAGTATTTTCAGAGGCCATAAGGAAGGAACCTCCTCCATTAAACCCTAACAGCTGTAAAATAAGAGCAATGATACAAAGAGCACATAAGTCCATAAAATCATGTACAAAATTACAATTGAAAATCGTGATTATTTTGAATTTATTTTTACAAATGATATTTTTGCTATTTGTTATTATAGTATATTGTGATGTGTGAGCTTCTGTGTCCAAATAATTACAAATCAATAAAGTTTGTCTAAGGCTAAATACTGTAAATTGGAATTTTATGTAGTAAATGTAGACAATCTCTCCCAGCACAGTGCAATCTCTCATCAACCATTAAAACAGGTTTGTGAACTTTGAAATGCATCACTTTCGAAATAACTATGTGTACTGTACAGTATACAGTATCACATTCCACACTTCACACGCTTTAGTTCGTTTTTGTTCTATAGGTAACCACAGTCAGATTAATGAAAAAGTACTACATGATATGCTCCCAGTCTGATTCAAAATACAGTAGAAATAATAAGAGCAGTTATGTACTTTGAACAGAGCTGTTTTTTTCTGCTGTGTAAACATTGTAGATCACTGTACCTGTTTCTAGAGGTGCAGATATGGCCCACAACCAGCTTGAAATCAGAAGAAAACAGATCCCAGCGGACCACATTGTAGGAGGGGATGTTCCGCTACTGTAAGAAACACAACTTTACACCAGTTTTACACCAAAAATATGACTTTTAAAAATAGTATTACCTGCACAGTTCATTGGAGGCTTTTGTCTTTTGAAGAATCCTTATAACATCCTCTTGTGTGGGCCCTCATTTTAACGAGAACTTGAAGTAGAAACAATTTTTTGTGTCTTGACCCAGGACCATCATCTGTCAGTCTCTCACTGCCCCACGCCCTCTGTTCACTGCCCCTGCTCTGGGTCAGACGGTGCACCGCTTGTAAACAACATGGAAATTTCTCTACCGTCCCACTGCTGTCTTTTTATTGTGCATTTTGTAACAGATAAAATTCATGTAGACTTTTATTTCATAGCTGACATTTTGAAGACTTCTCACTATTCAAATGAACACTATTTTGAGTAACAATCCTGATTTTTCATTATTTTGAAACCTATGGATTTGACTTGCACCAGAGAAGCGACTTTATATTAGACAGGCCTGTCCTTTCATGCTTCCAAGTTTATTTATAAATAGTTAAATTTTTTAATTTTATTAGATTGCTGCAAAATTTGAAGAAAAACTAAAGTCAGCAGCAAAGGTTCTTTACTATTTTTTAATAAAGTAAAATTCGTTTTATCCCACAATACAGATATTATCAAAAACTGAAGACTGCTGTATGTGTGTAGGTAATTATAAAGCATTTTTAGTCTCATAGTCATTTTTTCTTGGCAGAATTATTCATACAAAGAAGTGTTACCTAAAAAAACAAACTCATGCATTTACTTACACAGAAATGCTCGACGATTTTTTTTTTTTTTTTTAGCTTTCTTTGGTCAGATTGTTTGGAGGAATGGTGACTCACAGCAAGAAGCTTCTGGATTCAACTTCCAGACCGCCCAGGCCTTTTTGTGCAGAGTTTGCGAGTGTCTCCCTGTGTGGGTGGGTTTCCTCTGGGCACTCCCGTCCCCCTTTAACCCAAAACATGCATAATAGATCAAATCCTCCAGCTAACGTAGTCCTGACTAAGACTAGTTCAAGATCTGAAGATGGGTCTTTGAGTACCAAGCTGCGATGCCAATTGACCCTGACAGGTTTTCCCCAGCGACAAAATTCCCTATGGAGACAGTGTAGTGTACCTTAATCTTGTAACATTGCAATTAATAGTAAACTCACGTGATCTTCAGTTAATTTTTTTTACTCCTTTTTCACAACTTTTCACATTTGTTCTTTTCTGTATAGACCCCCGCCTCCCCTCTGCAGCATATTGTACGATACAGTGACCATCCTTATAAGCCTGACACACAACAAGTCTCTGTATTCTGCCCTTTCCCAGAACACCATTGCCAACCCGCACTGTAGGGAGCATTGAGCCGTGCCCGCCTGTGCCCGTGCAGCACCCGCACCCGCACAGCGCCCACACAGCACCCTCACCGCGCTGGGGGCCAACGGGGAGAGGAAGCTCCAGTTTCCAGCACAGCTACCGGGCACAAGGGCGGTATTGTGAGCAGTGACAAGAGCCAGCGGTCACACAAACAGTGGGCAATGCGGAATACACATAAAATAATAGCAGCGCTCAGCTTGTGCCCGCGCCGCCTCCCCATTGTCCAGAGACATCAATGCAGCTCTTTGTGCTCAGCAATTAGCATTCACCCAAACACCTATGGGGACAACGGAGAACTGTCCTCGGGGAGAAGTGGCCTAAAAGGGGAGGCTGCAGGATTTCAGGCAGCCAATTCAGAGCAAGATTTTTTTTACAGTGAGAGATTGTTGTGATGGTGATTTGTATAAGCCTAGAAGTTATGTTCACATGGCATCAACACAACATGGCACAAGATACTAGAATCTCAATGACAGGTTAGAGCGCTCTTTTCACTGAAACTGTAAATTCAAGATAAAGTTTTAGGTTTTGGTGAAGTTTATATATTTGTTTCCCAGTTGGACATGGGCTGCACATGATCAGCCATGGCTACAATGAATTAACTGTACCAGTTTGCTGAGGCTAGAGTGATATGCTACCGGTGTTTTCCCATTTATAAAAGTTCATAAATAAAAGGGAATCTTGGAGAGATGGTCCTGTTCATGGCAGAGTTCTTCTACTTACTGAGGAGTGCTTGTGTTTACCTGATTGATCACAGATGCAGCTTCAGGATAGCCAGGCTGGCGTCGCCTAGTGCCTCTGCTCAATTTAATTTCTCTCCAGCAACTAGGTCAGGAATCAAAATACAATAGACGGTTCGCAAAAAACCCCAGAAGGGCAAGTTCGGGCATCAGCCAATCAGCGAAAAGCCATATATTTAGTGTTGTCAACAATTCCCGAGATCGAGGATTTAAAGCCGGAATAAAGAGAATGTTTGGTGAATTTTATTAAGGGAAAGACGTTATTGCCCTTCTTCCTACGGGGTTTGGGAAAAGCTTAACATACCAGTTAGCCCTGTTAGCAGTGCATTACATATGTCACAACCAAATAGCAGCGATTGGTTAAATGATAAAAAGTGTACCCGCCTACTGTCGCACGAACGAAGTCTAACGCTGCGAGGTCAGATGGTTTCTATGAAGTGAAACCGGCTGATGAATCAGGCTAGCATCAGGAGTCACGCAGTCATGATATCAGTCACAGCTCACCTTTGGTCGTATGATGGTTTGTACCAGTCTTACTCTGAGATCTACAACTTTTAGTTACAACTCAAGATTTTCTTCATGATCAGAAATCTTTTGTTGCAAATGGCTAAAATCGTGCAGTGGACACCCATGGCACAATAGTAATGATTGAGCTAGTTAAACATAACTTGATGAAGGTGTGCATTTTGGATGGAATTTTCCATGACTGACGGATTGATTTTATGACATAGTAAGAGGTATTATGTTTAGAATTCAACATTATTTCAGGAATTTTTGTACTTTTCAGCTTTTTTCCATAAACTGCCACCTAGCTGATGTAAAACTATGATACATATCTACTACAGCTACCATCCCATAAAACAAGTAATAAGAAAAACATAAAAACCTGTCATCTGCACTTTATAATTGAGCTGGAGGGCAGTTGAGAATTATAAGGTGGAATTTGCTGTTTAACTGTCAGAGTGCAGAATTGTTCTCTTGGTGTATGGTTAGTATCTCTGGAATCACTGGGCCTATCCGCATGAAATGAACAAGTTTCTGGACACACATAATCAATGACCAATCACACATGTTTGAGTGGTCCTTTATTGTTGGTCTGACTACATCACATCATGATGCGGTAGTTTTCAAGTTACCAGCTACATTTTACCTTTTGTTTAGTAAAGATTGGCATTTTCAGGGCTGAAATTAACTAAATGAATCTAGTGAAGGTGTATGAAGTTGAAAAACACAGTGGAGCACTTCCTCTATTACCACAAGACATCACAGAACAGAGTGTTTTCTGTTTGAGAGATGGGTTTGTGTGTTAGACAAAACACAACTCCAGGTTTGTTTGTGATGAGGAAACAGCATTATAACATAGATGAGAAAATAGAGTGATGCAGAGGTACAACTGCAGCTGCTGTGTTGTCTGGACAAACATTGCCCTCTACTGTAAGTCAACACCAATGGACACCACACCACAAGCATCCCTCTCTCTCCCCTTCCTTGCCTCCTTGTTAGCTTAACCCGCTTCTTCTGTTGACAGTTAGGCTCCGTGCAGCTGTCAGAGTGTAGTTAGTTATTCTGGCCTGCAGGTAAACTCTGTACCACACTCTACTCTGGTATTTCCCTATCCAGACTACTGATGGATGACTTCTTTATGCACTCATTAAATACACTGCATTTATATTCACAAACTTGCAATATTATTTAAAGGTGCACTATTTCACTTTTCTGGGGAAGGCTCCATCTCTTTCTTGTCCCTGCAGAGATGTCATTGCTTTACACACATAGTATGCAAAATTGAAGCTTTTGAGCATTTAACCAATATATGTACAACAATATATGGTTGAACCCATTATCAAAATCTGAGTCAATCTGAAAACATAAAAATATTCACTTGGCATTTTGCTTGGATTGTTGTGTCACAGGTAAAAAATATGGACTTCTCCAGCACAGGTTTCAAGTTTATAAACCATTACTAGACCTGTTGCGGTCTGCCAAATTATGTTCACTAAGAATGTATGACTCTATTAGCAGAGCATTCACTTGGCCTGAGGGATTCATCTGTTTGTTATGCTACTCGTCATGTGTAACTCTGCTGCTGATGTGTAGTTTATACAAAATTTCAAAAAGTTGTGATGTGAAATAATTATCCTGAAGTGAAAAGCATGTTTAAAAGAGAAATAAAGTCACAAGAATGTATAATAAGTGTCCTTTAAACTTTTTTTTTTATCTCCATGGAAACAAACATGTGACCCCACCAGGCCAAGCAAAAGAATTTTCACAAAAAAAGGAAAAAACTAAACAAAAAAGGATGATGAATGATTATCTTCTTTAGTACAGTTATAAAAGAACACTTAAAACTGTCACACTGGTCATTTCTTATACATTCATAGCATATACGAGCTCAATATGTACAAGTACTAAGGGACATACGCAGTTTAACCGTTTTTAATTATCAAAACAGTGAATATGACAAATGTATTGCATAAAATGAGTTTCCTTCTCTGAGCAAACACTAAAATATCAATATCGATTTATCATATTTTAATGCTTTTTCCATAATGAAGAGCCTAATAAAAGTTACATAATACACTTTAACATTAAATGACATCAGTATTACAGGCATTTAAAACATGCATTAAAATAACACTTATAATAGCACTTAAGATGATACTCCGTCCTCTTCAGTGGATGTTTGGATATCGGAGCAGCCCTCACCTCCGCACCAGTGTGATGCAGCAGCGCGTGACCCTTTCAATAATAACATGGTGGGGTGAAGAGGACAGACCGGATCTACTTTTTCACTGTAGTCTTTCTGATCCTTTGTGGAAACACGTCTGCACCCCTAAAAAACATTCCTGCAGTGCCCCCACCTGTCCCGGAGCCAGTCGTGAGTGACAGTTTGTGAATGTGACTGATTTGGTCCTTGAGGTTTTCGTGACAGACTGGAGGGGCCCCTGTCTAGCTGAGGGTCACCCGTTTCCCCACCTTAAAGAGATACGGGTGCTATGGGTGCATTCTTTCACATGATGGATTTGGAATTGAACTTTTGTGAACTTGGCTTTGAACTGTGGAGCCGCTAGTAAAAACGATAAACTTTCTTGTAATGTCTGAAAAGTTGTGTTAAGCAAGCAAGCAAGATTTATGTGTTGTGTATAGCCTAATGTTTGCACAATGGCAACCTTGTCTTGTACTATTCGGAAGGGCTGCAGCTGTTAAAGGTCATATATTACCCAAAATTGACTCTTGTGAGCTTTAAGCCATGTTAGAATGTAGTTACCTCGTCAAACACATACTCAGAGTTGTATTTTTCTTCATTTACACACGTTTGAATGACCTTTATGATTAGTCTGTCTACATCTCCAAAGCTCAAAGTAATTCTAGTGAAGGTGTATGGAGCAGAACACTTCCTGTATTACCACCTGACATCACAAGGTGGAATGTGTTTTCTGTGGAGTGTTTTCTGTTGGAGACAAGAGCTCAACCTAAATCTGCAGGGTTTGTGTATTAAACATGTAAATGAAACAAAACAACTCTCGGTATGTTTTTGATGAGGAAACAGCATTATAACAGATCAGAAAATAGTGTAGTATTTAGAAGATGTAAACATATAAATTGTGACTTTTTCTCACACTTTGAAAAGTGCGGTTTATACAGTGATGTGGCTAATATATGGACGGATTATTGTTTGGTACATTGTCCATTCATTTATACGGTCTATGGTTGGTATGGTTTTCAACACAGCAGATATGCACACACACCTTATGAAAAATACACAAAGAAATGCATTTGATGCAGCTTTTAAGTTAAAATCGATTGATGTGGCTGTCGTCGAAGGAAATAGAGCCACTGCACGTGAGCTCGGCATCAGTGAGTCGATGGTGAGATTTTGGCGATGGCAGCGTGACGAACTGACTTAATGCAAAAAAGACGGCAAAAGCTTTCAGAGGCGATAAAAGCGGATGGCAGAAAATTGAAAATGTTCTTGAAGACATGAACGCCTGCGACTTATATTCAGGTGCAGCCTATATATGTACAATTTTTTTTTAAAAAAAAAAGTTAAATCTAGTTGATCCGGCTTATATTCAATAGTCCAGATATTACTGTAGTTGACTAAAATTCAAAAAACAATCATAGTTGTATTTTGATAAATGTAATTGTAATCTGGACTGTATAGACTCTAAAACATATACTAAAAGACACTTTTCTAACAAAACAGTGGTATTATTAATTTAAAATAGAGCAAAGAATTCCATATTTTCATCAATAATACACTTTATCTGTCAATATTCTCTATCTGGAAGATTGTCTCCTTGTCAAAAACATACGTGTAGTTGTTTAATCTATTAGAGATTCTGAGATGATCCATTCGTATTTCGCCTGGATTGTTGCATCATAGGTTAAAAAAAAAAAAAGTCATGCACAGTTTTGATGCCCATAAGCCATCCCTGGATTTGTTCTGTGGTGAAATTTGATTTGTTTATTTTCCAACTGTTCATTCCTGTTGCTGACAGCAGAGGGAGCTCCTATGTCTACATGCTTCATTGATGTATTGTTTATAAAGTGTTTTTCTAATAATTTTAACTTAGAAATGAATGTAGAATGTTTAAAATGGAAAACTGTTTTGTATCAGATTTTTGTTACTTGTAAAATGATCAAACAATGCATATTATATTATACTATCTATTTAAAATAAGTACTCCACAAAAAGCTGTTGTTTTGCACTCTTAGGCAGCGTGACCCTTTGACCTTGACTTGAGTAACTGGAGCCTGGAGGTGTTGTCTTAGCTCACATGTGCAGTCTTGTGACAATCACAGGTAGATTCGTATCAGACGAGTGCAGATGGGAGTGAGATAAGTCTGCATTCCCATCGCTGTGTTTACTCTGCAGCACATTGACTACACACTGAAACAATACTGGCAAAATACACTGCTTATGTATTTCAATGGGCTCAGTTCTAATGTAATGCATACCGGCACGTAGGAGGTCCCATTATAAACTACCGTATGCCATGCGCTGGTCATGTTTTCTCTTAAAACATGAAAAACAGAACTAGTTTGAACAGTTTGCAGAAGTTCAAAGTTTTTCCTCCCTTACCTAATGCATTTGGACGGTCTTAAGTATTCACTGCAATGAATTTCTAAACAAGTTTTGCAGCTTTCAGAGGCCAGAGAGACTTTTCCGGTCACGGTAATGCTAACAACAACTAGCATGCTAACCGTGCACCTCCTGATTCTCAACTGTTTGTTCTAAAATTGCACAAATTTGACTCTTGTGAGCTTTAAAAGACTTGTTAGAATGTTGTTACCTCAAAATTATACATGAAATTGCATTTTGTTACATTCATACAAGTCTGTCATGTCATTATTAGTGCCAAAGCTCAAAATCCTCTGTTTCACTTTGTGATGTCGTGTAGTGGTTGTTTTCTACCACTGATGACAGCTACAACCCTTATGTTTAGTAAAAAATAGGAAACCCCAGGGCTGAAATTATCCAAGTAATTCTAGTGAAGGTGTATGGAGTTTTAGCAGTTGAGCTCTTCCTGTATCACATGACATCACAAAATGGATCAGAGCATTTTGAGCTTTGACAGACTAATAATGACATGACATACTTATATAAATATGTAGGCTTTGTGTGGTAAACGTGTGAGTGAAATAAAACACAACTCCAGATATATTTGTGATGAGGAAACAACATAATAACATAGATCAGAAAACATCATAATATAGACGCAGATATCATTTATACAATACATCTGTACTCAAATACATGAACAAGAAAAATACAGGTACAGTTCCTTAAAATATATGTGATAGCGTGGTTACATAAAGAGCAGGTCTAAGCTTGCATGTATCTCTCGGATCTGGGGCCAAACCTGTTGCAGCCACCACCCCCTGTGCATTTATCTGATACAGTTGTGTTATCAGCGCAGCCCTGGAGCCAGTCTGCCCACAGCCACTGACACTTCCACATGACAGCGCTCTATGGCATGCGCTCTTGGACCTGATCAGAGCAGATAATCAAAGCTTTATTAAACTATTATGATTTATAGTTTAATTATATGAGCTTGTTGTTCAGAACAGGTAATGACTCTAGCAAACATGCCTTGTCAAAACAAGTGTACAGTAGTAGAATAGAGAGGCTACTGCTGCTGTAGAAGCAGTGAGCCCGTGTCAGGGCGTATGTCAGCAGTCAGGTGTTACCCAGTGTTTGTGCTGGACCAATATTGGTAAATCTACTCTCTCTGCAAATGAGAGCTCAACATCTGTGGAGTTTCTACGTATAAATGCATGCACCTAATTTACACTGTTTTCTGATTTATGTTACAATGTTATTTCCTTACCAAAAACATGGAGTCGTGTTTTGGTTCATTCACATATGTTTAACACCTAAATCCTGCAAATATTCTCTCAAACAGAAAACACCATGTGATGTCATGTGGTCATACAGGAAGTGCTTCACTACACCTTCACTAGAATCATTTAGATGATTTCAGCCCTGTAACTGTTCATCTCTACTACACAAAATGCTGTTGACTAGGTAACAGCATTGTAACATGGCTTAAAACTCACAAGAGTCAATTTTGCGTAATACAGGATTTTTAAACCTCAACACCAGCAAGCATAATGCATATTGTAGCCACCCTGCATTAACAGGGAGATTATTTGTTGTGAGTGTAGTATACACATTTGTTCTGAAAACAGCTCAGTTGCTCTTGTATCTCTACACCACACACAATAACTACACTGTAGTTGTTTTTAAAGACATATACATATTGATCTTACTTACTCCTGTTCAGATACAGTAGACCAAGCAGACCTTTTAAATATGTGATATAACCTTCATGCTTGAATTGGCTGAAAGTGTTTATGAAATTACAACTCATCTGTCAGCTTCTCAGGATCATATGACCTACACCCTGAGGTCACATGTCCTGTCTAATCCACATCAGTGCTATCGTTCTGCACACGCACAAAATTTTCCATCCAAAGTGTGCGAGAAGTGGGTGCCAGTGTGAACAGAATTCCCCCGAAATCTCTCTTTGTCAGTCTCTCCCTCTCTCTCACACTCTCTTTCTCTCTCAATCGGCTTTAAATCAGCCTTAAATCTCCAGCATTGGCTGATATTTTGTTTTGGTCGATCTGCCACCTAAAATACACACAAAGCTTTGTTTAACTCTGAACAAAATTTGACTACACAGTTCTGTCATGGGTCAAAATAAAAGAGCTCTGTGTGAGTTTGTTGTAAATTTAAATTACATAAGTTGAGGAAATTAATTGGAAATTAATTAAATTGGTCCTACGCATCTGCTCAAAAACATGTGCAGAGCACCTCAGCCATCAGTTGCTCTGGATTATAAACAATCAGAGTTGGAATTGGCCATGAAAATACTCATATCAGTCGAGCTGTAGTTGTGTGCCCCTGTGTCTCACTGAATCTGTCCTGTGACTGTGTATCAGCTAAAAGGGGTTTGGTTCCTTGCACAGACTCTGGACCAGTCTCCCTCCACCTCTCACACAGATGAGCAGCAGGATGTGAATGAATGGATTTGAAAAATGTAGTTTCCTCCTCACAGCCTTTACACCAGGGATGTCAAACTCAAATTCACATTGGGCCAAAAGTAAAACCTGGGACTAAGTCGTGGGCCAAACTCAATATTTATTGAAAATTTCAGCAATAGCTGCATGTTTTCTCTTCTTTCAAGGTATGTAATGTTAAACCTTTTCTTATTAAAATAAATGTTTAATAATAGTTTTGCTTAAAAATTTAATCTAGAACAAGCATAATATAAAATAATAACACAATTTTAAATAAATAATGTCTCTATAGTCTATCTGTAGCTGGCGGGCAGCTCTAATACATATTTGATATGAGCTCGTGGGCCAAATATAATTGTATCCATCCATCCATTTTCTTCCGCTTATCCAAGGTCGGGTCGCGGGGGCAACAGTCTGAGGAGGGCCTCCCAGACTTCTCTCTTCACACACACGTCCTCCAGCTCTTCCAGGGGGATCCCGAGACATTCCCATGCCAGCCGAGAGACATAGTCCCTCCAGCGTGTCCTGGGTCTTCCCCGGGGCCTCCTCCCAGTGGGACATGCCCAGAACACCTCCCAAGGGAGGCGTCCAGGAGGCATCCGAAACAGATGCCCGAGCCACCTCAATTGGCTCCTCTCAACATGGAGGAGCAGCGGCTCTACTCTGAGCTCCTCCTGTGTGACTGAGCTCCTCACCCTATCTTTAAGGGAGCGCCCAGCCACCCTGCGGAGGAAACTAATTTCGACCGCTTGTATCCGCGATCTTGTCCTTTCAGTCATTACCCAAAGCTCATGACCATAGGTGAGGGTAGGAACGTAGATTGACCGGTAAATCGAGAGCTTCGCCTTTCGACTCAGCTCTCTCTTCACCACAACGGTCCGATACAGCGACTGCATCACTGCCGACGCTGCTCGATCCGCCTGTCAATCTCACGCTCCATCCTCCCCTCACTCGTGAACAAGACCCCGAGATACTTGAACTCCTCCACTTGAGGCAAGGACTCTCCACCCACACGGAGAGGGCAAGCCACCTTTTTTCGGTCGAGAACCATGGCCTCAGATTTGGAGGAGCTGATCTTCATCCCAGCCGCTTCACACTCAGCTGCAAACCGCCCCAGTGCATGTTGAAGGTCCTGGTTTGATGGAGCCATCAGGACAACATCATCTGCTACTCCCCCCGAACTGCCAAATTTCCGTGGTGGGGGGAGTTTGCGTACCCGAATGATCCTAGGAGCTATGTTGCCCGGGGCATCACGCCCCTGGTAGGGTCTCCCATGGCAAACAGGTCCTAGGTGAGGGATTTAAAGGTGCACTATGTAACTCATCTGGTCAGTGGGCTCTGGTTTATGTTATAATGTTGTTTCCTCATCACAAACAGACCTGGAGTTGTATTTTGTTTCATCCACACATGTTTAACACACAAACCCTGCATATTTATGTTGAGTTCTTCTCTAAGCTGGGAAGCACTCCACTGTTCCACTTTGTGATGTCAGGAAGTGCTCCACTGTGTTTTTAAACTCCATACATCTTCACTAGAATCATTTGGATGATTTCAGCTCTGAAATTTCCCATTTCTGCTGAGCTTGAAAAATACAACTATGTGAAAAGTTACTCACACAGGTGTGAATGAAACAAAACAAAACTCCAGATATGTTTTGATGAGGTAACAGCATTATCACATGGCTTAAAGCTCACAAGAGTCCATTTTACGTAATATAGGACCTTTAATGACAAACTGTGGAACATTGCAGGTATAGCTAAAACATCTCCATGAAGACAAGCAGGTGGCTGACCATTAACCAGGAAAGTTACATAGTGCTCTAAATGTTATTCTGACAGAACCAAAAATAAAAGCAGACATTTTACTATGCACACTTCTATCATATCCCATATCACATTTTACCCAGAGGCCTTTGCTAATTGGCCCATTGAGTGAAACAGTTTGGCTGAGAGGCCCGTTGCCGTGGGTGATGATTGTAATTCAAAGCACAGGAGTTCTGAGAAAGAGTTTAGAGTAGACAGGACGGGACTGGCCCATACGCAGGTGCCACAGGCCTCGTACTGACTGAAGAGAGACTGACGCGAGCTAATGGAGCCTATCCAGATATACTTCACGGCTTATGTCATCTTCCCACATTAAAACTAAGACAGCTCATGATGGATGTTTGAATGTACTTAAAATGCATTAGGTAGTATCTATAATATACACACAGGTGGGTAGACAGTAGTAGACCCATGATGATAACACACTTTGAAACTACTTTGCGCCACTAACATTCAATTAAAATAAAGCAGCATAATTCTAGTAAACCATTTTAAATAGACAGTATCATTAAAAGATCTAATCTGCAAGAAATAAACAACAGAATGAACCAATAATTTTGTCAGAGAAGAGACTTATTCAACCCTCTACAGCTCAAATCTTAACAAATTAACAAAAATAACAAAGATCTCTCCACGTTTGCAAAGAAAATATATGCACGA